GGAAGGTAGAGTCCGTTGTGAAATACACAATCTTCGAATCTCAGAAATCACCATTTTCAGCTTTGGTTTGATCAATAGGTGTATTATCAGTTTAATTAAAATTTAATATCAATCAAAATATGTATTTTTACTTTGCAAACTATAGTCTATTCACAAAGTATTATCGTTGTGCGAACACGTAAAATAGCAATAAAGTTAATTTGAAACAACCTCAAAAGGGTTCCTTTTAAATTAATCGAGGAGGGTAGCAGCGACCTTGCAAGGGCACTGCTGATTGACGAACGTTTTTGTTTGTAGCTTAGGCAAGCCTGAAAAGCAGAAAAAGAAGCTATGTATTGAAAAATAACAATACTGCTTAATTTTGCTCAGTTATTCATTTCTGTTTTAAGGCAGACTTTTCTTGTGATAATGCGTTACGTTCTGGGCGATTTCTTGATTTTGTGATCGATGCATGGTCAATGGTCATCATTTTTTGACACGGTACCTATGAGCTAATTTATGACACAGGCATAGTTAAATAATGAAACTGTATTTATAATAACCTTGTATTATCGAATGTAATACAAAAACGTTATTTCCTACTTCTGATATTGGCTATTTTTATTTTTGTATCAATGTGCATTTAGCAAAACAAGTTTGTACAGTCGTCATCACATGATTATACCTTTTGGTGGCCAAATCGCGCCTATTAGAACTACACAAGAACAGTATAACAGCATATGTGCCGCACCCGTACGTGTAGAGAATTAGGGATGGTATAAAACGCCAATGACAATAAAACATAAGATTGTATAAATGTAAATGTGAAACCACGAATAATTAAGGGCAAAACGAAATGCCAAAACACTAGTTCAAAGCATACTGCGCAATGCGACGACCACAAGCCGAGGTCATCGTTTCACTCGCGGGGTACCCTCGTAAATAACCCGTCAATTGGACTCTATTACTGCTGAAAATATTAAGAATAATGTATCCTGTTTATTTCTCGACTGATTTTTGTTTGTAAATAATGTAGTAACTAAGCTACTGATACACCTGCGATATTTTGAAGTAGGTACTACTTTAAATAAAATACAGACTAAATTGATGATGACCATAGAGGTAGAGCTGCGTAAAAACTTTTGTATGCTACTTGCATTATTCATATTCAGTGCTTTCTTTTAGTGTCCAAAATTCTTAATATATAATATATAACTGATAGCTTAAAAGCTAATATTAATATTTGAATTGAGTGTATCTTTTCACTAATAATGCTACGCATAGGTAGGTAATTCATCAAGGACAAACAGGTAAACAGAATCCGGTTTGATCATTACGTGACCGGTCAACGGTTCCAAAAAAGAATATTACCGTGTTTTATTTTTATAATCATCGCTGTTCGCAAAAATAATGGCATACGTTTAAAATGTACCGTCAGTCGTCACCTAAATAATATGTAAACACATTTTGCAGCAGATCCAATTCTTTTTGAACTCAATGTCCTTTGTATGCGGCCCAATCCATTCATATAGAATTTTATGCAAAGTATACCTTATGTGATATAATTTTAAGGTTTACAATGTTTATGTTTTTACTCTATTGTTCAGTGTAGAAAGTGCAGAACGTTTGGATCACGGCAAGCATTCTAATTGTGTGTTCATTCTAGCAAAGGACAGCGTTCATTTTTTTTTTCGTAAATGTCAGGCATGGTTTGCCGATTTCAACTTATCGACTTTATATGCCCCTATCCTGTTTCGAAACCCAATCATGGCAAGTAATAAATGTAGAGGCAGGTCAGGTTCATAAATAAAGTTTTATGAAATAGCCAGAGGCTTTGAGCTCATCGCATTACGTCCATATATCATCTAGCCCCGCTCTCTTGTGCTCGAAACCGTAATGTTTTGGTCCATAAGTTTTTCCTAGACTATCCTATCCAAAGATTTCTATACTTATACTATGGCATTCTGTTCAGGTTTCAATAACACAACTCGTCATTGTGTTATTGAAACCATCTTCTGTGCATCACGTCCTTTACAATTTAAACTTTCTTGTTCGCTAACTTTTCGTTTGCTTGCTGCCAACTCAAAGTTTATTTTGTTCGATAGTAGGTATCAATGTATGAAATAATATCCCACGAATATAATGTATCTATTTATGGGAATGTATATTAATTTATTTATTTATTTAGATGTAGAGCACCATGACACTAAATAACAAAGTATAAGCACAAGTCAATTTGAAGCGGCACAATTCAATGTAATAATGTTTATTTTTGTCTTTACAATTTGTTAGGTCAAATCAACAATCTATTCGGTCGGTACCTTAATATGCATTTCGATAACGTCTCTATCTAATGTAGCATGTGCATGATATTGTTTCTGTAAATGAGGCCATTTAATGTTCCACTGTTACATTGCATAAGTGAATAGGTAGTTTAAATAGGCTTATTATGGTCTTAGTGACCGTTGGCGAGCTGTTACGTCATTCGGATCTAATATGGCCATAGTTATGGACCTGTGGCATGTTACGAGCTGCGTAATGCAATATACAATCTGAGATAAAAACCTTATTTCTGGGTCGGCGCAAAGCTTACGGGTGCAATTCAAAATGTACGATTATATCAACGTATCGGTTCCATTCTCAACCAGGTCAATGAATATAACGTGTCCCAATTAAAATTTCGTGCCATAATTGGCCCCGAACGCCTCGTAGAGTCGTAAGTAAATTAGCTAACTTTAGTTTTGGCATGATTAAAATAGTGTTATTGCCTTCATAAGTAGTGCATCTTAGGTAGCATTGTCTTTGTTTGGTAGCATTAATAGACAATGCATCGAATTGCACAACAGGAGATGAGATGAATCAGTGCGGGCGCGGCAAGGAGCGGGCCGCGCGATGACCCGCGCGCGGTCGCTCACCTCGTCATTGCTGCGCCCGCGCCGCTCGCCTGGCGACCGCGACTGGCTCTACAAACGTCTGAAGCCTACCACATTACTTGACATAATAGAGCACTTACGCGTTTTGCATTGTTATCTCTAAAGTGTAGAATTGACATTCACATAACTTCCTTTTTTTTTGGAATGTCAAAAAAACTTGGCCATTTTCACAGAGCTTGGAACGAAAAAAATTAGAAAGTTTAGGTAAACCGACAAATGATCGGCACAAAAAGTTTTATTGTTAATTTTGTGCGTTTTCTTCTTCCGAGTTTACTACACCGCGTTTCAGTTTCAATATTTAGTAAATCATTTGACTGATTGCGTCAATGATTTTTAATAAATTATTAAAACTGTTATCATGTTTACAATGTAAAATCCGACCTTCCATACGTACAAAACATTTAATACAGAGTAAGACATCATACAACAATAAACAACATATCTTTCAAAATATTTGGCACGTTGCCTGCATTTATACCTTTATGCGCAACTGCGGTGTTTTTCTTGCGGTTGTCTTTCGTCTTGCTGCCTACATAATTACCCTCTGTTACATGGTCGGTAGCTGAGACTCTGTCGTCGTTCCGTTACATCATTGCCACTCCGATTACGAACGAGAAATTGATGTTACACTTCACTGCATCTGATATCAATTGCATCTCTTCCTTTATTAATCACGGCTAACAACGTCGGCCATAAAATTTTAATCATTTTCAATTAACTTTGTAATACCGCGGTTGGTTATCGCCTCAGCTGTAATCATAACGACTTAATTAATGTGTGAGAATCAAGTGAACAATGGAAATGCAACCAAAAGACATCAACGAGCTTAAAAGATTATAATTTTATAATAATCTAAAATTTAAATAATCCATAATTAATTGGATTAAAAAAATCTTTGATATGTAGTGCTAATCATGATGAATGAGTGTGGGTCAGCTCTACATACGCGTATCAACACGTCAAGAGAATGAAATTAGCGCCCGTCTGCAGCATGTGTGGCCGCATGAAAAAAGCATCGCATCGCAAACGAGCACAATGCCAATATTGAAAACAGTAAATTACCCCGGGCCGTGAATCCGGAAACTTTCCTCCGCATTATGAATAAGTCTAAATGTCGGTCAAATGCGATTCCGGTTAACTGCCTTTTTACTAAATTACTAAAATTTCATTGGCTTGCGAGTTATTTAGGCAACATTAAACGGTGTATTCTAGCTGAGCTAATCTGAACCTGATTTCGCTAACCTTTCTACGTCTTTGATACGTCCTCCAAAGCTCTAGTGCGCAAAATTACAAGTCAAGTAAGTATCTTTTCGTGAATTTTGAAAAGGTCATAAAAGATTTTCAGGGAAGTCAAGTTAGTAGATTAAAACTAAATATTGCTACATAACATCGCCATCGTCGCCGTTAAACATTGTTTACAATTGGGCACGTTGTTTGCACGCTGATAACTGCATTAGCTGAGGCACTAAACGGGTGGTGTATACGTAGACGTAGTATAATAAAGAAAATAAAACAAAACGCGGTGAATGTATTAGAATACCATTATTATAGTTTTTGTTCTTTTTTCTTACCAAGCAGGTTGAGATAGCGAATAATATTTATTTTGCTTCTAATTTATTCGATGATTCATGTCTGTAGTCACAGTTGTTCTTTGTCTAGGCATCCGAGCGCTTGGTATTATTTTTTTTAAATCCTCATTATTTGTAGTATTTATATCTTTCTTGTTTCAATGTCCTGATTTCCTCGTAATAGCAGTGCTAAAGGTCTAACCACATCTGCGTGATATCTATCGTGTGTGTCCTTGTTTATGATATCTTCTTGGGCGATAGTTGTTCCTTTTGTTCGTGATGCTACAAGGCAAGTCGACAGCTGGTATCTTAGGTCACGTAAGTCGTAGTGCGGACATGGGCTTATCGATTGCTAGTGCGTGCCCCATATTTGGATTCCAGGGCTCTATTTTGTGACAATATCTATGATTGTATGTTATTGTCTTTGTCTCTATATTTTTTGTCCCAATAATTTACTTTCGACTTATTCTCTGTACTTTGAACTGGCATAAATATTTTAATTCTAAAATATTTGTTTCAGAATCGGGAATGATAACAAAACGATTCCAAATACAGAAGTGACGGTAAGTCTTTTTCAATATCTTCTCTTTGTGTTGTTCATTGCATTGTGTATTAATTCGCACAAAACAGAATGATTTTGTATTTATACATATCTTCATTGCAACACGACTTACTTAACAATTAGTGTGCAATCAACTTCTCAGAGGTTTTCTTTGCAGTAGGCACCAATATCTCTGTGCTTATTTTTTGTTACAATTTAAAATTCACATCAAATAAGTAACGTTTTTCTCAGCAACCATTTGCGCGTATCAATACTTTACATTCGTAAAAAGTTCAATGTATCTAAAAACAAAACTATTTTAACTACCTAACGCATTCATTAGTATGCACAAACGCTATTGGTGGTTTAAAAAAAGTCGTCGGTCGCGACCCGCGAGAAAGCTTAGCGCGAGGTAAAATTCCAGGGATGAGTCATCTCAATTTTTACGCTGCGGCATGCCGTGAATCACAACACTTCACCTATCCCGCTCCCGCGCTTGTGGGGGACCTCGGCAAACAACGCTTGTCAATATGATGGGAAGACATTTTGTAATCATAGCCGTGCATTGAAACTGTGCACTTGCGTTGATACCGGATTGTACACGTGCTGTTATTATGCGGGTACAAGGTGAGAGTGACGGCTCTATCAAATAAAATTTGCCAGTTTAAACAATACAAATTATCGCCTTTGCAAACAACGGGTGACAGTATTTTACAAAAATATTTATTTTAAAATAAGTACCTACCTAAATAATTTCAAGTTGCATGATGTCTGTATCGTAACGTTTAACTGCTTATTTTGCATTATTGATAGGTAATAATAATGCAATACCAGCATACCTATTTCGCTAAAACTTGTGAAAAATATTCGCGGCTTTAATAACGTAGGTAATATCTCACGAAACGGGCTGAAATCTGAATAAAATCTGCATAATTTTGGTATTGCGTACATGTATACTACAAGTATTAATTATGATTTCAATGTACAGTTTTCACATCACTGTTGACTGACCCTCACCTGGTTCCCACTATTCAGACCGTTTGGCATCAAACGTGGCTCCGATGTCAATTCGTTGATACATATTTTGAGAAAAGGATCCAACGAAGATTTTTATTGCGTACTTATTTATTTGCCAATATGATCTCCCGTGTGAATACCATTGTCATGTTGACTCATTAGCAAATTACGTGTCTTGTTTATCATTGAGCAAAATTAATTATGTGCTATTAAATTGAGAAATATTATGTCTCAATGTAAATGGTCAACTTTTAATAAATTTAAAGTACATTGTGTTCTTGGTATTCATTCACCAAGTACATACATCTACCATATACCTATGTTAAAACAGACTGGTCATACGGTTTGACTCATCCTAAGTAATAATTTTCAGAAATCGGAATATTATTTTACTTTTGAAACTTAGACTTAGACTCTAGATGGGCGTACAGTATACAAACAAAGAATATTTTCACATAATCAGGTGGCATTTCGGTAAAATTTAATCAAGGTCATAAAAAAGTCTAATGTCAATTTTCAACAATTTAATTGTGCACAAAAGCTTTTTACTTTACCTTTACCGTCCTTTCTTTAGCTTTACAGTAGTCGGGAAAAAGAAGTTTTTAATAAAGGTTACGGGTGAATCATAAAGCGAACCCTGAAGGGTTGAGGCTCAAAGGATCTGGAGTCTCATGCACCCGCTAGATAACAAATGAATCCCGACTCAACTGGCCCACACATTTTTCAGTGATGTTGCTTGTAGCCCCATACTAAAGGCCACACTGTCCCCGATTGCTTTTACTATTTGTTACCAATAAATCGTATTTTTTGCTTCGTCACCGGGTGAAATTAAAAACTGACTTCCTTATGCGTTTGTATTGTTCCGTATTCAAGTCTTGGATATGGTAAGTGTGGCAGGTCCGCCTAGTCCTACGGCCTCCGATGCTGCGTCACGAGGGAAAGGCTCCGAGGCCGCGGGTGGGCGAAACCTACCACTGGCGATCGATTCGAATGTCACACGCACGCGGGCCTCACTAATGGGATCGTAAGAATCTTACTTTGGGAACTACACAAAAACTAAACCTATTAATACAGATAGGTATCTGTTACGTAACTTGATATGTTTTTCTGCGTTGGAGACAAACCCCCTGCAACGTCACGTAAGACCTGTAGTAGGTATACGTAGTGATTATTATTTTTGTATAATATGTTCTAATTATTTCAGTCCAATTTAGAAGTCTTATACAGCTCTATCAGAATTAGACACAAAGATGAACGTAATTCTCGTAATTTTAAGCCTTCTCAGTTTGAATTTAATATTTCTCAATGTCATAACCTATAGATAAGGTTACGCGAAAAGACGTAATTGCTGTTTTTGTTACAATTTGTATTATGAATCTAAATTTCGTGACGAACCCTTTTAAGTTTACCTTTACAATGGATATATCGCTGTGAAAACAATTTTCGTAACGGCGAAGAGTTGTCCATATCGACCGAAAGCTATCGGTCACGACATTAACCTTGGACACAAGCCCTGATTCACACACATAACATCACTATAAATCCAATTATTTAGCGGCAGTTACATTTCGTTACAATAAGATTTACTGAAAATTTATTGTGAACAAGAGAATTATGTATTCTGATCCTACTGGTATGATAAGACTAATGTAACCAGTTATAATCGGTAAATATGTATAAACAACATTATCGAAACCAATATCAGATATTTATCTCTTGAAGCAGATGATTCAATCTCTTTAATACTATGATTAATGTCAATGACTGCCTGAAAATGCCGAGCACAATCTTTTTCTTCACTACTGTCCTTTTATAATAATCCTTTTGTAACATAAACACAATCATTAATAGATATTTGATAGGTTTTCAAGCTATCACTTTGGCCCAGTGTCGCAGAAAATGAGAACATAATCATTATTGTTTTAATTAAACGTTACCTACCTGTACCTACATGATAACTCTACAAAAAACTTGTATTTTTCCAGTGTTTACAGTCTGCGATCTTTCAGATATACCTAGGCAGTTTAGTAAATTGGCAAATGTTCTGTTTCTTTTTTACTAAACACCGCAAAATGTGCTTTGCCCCTCACTTCAGACAGCGGCGTGTGTGTGACTGAAATTTTGGCATTCGTTCTACTCTGCAAAGATGTTACGTAACAATGCAGGTTTGCGCCCACTCTATTGCTAATACCTACTCAATATTTTGACGACTTTGTACTTTTACTTTAACAAAAGCTTTTGCAAACACAATATTGTATGTTACTATCTAGATCTCAAACCCGCCGGTTTTGCGAAAGTTGAAGCATATTGTTCGTCTTTACACGTTACGCAGAATCGACACAATAGGGTTACAGTACAGTTTGTTTTATTGCCACCTGTGTAAAGTACCGCCATGATAGGAGTGTTAAACGCTTGCTAGCTTAGCTATAATCGAGGCTATAAGGAACGGTGATCCCGTTAAAGTCCTAATCTATTAAAAACCCGTTCACTTCCACATCACTGCTGTGATGGGACAATGCCATCGAGCAGTCGTTGCGTGCCATAAGGCGAGCGATGGTGTTATACCATCTGGCACGCAGGTACTGAAAGGTGTTTATTGCACCAGTTCCAAGGCTCACTCTATTATTACAATCAATTTGAAAAATATTTCATAAAGTTAAAAAAGTGACATAAGATCTTATTACGTTTGCTGAATGTTTGGCTTTACAATTTATCATATTTCACTTTATTAAAATTCGTAAAACAATTATATGTAAATGTAGAGCATACTTAAGAAAATGAAAGAGACGCATAAATACTCATCAGACCACGTACGTAACCCTTCGTGAGAAATAGATTACATAAAAATTGAAAGACTTTTGTGTATATGGCAATGGCCCATGCCATGCCCCATACTGTAAACCACATAGCGTGTTAATAGCATTTCGAACGCGTTACGGCTCTTTTATAATTACCTCGCAATGAATTGTGGTGTAATTGTTTGAGATGGTCAGTTTTATCACTATACGTAAGCTGTACTAGTTCTATGCTTCGCGTATTAAAAATGCTACACTGTGTGGTCTTTTGGAATTTGGATCTTTGAGCCTGGCGCATAAAAATAACAGTGCAAACGAGGCGTATACTTACATACATGTGCATAGCGTAGAATTATAGAGATATCTTTCCTCATCGCTACCGAGCCCACGTCATATTCCTTTTTTTAGCAAACTAATAGGTATTATATAGCTTTATGATATATTGGCAAGAGTGCGCGTGCCTTCGCATAAGAAAAGAGAATTACTTATAATATATAATATGTGCGATACCATACGTCAATTGTTAGGCATATACTCGCGGTTTTACCCGCGCCACTTTCATACCCGGTTAGGTTACGGTCGTGGGGTGGACAGTTATGAGCACCTCATCGTCACACTTACCGTGAGACCAGGTTGAACACAGATTGTTACTAGAGCCGCGCAAGTGTCGATAGGTTAACCTTGAAACTATATCGATACTCTACTCGATTTTTTTCGTAATATAATTTCTTCTTTTTTTCTTCACAGTTTTGGCAAGTACAACATTATTAATTAGTATTTTCGATAGTATCACCTAACTAAAGAACACTCATACCAACTTTTAGTCCGCTACCATTAAGATAGAAGGTTACTATAAAACCCCATCGATATCTTAGCGTTTGACAACACTAACACATTATAGTTCTCAAGACGATCCATTCATATGAATCGATCTGTGACAGAAATATTGTATCCTAAATTCTGATGTCACATACTGACTGAGATCCGGCAACCTTGAGCAAGCACTAGTTGAGCTAGTTGTGCTAAGCACCTAATATTTTCGGATTAAGCAAAAGCTACTTCGATATTTTTAATTCAAAATGAATTCAGAATAAGTAACAAGTTTCGCAGGCACGCTATTTGCCGATTTAATCAAGCAACTATGTGAGAGACCTTTAAGTAGGTAATTCTTGATATTAAGTTGCTGCAGTATGGTCTAATTCGATCTACATACCACAGAAAACATACATAATATTCATACTGATATCTCAATTCAGGAATGTAGATTTTTATCAAAAACTTACCAATAACATATTTACTCATTGAAATAGTTCACATAATTCAATATTACGTGCGTATGCTTAGTCATACGTACTCGAACATGGCATTTTTAGCATGTCAGGTATTATTGTAGCGGTATTTGTACACACACAGTTAATTCACAGCTAGATAGAAGCAACAATATCCGCATACAGTTTGTTGTTTGACCCGTTAGCCATTAGCCATTTCAGTTAACTGGCAATAAGGTCATAATAATAGATATATCCACCATCATCCTTGTATTTTGTAACGAAAAAAGTAACAGAGATGAAATTTCCTTTATTATAAAACTTATATACGTAAAATAATGTCACTTTCAGATAGTGGTTCCCAAAAGCGTTTATTTACAGCGAATGTTTGAAAGGACTACACAGAATATACAGTAGAGGTAATGTCACTTTCTAAAACGCTAAAAGATATAAACAATTGCTCTTACCCTGTAGTTTCTATTCTAATTTATGCTAATTTTAACTTGAAACAAATAAACAGTTCGTGAATGAATCATTAATGTCTGCTACATGTGTGGGTCTGTAATGGAACTAAGCAGGGGGTCGTCCGACAGAAACGTCTCCATCCTGGCACACGAGACAACTAATAATAAACAAAGTGGTCGAAACTCTGTTAGTGGTCTACCATTTATAAATCTACAGACGACTAGTATAAATATGTTGAGGTTCGTGTACGAAGACATAAAACCACCGTGGCATGAAACATTTATGTAAATGTTCGACCATTTTTAATATTCACACAAAAACTACTGAGACAGCGACAGCTTACTTCGCTAATGCCCTCACCCAAGTTTCGCCGTTAGGGGTCATCCATAAAGTACGTCACACGTAAAGAGGGGGGAGGGGGTTGACAAAGTGTGACATGGTGTGACAAGGGGTGACAAGGGGTGGGAGGGGTCCTAAGTTTCGTGACATCACATTTCAATTGTTTCAAATATTTGATATAATGTTGATTTCATAAAAAAGTACTTAATTTAAATGGAAATAAAACTAATTACGGAACTGCTGTTAATTTAATAATTTTTCGATGTGAANATTACGGAACTGCTGTTAATTTAATAATTTTTCGATGTGAAATTGCAAAACATGTGACGTCACACTAGGGAGGGGGGGGGGGGTCGCAGAAATGTAACCACCTGTGACAAGGACGGAGGGGGGGGGCAAAAAATCATGAAATTTGTGTGACGTACTTTATGGATGGCCCCTTATGCCTGACGTCAGACGTCATTGCGACCTTGCTATGTCAACTATATCTAGTAAATCTACTTTGTTTTGTACTACAATTTACTGAAATTCAAAAAGAAAATAGCGTCCTTTTATATTCAGTAATTTACTTGACTTGTATCTGCTTAACGATGCCTTTTGAGTAAAAAGTTAAGTATAGGTTTTTATTACAAAACGTTTTATTGTAACCTAGTTTAAGTACCAGCGTGAGTGTACCAGTGACTTACATACGGATACAAAGGACATGCGTAAATAATTCACTTTGTTGGGGAAATTCGGTACTTAAAACTGGATCAATCTAATGTAGAGTCTACAAAATAGAACTGAACTGAGTAACCATTGTGAATATCGTTTTATTTTATTATATTTTTTTTTTTTATGCAGAACAAGGCAGTTTTAAATGGTCAAAAATATACAGACGCAATAATTTAATTTATTGTTTCCAACGCTCTATTTCAGTTTCAGAAATAATTAAATTAGTTTACTCACCTAGGTGTTCAATATGAGTATGGGTTTTTCTCTTGCACTTTGCCTATGTATTGTGATTACACCATCACATTTTATGCATTTAATTACTCGTATTGTGTTAATCATTTTAATAAAATGACGACTCTACGACGAATAATTTTATTTAACAAAAATTTTGAAACGGAACTTATCACAGTATTGGTTTCAAGATACGACTGAACTGGAAAATAATTTTGAATATCTTTCGTGTATTGGGTAAATGTGCGTTGTCGTAGCACTTATTCTACAGTCTGTAGCACATTAGACTCTACATTTTAATGCATAATCGCTCTTATTCCAACAACATAACGATGCCGCAGTCGCAGTCGTCTGTACATAGTACAAATAATGACATTACACTGTTGTCACAGGTGGAGCAGTGTCGTGGAGTGGCATGGGCGTGCGGTGAGAGTCGGCGCGCTTCAGCAAGATGACGGAGGGCGAGCGGCAGCAGAGCGCGGGCGGCACCAACGCCGCGCCCCAACACAGGAAAGGGCACAGGCGAGTTCCAAATTCAAAATCATTGTTTATTCACAAGGACGGTTGCCGTTGGAAATTGTTGCAAACTCTGTGCTATGGCCTATTTTGGTTGGAAAACAGATTATAAAAATAAAACTAAGATGATAGAGGAAGAGCGGCAGGAAAATGCGTGCACGAACGCAGCGCCCCAACACAGGAGAGGGCACAGACGAGTTCCAAATCAAAATCATTGTTTATTCACAACTGACACAAAACACTGGAAGTTCGAAAGGATTTCCAACGGCAGAAAATCGTTGCAAATTCTGTGTGATGGCTCATTTTGGTGAGAAAAAGTTACCCATTACAAAAATAAAACCAAGTAACCTGACGAGTCATGTTTTAAGCGTTTACAATTAAAACAGATCTTTGATGTAGTAAAATTTCATTTCATTGTACCTGTACTTTTATATTTTGTTTGGCAACGCCTATTGTGTTTCGAACATAATGGTCGCGTGAACAATTACAATATTGATGGCAAATTTACACGTTCCACCTACAAACGATTTGGTTACTTTTCTATTTCTAAAGAAAATGTACTCGTATAAGACCTAGTTTTAAGTAAATATGAATAAAGCAGATTATTTCGCAATTTACTTACAGGAACGTATCTTAAGTTTAGTGTCTGTAATAAATAATAATGTTATTTAATATTTTCTAACATTATCTGACTCTAAAGTAAACAGAGATCCTTAATGTTATCATTTTACTTTCTGCAATCACACTGAACAAATCTTTGACAAGGGTAAAAGTTGAACCTGTTCGAAAGAAAAACAGAAACTTGGAGCTGTCGCTTTAGATAAGAAAGTAGAGAACGTTCTTATTGTATTTTATTTAACAAAGTATTGAATTCACCATTTATAGATACAGTACCTTCCTTAGCATCGACCCTTTTTTAAAACAGAGTTGTATCCTATAGATAGATAGATCTGATGTCTTTGTAGAGAGCAGAGCTTACCTATACAACTTCCATTGCGCAGATTTCTTGTCTCTAAGCTCAAATCAATATACAAGAAGATTAGAATTGTATGTACTCTATAGGGAGGGAGGTTATTAAAAAAATCTCCATTTAATGCAATATCATCTGTTTGCGTTACCTATGAAAGAGAATATAAATAGCAATAAGCGAGCCGTGCTCCGGTCATAAAGCGTGCATTGTTTATGAGCGTTCATCACCCGTAAAACGATTATGACCCAGATTCACTTACACCGACCGCCGCCTGCGCTGATTGCATGTTGTTAAAGCTGATACATCTCCATTCATTATTTAGCTTTATTTCACTTATCTTGATCACTGATAAATCATACGAAACCACTTATTTGTTGTATTGATCTCGTGTTTCCAAATAATTGCAATGTCCGTGAGTAAACAGGTAGTTTGCGGTTTCTCTTCGGCTGACAAATTATCTTCTGTTCTCCAATAATATAAATGACTGACAAATTTTAATTGATACACATTCCTCCAATTTTACGATACGAACAGTCGGTCTCGCCACAATGTCTCCGTATAATATAATCATGCTCACGTTGTTCCATTGTTATAAAACTTTCGATTCGGTTTTATTTGATCTTTACGACCAGGATGTTTGGAACTGTCCCGTCGCGATCGACATCTGGTTTTTAATAATATTTACGTGGGTGTTTACGTCTGCCTGTTACGGCGCTGTCATCAATTTATAATGTCCNCAATGTCCTTAAAATGTAGGCAATAGGCATTACCAGCCCCCCTAAACAAAGCAACGATCTTGACAGATTCAGTTGCGATCGCTTCACAGAGCGAAATAATTACGTACAAAAGAAGACGAAGCGAAGCGATTTCGTTATTAGAACTGTCACGAATGTTACTTTGTCTTCTAGATCGTACTATCTACTTGAAATGGATTACTATCAACGAGTTTGTACTTACTCCTAATCACTCTACTTGCTATAATTCAAGTGATAATGAAGCATGTCAACTGTTCTTTTTGTTTTTATANATTTAATATTATTAAAGTTTCGTCAACTGACAATTTTAATATTAATTATCTTACGTGACTACTTGAAATGTGATTAAAACAAGTTATTTAATTACAGTAAAATAATTAATGATTTGTATTTCTGCGCTGTGCTATTCTATAAATCACTCGTGTTATTCTATTTATATTTCATATCGCTAGGGGACATTAACAATAATTTAATTCGTTCATCATCATCATCATCATTGAACGTACTAGTACATAGGTATTATTAACTAAATACAAAAGGTCACAATATTATCTCTTATCTCCTGAATCTGCAAATTGTGTTGTTCGTATTAAAAATAGAGTTGCCGGTTTTTTGGAATTTTACAGTGATGAAATAAAGTACAGGTCAAATCTACCGATATTACTCGTGTAAACAACAATCATGCTCTTATTGGTATGATCCGTAAGTCGAAACAATCAATTAGCAATAACTATCGCGCACGAATTGATTGATACAGTGAACTTTAAAGGAGGAAATTCCCTATGTTTACAAACCTCTCGGGTACTCTGTTCTCCTGAAAAATTGCACACGATCTGAATCATGCCTGTTTGGTTAGACGAACACAAAGTCGAGCGTAGTAGAGAGTCTCCGTTGGAGCATAGAACGCGAGGCATAGAGATTTGTGAACATAGTGGCGACTCACCTTTACGCGATAAGTCTTGTCAGAACTATGATAAAAATGATAGTAAAGTTTGCGACACCTGCAAGCACGAGCCACATTACCTTCGCCTAATCGTACATGTCTTCACTTCGATATAATCCACTCTAGCTTTCGGGTATCTTGACTTCACTCAGAGTTCAGTTAAATTCACTTTAAACCCCATCTTTTTGTCTTGGTGTTCAACATACATACATTAAAATCACAATGTACAGTTCATTACTCCGTCATTATTATATTATCGTGTCACGGACAACGTTTGCCCAGATAAATGTTTGAATAGGAAGTTGTGTTTGTTAACAACTGTAAAAGGTTCGTGAGTTTCGTGATTAATAGCAACAACTTGCGGTAAATCACTTGGTTCCTTACTTTTGAGGTATGAATGAACTCATCGCAACCATCACGTTTATGTAATAACGACTCGCCTATGCTATAACGGGCCTTTAATGCTGTATTGATCTTAGGTGAACCTAACAAGATTATAAACACGTTTAAGTCAGATGTATGTTTGTAAACAAAGCGCATTGTTTCCCACGATTTCCTGTACACTTTCCCCTCATCATACTTATGTATTATTAGTTGCACTTAAATTACTACTACTGTGCCATTGTCATGAACGAATGAGTATTTTTGATATTTTCTTGTAACATCAGAACCGAGGATCAAGCTGAATATAATCTAATGATGGTATTTCTTTTAACAGGAGACAAGAGTCGATGTATGCCATGACGGGATTGTACGCAGAATCGGGTTGTACGGAGGGCGGAGGGGACGACGCAGCTGGGCCCAGCACTCCCCCGCCGCCGTCACACCCGCCTCGAGAACCTGGCAAATGTCACAGCCGGAATCCCTCAGCTGGTATTTGCGACAGGTAAGAATTACGCACTAATCCCAGCCCGAATGTCCCCAATAACAAAATACACGAATAAATGTTTCCATGACCATTTCAGAGACCGCGAAAGGGAGAAGGAAAAACCTCGGCAAATGTTTCCAGAAATATTAGACATTCCTCATGACGCTCGAGATTGCGGTATCTTATCGTGGAGACCGCTTTTCATCCAGAGATTTTCTAGTATAAAAGTAAGCATCATTTATATTTTATGCAATTCACATAAATTTCTATCTACTTCAATCACTAATGTGTATTAAAATTTTCAGGTATTTGTATTTTTTCTTTCGTTCCTGGTGACGCTACAGCAGGCGTTAAGTTCGGGATACATAAACTCTGTGATCACAACAATCGAGAAGCGTTTCGAGATACCATCGAGTCTCTCGGGACTAATCGCTAGTAGCTACGAGATCGGGAATGTCATCACCGTTATCTTCGTTTCATATCTCGGCAGCAGAAGACACATTCCAGTGTGGATAGCAGTCGGTGAGATGCTGCAAATGATATAGTGTATTATTGTGTTTATCTTCCATTGATCGATTCGCTTCAAATACACAATCCATGTTTCAGGTGCTGTTATAATGGGCATCGGATCGTTAGTGTTTGTTGTTCCACATTTCATAGCTGAAGTGAATAGTGAAACATTAATGAACAATAAATCAGATGATAATATCTGTCGGTTGCCAAGAGCCTTAGAACAGGATATGGGTGGACTGGGGCGGTTGTCTCAGGGCCTTCCACCGAGTAACTTGAGGCCGGACAATTGCATAAAAGTAAGTAAAAATACATAGTGATACGTTAGAAAATTTTATTCTAGAAGCATTGTAAATATTGTAATTCATTAATTGTCTTTGTTTAACAGAGTTCTCCGAGTACTTTCATGCCAGTGATGGTTTTCGTGGTGGCTCAATTACTGCTCGGCTGCGGTGGATCGCCCCTGTTAACGCTCGGCACGACGTACGTCGATGATCACGTTCGCCCTGAATCTTCCAGCATGTACATAGGTAAGCGATTTATTTTCACTGTCTAGTTTTAAATTGCTAATATTCTTTTATGGTCGTCGCTTGTCCTCCGACGACCTTTCCAGGGTTCGACTTATATTGCACGTCTTTATTGACTGTTGCGTCGCTCGTAACAGCGCAATGTTCTCTAATAAACTGCTGGTTATACGACACGACGAGAATGATTCAACGTATTCAGAGTTCAGACCTGAGCTGAGACTGAACAAGAAACTTTTTATTCCCTACTTATTTTTAATTCGTCGTTTAATATGGGTCAGGCTAATAAAGATTGCAGTCGCTCGGGTTTATTTCGGGATGGGCATGATTGACTTCAATTGAAAACGAATACTACTTGATACATTCGAACATTTATATCTATGAAATTGCCATTTGTAATAGAGTAATTTGGTAGCAATCCCAAAATAACCTTAAATTACTCTTACATTGATGTAGCAAGTTAGGTATAACTGGGCATTAATCCATAAATTAATCTTATTGCTGCTTTCATGTGTTTAATGTAACTTTATAGTGGCGTCTGATTCAGTTACGTGGAGCGTAAAAGTGCAGGATCCATTTAATAATTGAATCCATCACATAGGTTGTTGAACTCGCACGTGCTGCTCAGCTCTTCGCGTGTCATTGTGTATCGCTGCTCTTATCTATTTGGCTCTAACAATTCAACTCTTTCGTGTATGGTAGTACTTACGATCCTGTCCTTAAAACGTAGGTAATCTAAACAATCTATACACGTATATCATAAACCCAATGCATAAAGAAAATGGTAGGGTTTATGTCAAGGAAAACACAAATGTTTTTGTACATTTTTATATTCCTTTTAGTCGTGTTCTCGAGTATTGCATCGAAAGCTCCCAAGTGTTAATAAACCGTTTGTTGACAACCAACGCCCGCTTCAGACAATGTTTATTTAATAAACTGATATAATCCTTATGCAGACAGGTGTGTCACAGGAATAATGAATAATGGAAATGAGTTATAGGTAGTGTATGTCATATTAACTTGACTCTTGTACTTGTAGAGATAGTTATGGAGTCGTAAAAGTTAGAAAGACGTCACTATACAGGATTAAGTGCTAAATCGCATGGCAAATGCGACGGCGCTTGCAAGCGCCAAGCACGGGCTCTCGTGCGCTCTAGGCCCTATAGCTCCTGTTTGAGCCTTCGGCCTTGACCCACTCTGCTCACCCTGTACACAAATCGAAAGAACTATTCCTCTATGCACGCCACAGATCTGAATCGTCAATCGATCTAACAGTAGCTACACAGGTATCTATAAAAATCAATACCTAGTGGACTACTAAAACATTGAAGACTTGGAAATAGCCCAGCCATGTCATGCCACTTTATACGGCAAGTTTTGAGGCCGCTCCGAAAATCGAGAACATTCTTTTGGCCAAGACGGGCATAATTATATCCATTTGTCGCCAGTATCGATTTTCTAACGTAACTTTACTCGCAGAGGTCGCAGGAAACAGCTGTCCGAGTTCAAACTGCGACACGTAGAGACTAGATTTTGCTATCTGCTACATGTTTGTAAACCCAACCGTGCAGCGTGCACCGTTGGGACATTTTATTTGGCTTTCGAGTCAACATAATCATTATCGTGTTCAAATTGGTATTTTTATTACTAAATCAATTCAAAATTTTACAGTATGAAATGGCATAACATACGCGATTAATGCGAATCTTTCCAATCCTTTCTTTCGTTAACGCAAAAACAAAAATGGAAGATGCTCTATAATTTTTGGCCCTTCGAGCCGGATTTTGCTATTTTTATTTTTCAATACCGATTTTTTGACTACCAAATTTAATAATTATTATAACATTATCTATTTTATAAACTAATGTAATATGAACTGTTATTAAATATGTCACCGATAACAAGTAATCGGAACTGGTATTGGGCACGACGTCTCTACATAATGTAACAATTGACAGCGTGTTTGTTTATTTATTTAATCAACGCGTGATTACTTCAAACGAAATGGACGAAAGTTATTGTAATGTCCAATGTATCAAAATTTTGATAAAGATGTCTTATTAGTTAGACTTATTAGGCCAACCGGTAATTACTACACTCCGACTGACACAATATGTCAGTTAATTCACGCAACGCATTTTACATCACCATCCATCATCAATTCATCATCATAATCACAACATAAAATACTACCGTGCTCNTCGTGCTCAACAAAAAATAGTACTTCCTATTTCGATATACCTACAATGCGTAATCAAATAAAGGAAGTAAAAAATTGCTTTAGAGTGTAGTATGTATTATTTACCGATTTGTGTTTTGATTCGCTTCGCTAGATGCGATCTCACCTCGGTGTCCTTGATATTAGAAAAAGGGCAAAGATTTTATCGAAAGAAGTGATACTTAAAAAAATAAATTCCTGTACATACCTACCTACTTGATTTTATCTACAATTTTTCCACTCGACTTCTAGCTAGCTATCGTCTACCCACATCCTTGAATTCACTGGTTACATTTTATGCAATGGGATAACAAACACTTGAAATTCAGCTCATGTTATGATTTTGAGTAGTCATCGCATGTTTGTGTTGTTGTGTTTTCTGTCTGTTATCTCCGAGCGATATTTTTATCAAATGTTTAAAATTTACATTTTGTGTTTTTTTTTACATATTCATAGCGTAGATTGAAATTATTTATTGCGGTAGAATGTCAACTAAAAATAATTTTGGCTTAGAACAAAATCGAATCAACTAAGACCAATTTTATTGTTTTCTGTATGTTGTATGATTGCTCTTACTTGCCTATCGATATTACCTAAAGTAGCCGTCCGATGTCTACATGGCTAAATGTCAAGGTTAATATTAGCATTTTTATGTTTTTATTAGCATAAACCTTTTCGAACTTATTGTGAATAGCACTTAGCGACTATGTATGTACCTACTATTATCATTTTGTAGCAATGCAGCTCGGACCAACTTGACTTGAGACTTGCAGCATTTTAGCGTCGCCTCTATATTAGTATTATGCCTTCTGACAATGTGACATTCGACACACTTGTTGCGAACGCATGAAACCGAAACGAAAATATTAACAGACTTTGATGTCTATCTTTTTCTGTATTTAATAACGAACATCCTGTAAACGGCACAAATACTATACAAACGATATAATAACGCTTTGAAAATCGTTTTTTACGAACTCCAGAGACACGGTAAACGCTTGCGTGACATCACATAGTGCCTGCAGCGTCTACGCGTGCGTATCCTGGGTTTCGGTTTTTACACCAACTTAATTATAAGTTGTGATCAATACAAGTACTTTAGGCTAAATCAGCATTATTCATACGGCCTGTCACTAGTAAGTAACCAGCGAAGGTTTTAATAGGGCTCTCTTGTAAGCTCTTGCAGGTGCGCCCTAGAGCTGAGAGACTCTTGTGATAGGCGGATGTCTGCTCCCGTGCGTTCTCATTAAATTTATAACGACCTATTTATTATTAAATACCTATTTACCAATTTGTAATACTATTTTATCATAATGACCTAAAATACAAGAAAATGAAACTCAAGAAACAACTTTATTTTCATTCCAAAAGTAGGCGAAATAATCACAGTTTTGGTCTGTCTGGTCAGAGATATTATATTAAGTGGTTTTATCCTCATTTTCATGCAAATTATTGCCATTTATGCATGGAGCTAAAGCGATGTAGGTGGTTTCTATTCCAGTTTATCACTTTCACTTTAAATATGGGTTAGGACGGACTGCGATTATTAGTGTTGATTGGGCTGTGATTATTATTCTTATCTGCAAGCAAGTAAATCTTGCCGATTATGTTCGAGAAATCAAACGTAGCCAGCAGCGTTAAACCTTTTTAATTTCTTAAGTAAACCTTTTTCGTATAATAATATCGTGTTACAAAAATGCTAAGTCACCTCTAGATAATGCGGAGAAAAGTAACAAGTATTCACGAGGTCAAGGGCATCAACAAATTAAATTAAGAGTTTAATAGGATACAGCCTACAGGGGTGCGGCCGTCACGCGATGCGAATTTGGCAAGCCATTAGTCATTGATATTTGCCGCGAAATCCGCGCCATTTGCAGCCGTGCAAAACAAGGGTGACCTAGTTTTGGCCCGCAATGTCTGCAAGCGAGTAACTGTTTCTGCATGCAGCCTTCCTCCCTGCGCCGCTTGATACCGAATCGCATGTCACTGCGATGAAATGCAACTTTAGTTTATTTCGTTTACCTTGCGTCTGCTATTTGTTACCACAGATTAGATATTTTATGACACAAGAAGCAAAGCGGATTATCTGCCAGCTCCGACTAAATAGTAAATGCCCAAATAACACGTTCCTCGTAATGAAAGACACTTTTCTTATACAGAAAGATGTTGGTAATTTGTGGGAGCGTAAGCGGAGCATTACGCTTTACTTGGTCAGATATTAAGGGCAAAGAGATTACATAAGTTATAAGTGTACAGAGTAATGTAGTTTGTACTTCGTACATACTTTTACGACGACTCCAGTATGTTATTTTATTTATTTTTTATAAGTTTTGTAACTTTACGTTTGGCTGTACTAAATTCGGAACCTTTTTTTCTAGGCTGTATGTACAGCATGGCTGCTTTCGGACCTGTCCTCGGCTTTCTGCTTGGCGCGTATTTACTGTCGTTCCATATGGATTCTTTCTCGGGCGCCATCATTTCTATAGGTACAGTATGCTCTTATATTTTAACCAAACTCTCTTGAGCTGCAATCGTAGATAGCATTGCTATGATTTTGTTTTTTTTCCGTGGAATTTTTTACATGCTGTATATTTTCAGATCCTGGTGATCACCGGTGGGTGGGAATGTGGTGGGGCGGCTTTTTACTCTGCGGCCTTCTTCTCATCCTGGTGGCCATTCCGTTCTTCTCGTTCCCCAAAGTGCTCGTTCGGGAGAAAGAGAAGATCAGGCTGGTGGAAAAAGCAGCCGCAGCCAGCGGCTCCTCTGCTAAACCACCTAAACCACAGACCGATATTAAGGACACGGGATACGGGAAAGATATAAAAGGTAAATATTATTACCTACCTACAATATTACAACAGAAAGGCGAATTAACTATATTGTTCAATTGTGGTGTGTGGCAAGTTAATTATTGCATCTATTATGATACAAACAAGATATCGTTTAATTGTATTCGTATTAAACTACTGAGTTTACATTATAATAACTTGATAATAACCCGACGAATAGACAAATAACATTATCAACTGTTGTTCATATAAAAATGTTATCTAAGTTTTGTGAATAACACCAGTTAACCTCGGTTGTATATTTTGCCTACCGCCCAAAACGTAATGATGTCTTATTTGGAAACCGGCTTATCTCGTCTTTTGTAATACCTACACGAAAATGTATATTTATAACTAAGAACATCAGAACCTAACATGTAATGCTATTGAAAACATCTGCATAAATATAAAAGCTAAATCTTAACGAATTTTTGGATCCTTGTATCATAAGTGGCTACTGCAGGCAATCATTTTTTAAAAAGATGGCTAGTAATCTGTGGTACATAAAACTACTTACTAGTATGTCTATTAATTCGTAGAAAAACTAAATACATCATAAGCTAGGAGTGGATAAATCGTAAATTGGTTAGATAGTTTACGATTTATCCACTTCATCGGCAGCCCTACTAAGAGCTCTTTCCCACGCAAACATTCCTGTTGTTTTTTTTTTTGCAAGGGGGCTTTAGTAGTCGCAGTCCGCAAAATTGGGTTTCTGGAGAAAGGGCCCTAAAACCGTCGGGATATTATCGATGTTTGTTCCGGCGTTTCTTCTCAGCATTTGCCATAATTATTATGTTTGTCTCCAAGCGCTGGTAGGGCCCAAAAGATAAGGAGACATGTAAAGTGCCCCTAAAGGGCTACCTTTTTTTACTGTATTTTGACGTTCATAAGTGCCACTAATGGTCTATATTGAATAAAATATTTTTGATTTTGATTAGAGATGAAACGGATATCCGGTAACTATCCGGTAGGCCGGATATCCGGCCTTAATTTACTATCCGGCCGGATACCGGATAGTAACTCACTATCCGGCCGGATACCGGATATTAAAAAACTACGACAATTTCCTATTAATAAAATGAAATACATTAATCTTTAAGGTAAACATCAATAAAATGGCTTATTATAATGACGGCTTTTATTTAAAGTCCAAAAAGTTACAAAAAGCCATATTTCCCTTTGATGAGGCCTTTGAAAAAACTAATTTCTTTTCCTGGGCTATTCACTCTAATGACGAATACATAAATAGTAAATATCTGTTAAGTCGAAATATTATTGCCAAANGCAAAAACGATTGTTTAAGAACAGTTTTTACTAAAGATAAAATTTTATTATATGAAGAAATATTGTTTATTTGAATCATTCACTGTGTTTAAATGAACAAATTAATGTGTAAAACATTTTTTCATTACAGTTTACTGACCATTAGTGACTTTTTACAAACGTCTTCAGAAATTCGATACTTATGTCGCCATCTAGTGAGATTGATTTGGAATGATTCAAGATTTATAGGCATCGGGTTCCCGTGGTAATACATTCACGAAAACTAGCTTGACACTTACCTAAACGTTCTTTAATATTAAAAGTAATTTGCAAATCTGTATTTTCGAGAAAAGCAAACCAATTTATTTCGCTAATTGTAGGTTCAAAATGTATATTTATTTATAACTAAAAACATCAGAATCAAACTAATGATGATAATAATAAAATCACCCGCACAGATAAAAAAACGCGAAAATTTTTAGAAGTTTTGACATCCTGGTGTAATAACTGGCAGGCAAGACATTTTTTTAAAACGATGACTAGTAATCTATGACACAAAATTACTTAGGCTGAGTTGCTGGTGCAACTCAGCCTAAGTACTACCACCTAACTTTGACCGTAACTATATCGATAACCGGTGTTTTTGTATGGAGTTTGACAGATTTTTGACATTTGTCAAAGTTAAAGTAAGATGTTGCAACCCAGCCTTAATTTACTTAGGGCTGATTTTTCAATCGCCTGATAACTTGTAACTGAAGAATAAGTTTGGCACATTGACAGTTTCAGTATGGAAAATATGTCAAAATGACAAGTTTATTCCTTCAGTTAAAAGTTATCTGACGATTGAAAAATCGGCCATTAATTTACTTACACGCATACACACGTGTTAGGAGTGTATTAACCGTAAACTACCTTCTTCTCGAATCGACAGCCCAACTTAAACCGTTGAGACATTTTCGATATTCCTTAATTTATATCTCCATACAACATTGTTCCAGACATCCCCGTGTCAATGTGGCGCCTCCTCAAGAACCCGGTGTACGTGGTGACGTGTCTTGGCGCATGCATGGAGCTGATGATCGTGTCCGGCTTCGTGGTGTTCCTGCCCAAGTACCTGGAGACACAGTTCAGCCTCGGCAAGAGTCAGGCCAGCGTTTTTACTGGTAAGTTATCCACATTATCAAAACGTTTACGTACTCATATCAATTTAAATTTCAAACTGTTTAACAGTAGGGGTAACCAGGGCCGGATCTACCATTATGTCATTTTGGGCTTCAGCCCAGGGGCCCCGTGGATCCAATGGCCCCTCAGCTAAGTCAAAGTCAAAAATAGACGATAATGCGATAGAGTGTAGGAGGTGGGCCCCTAAGTACTCGTGGTATTAGCCCAGGGCCCCCTAAACTTACAGTCCGGCCCTGGGGCTAACTCCACGACGTTTTCTAAAGATCCGTATGTTTCCATCCTTTTCCCGCAAAACGAGGTGTCAGCATAAGTGATAGTGACAGGTATAAACGAAACTAGGCTAAAAACTAGGAGATCCGGGTCCCAAATGTGTCATTTATTATGTGGTATGTACATGATTTGGTACTACTTACAACTTGACGTTTCGACTGTGTTGCTATAGCTGTGAGCACATGCAGACTCCCGTTGATCTCAGTTTCACAAGACTATCAATTTTATATAGGAAGAGTATAACATGTGAAAATTAATAGTTAAGTTCCATGAAAACGTATTCAAATGAGAGTGTAAACTTGCAATAAATGGAATAGGTATCACATAAAATGTTAAAAATAGATTGTGAAACTACTGGACTTGCATCAACTGTTATTTCCTGATACTACATAAACCAGTTTGTATTTTTACCACTAGTTGCTAGTCGTTTTCGCTACACATTAGCTTTTTAATTTTCAATTTATCGTTTTAGACTTCCTAAATTATTATAGTGTTATTTAACGGTGTAAACTTTATACCTATACATTTGTTACCGTCATAGTTCTACCGGCGCCCAATATCCGTTACGCGCAAACATCAAGCGTAACACTTTAACCTTGATATCGCCCTTATTTTGTACGTAATAAGAGCTGCTTTAGCAGTTTGAATGTTACACATGTTCTATCGTGTGTACACGTGTTGAGCCGTAAACAACAATGATAGTGCTGCTATTATCATATTTCCTTTATTTCTAAATATTGCCATAATTAATCAATTTCACAGACAAAAGTAGATAGTATAATTGTAACGCCACACGTTTTCTTTGATAAATCATCGTCCTCAACTTAGAAGGAAGGAAATAAAATTAGACAACAATAGTCCTTTATTATTCTATTAAGTTATAATATTTTATCAATAAAAACGTGACAGCACTTTAGTGCCAGTTATCGCCTTTTCAATACGGCCCTGTGGCCAGTTAGCTGTTTTATTTGGAACCCATGACACAATTTAAATGACACACATCTATCAACATGACACTCAGTCGTATAATCTACCCATTGACGCATTCATATTGTTTCGCACGTGTGTAGCGAACTCGCGACGACATTAAGGATATAAAAAGTGTAGTGTATGACTAATAAACAAATAAATGCAAGGTATAATTTAACTATCTGCTACTGAATTACTGTCTGACTAAGGCCCCTATTACTTATGAAACGAATGACAATCAACACTTGAAACTCAAGCCACAGCTCAAGCATAGTTTGTTCAGTTTTGAATGTTTAGGCCAGAATTTTAAGTACATTCGAATCTTGCATCGCCCGAATATCCAGCAACAAATATGATATGTTGTTACCGTATCAATGAGAGCTCGATTTCAAGCATTTTTATTTTGATAAAATCAAGCTCACTTTCTTAAATAAGTTAATTAGTAGCAGGTGCATTCATGTACTTAACGCTTCAGCGGCTGTGGAGTCGCTGGCGCATTTAATAGGGTGCTTGACTCTCCCAACCCAATCAACTGACACACTTAACGTTTGTTTTTTTATGCGATTCTTGTATGGGAATTATACTGCGTAATTTTTACTGCCCCTTTTAATTTGAAATCTATGTAGTCCAGTCAATGAATGCCTTAACGACGGTGTAGAGAGAAATCCGTGGAACACAATTTCTGACCTCGGGACTTTATTTAGCCTAGTTAGGTGGTGAACATAGCAAAAGTCCCCGCCCTTAGCCCTTGAGCCGGCGGGGAGAGGGGGGTTTAAAGGTACCACTTTTCGGTTTTTCGCTTAATCCTCGGAAACTATGCGTCCTAGTGACATGACTACTATGAACCAAAAAAAGCTTATTCAATTTGCTACAGGNGGCCGGATATCCGGTATCCGGTATCCGGCCAAACAACTATCCGTTTCATCTCTAATTTTGATTATCACTCCATAACATTCTTTCAGACATCCCCGTGTCAATGTGGCGTCTCCTCAAGAACCCGGTGTACGTGGTGACGTGTCTCGGCGCATGCATGGAGCTGATGATTGTGTCCGGCTTCGTGGTGTTCCTGCCCAAGTACCTGGAGACACAGTTCAGCCTCGGCAAGAGTCAGGCCAGCGTGTTTACTGGTAAGTTCCACATAATCAAAACGTTTACGTACTCATATCAATTTGAATTTTGAAACTGATAATAACAGTAGGGCTAACCAGGGCGGGATCTACCATTATGTCATTTTGGGCTTCAGCCCAGGGGCCCCGTGGATCCAATGGCCCCTCAGCTAAGTCAAAGTCAAAAATAGACGATAATGCGATAGAGTGTAGGAGGTGGGCCCCTAAGTACTCGTGGTATTAGCCCAGGGCCCCCTAAACTCACAGTCCGGCCCTTGGAGTGTAAACTTGCAACAAATAGAATAGGTACCTATCACATAAAATGTTAAAAATAGATTGTGAAACTACTAGACTCGCATCAACTGGTCCATAAACTGTTATTTCCTGATAATACATAAACCAGTTTGTATTTTTACCACTAGTTGCTAGTCGTTTTCGCTACAAATTAGCTTTTTAATTTTCAATTTATCGTTTAAGACTTCCTAAATTATTATAGTGTTATCTAACGGTGTAAACTTTATACCTATACATCTGTTGCCGTCATAGTTCTACCGGCGCCCAATATCCGTTACGCGCTACTTGCAAAGCACAAACATCAAGCGTAACACTTTAACCTTGATATCGCCCTTATTTTGTACGTTATAAGAGCTGCTTTAGCAGTTTGAATGTTACACACGTTCTATCGTGTGTACACGTGTTGACCGTAAACAACAATGATAGTGCTGCTTTTATCATATTTCCTTTATTTCTAAATATTGCCATAATTAATCAATTCAACAGACAACAGTAGATACATAGTATAATTAAATTGTAACGCCACACGTTTTCCTTTATAATCATCCTAAACTTAGAAGGAAGGAAATATTTTTTTTTATAAATAAATAAAAACCTATCCTTAGATATTTTACACTACGCTTCTAGTCCCAAACTAAGCAAAGCTTGTACTATGGGTACTAGACAACGGATATAAACATTAAATAAATTAGATATAAATTAGACAAAAATAGTCCTTTATTCTTCTATTAAGTTATAATATTTTATCAATGAAAACGTGACAGCACTTTAGTGCCAGTTATCGCCTTATCAACACGGCCCTGTGGCCAGTTAGCTGTTTTATTTGGAACCCATGACACAATTTAAATGACACACATCTATCAACATGACACTCGGTCGTATAATCTAACCATTGACGCATACATATTGTTTCGCACGTGTGTAGCGAACTAGCGACGACATTAAGGATATAAAAAGTGTAGTGTATGACTAATAAACAAATAAATGCAGGTATAATTTAACTATCTGCTACTGAATTACTGTCTGACTAAGGCCCCTATTACTTATGAAACGAATGACAATCAACACTTGAAACTCAAGCCACAGCTCAAGCATAGTTTGTTCAGTTTTTAATGTTTAGGCCAGAATTTTAAGTACATTCGAATCTTGCATCGCCCGAATATCCAGAAACAAATATGATATGTTGTTACCGTATCAATGAGAGCTCGATTTCAAGCATTTTTATTTTGATAAAATCAAGCTCACTTTCTTAAATAAGTTAATTAGTAGCAGGTGCATTCATGTACTTAACGCTTCAGCGGCTGTGGAGTCGCTGGCGCATTTAATAGGGTGCTTGACTCTCCCAACCCAATCAACTGACACACTTAACGTTTGTTTTTCTCTGCGATTCTTGTATGGGAATTACACTGTGTAATTTTTTACTGCCCCTTTTAATTTGAAATCTATGATGTTTAGTTTCTGTTTATTATCGGGTTCCGAACATGATTTCTTTCATCCGACTTAGTTAAAAGGGCATAATTATAAATAATTGGAGCTTATACATTTCAAGGATCAGAAAAATAGAGCTCTGCTTACTCGTCAGTCGACAGCACTGATGTTTTTATTGGAATATCATCATAATAGTCCGTCATCTGTACAAGTGCATTACAACCGTCATTAAAACAAACCCGATTTTTTCCATGTTTACCGAATTCTACCATTTTGCGATATTATGTCGTTATGTCGAATAACAGCGTCATGTTCTGGATTTTACTATATCAGAGCTTGACACATGCTGAGCGGTGGCCATTTTTGGTTCTAACTACCTTGTACATAATCAAACTGTGTTTTTTTTAAGTTGGAACCAAAATAAATGAATTTCTTTCTTTTTTTCGTGAGTTTTGTGATCGTATAAAAAAAAACTTGTAATAAAATGGCGCGTAATTTTCCTCAGGCTCAATAGCGATCCCGGGCGCTTGCATCGGCATCTTCATGGGCGGATGTCTGCTCAAGAGACTGGAGCTCCGGCCGAAGGGCGCGGTGCAGTTCGTGCTTATCTCCAACACCATCTGCCTGTCGTGCTACGCCCTGCTGTTCTTCCTCGGTTGCGACAACATCAAGATGGCCGGCACCACCATACCCTACACCAATAACAGGTAAATTGAGAGGTAAATCTGGTGGGTTAACCTCGCTTTATGGTCACAATTTTCCCTTTTCTGATTTTCCTTGTTGTGTGATTGTTAACCATAGACAATGATAAGGCCTAAGTTTGGTCGGTTTCACCACTTCTGTGTAAAGTCCTTGTTAGCCTAATTAGGAACTTGTCTGTCAGATAAACTACATTTACTTAAGTTTACCTATGAAAAGATTAAGTGTATTTTACAAACCAAATATTTTCATGTGTTAATAATGAAAATCCTGAATTTCATGCCTATGCAAACTTTGAACCTTGAATAGTAGTTGAATAAAAACCTTACGGATCGTGCTTGTATAACTACGTTTGGGCGGTGATTACTACGCAATTAGTTTTCATTTTTGTTGGTTCAGTGATATAAGATGTTACGCACTTATTTTTTTGTAAATACCGATGTAAGGATGGGAATCCTCGTAATTATGAAGAAATACTGACGACTGACTGAAGTTTACCGTTTCGTATCGCAATCAATTAATGTGGTTTTAATTATAGATAGTAACAGGAAACCAGAGCGTATAGCAACATATTATACAACATGAATTGACCTTCATTCGCGATACAATTATTGCGGTTAAGATTTGGCAAGTTACTTTGTCGGAACTGCCACATAACCGGCTCGACCTTTCAGTTTCATTCTACATTTGAGCCGCAAAGGTCATGTTGACAGATCATTGCGAAAGTTTTATTACGTGCCCACATAAAGTCACGGTCGAATGTAACTTAATACTCAACTGCACAAAGGAATCATTTCTGGTATTGGATTTTAATTCGATGATTTTATCTGAATAGCATAAACGGGTTAATTAATTGCAAAGTCCTTGATGATATTGACCTGCAACGCCCGCAAGTGATTATTAGATAGGTAAATCTTGTTTTTTTACAATTATCACTTTATTACCGAAATGTCTGAAGGTCAAGTTAAATACTCTGATGTGTAGTCATTAGTTAGATGCCTCATTGTAATGAGAAGGTCATAATTTCCATGACCTTTTAATTTTAGTTCTCTATTTTTGCCAAGACGAAAGAATGTCGAACGAGAACTGTGATGCTCATTTGTTATGTCTGGATACTCGACGTCTCGATTTAAATAGACAGCGCAGAAGCTTGATGATTCTTATGTAGTTGTAATAGGTGCTATTTTGCATAAAAACCGTATATTCTGATTTGTTTTTTTTTCTAATTTATTTTTTAATATTTTGAATTTCGATTACGTGTTTACGTTTCAGCCAGCTATTAACTTCTTTTTTTTTTCAGCAACCTGGAACCGTTCAAAGTGAACTTGACGGCGGCATGCAACTTCAACTGCTTATGCACTGAGACGGACATGGAGCCGGTGTGCGGCAACAACGGGCTGACGTACTTTTCGCCGTGCCACGCCGGCTGCGCTGCCTTCTCCTCGCGGTACAACTTCACCAACTGCGCATGTGAGTTTGAATTTGGAACGTTCTTTGTTACAGCAAGTTTTTTTGTGGAGAACAGGCAAAGGCATCAATTAATTAATGGGTTGCGCTCACTGACTTCGAACTTAAGAAATACCGATTCTTTTATTGTTATAGCCAGTTTAGAACAACTACTACTACTTTTTACCGTCGGGAAATACTTATCGGCCAGTGACTTATATTGGACAGATTGGACTCTCTGCCAGAAGGGCGGGACCTATCCAACCCGATGGTGTACCGAGAGTTAGGCTCCGTTTCATTGGCCCCGGAGGACACCATCGGGTCCTAAATGGCAATGCCAGATTTTGTATGGAAGGTGGCGTCTTTTTTTTTCTCGCGGCCATCGACCAAACTTTGTTTTTTGATTACAAAATAGTGTAATAAACCAAACTTACAATGGCATGTATGTATACCTCTAAACTCAGTCTGAACTGAGTTACGAGCATTAGAAGTTTGATGATTTTCATACTAGATTTGCTTTTTGTGCCCAAGTTTTGTAAAAAATTGCAACAAAATATTGCGCTATTTTTTTATTGCGCTGATTCTGCTCCAGACATCAGTATGGAGCATGTCATAGTAAGTTTGGTTTATTACACTATTTTGTAATCAAAAAACAAAGTTTGGTCGATGGCCGCGCGAAAAAAAAAAGACGCCAATTTTCGGTATTGTCTTTTGACATTCGTCCGTAGCCGATTCGGCTCTCAATCGTCGCTTCAATTACCGAAGAAATTTATGTTCGCGATCAATAAACCTAACAATCTTTACCTAGTTTGATCACTACTAATCGTCATGTATTTTTTCAGGTGTCCACGAGAACGTACGCGACATGGGAGTAGGCGCAGTAGTAAGCGGCGCGTCGGCGTCTGCACTAACAGCGGGCACAGCGCGAGAATACAGCGGAGAAGTCACCGTGGTTCCCGTAGCCACGGCCGGAGCCTGCAACCCACCCTGCACTACCATCTTCCCATTCCTCGTGCTACTGTTCTTCATGACCTTCGTGGTAGCTGTCACGCAGATGCCGCTGCTTATGATAGTGTTGAGGTAAGACTCTCTAGCACAGGTACAGTACTGTGGTTCCCGTAGCCACGGCTGGCGCCTGCAACCCGCCCTGCACTACGATCTTCCCATTCCTCGTGCTACTGTTCTTCATGACCTTCGTGGTAGCTGTCACGCAGATGCCGCTGCTTATGATAGTGTTGAGGTAAGACTCTCTAGCACATGTACAATACAGCGGAGAAGTCACTGTGGTTCCCGTAGCCACATCTGGAGCCTGCAACCCACCCTGCACTACGATCTTCCCATTCCTCGTGCTACTGTTCTTTATGACCTTCGTAGTCGCCGTCACGCAGATGCCGCTGCTTATGATAGTGTTGAGGTAAGACTCTAGCAAAGGTACAGTAGAGCACGAAGTCACGTGGTTCCCGTAGCCACGGCTGGCGCCTGCAACCCGTCCTGCACTACGATCTTCCCATTCCTCGTGCTACTGTTCTTTATGACCTTCGTGGTAGCTGTCACACAGATGCCGCTGCTTATGATAGTGTTGAGGTGAGACTCTCTAGCACAAGTACAATACAGCGGAGAAGTCACCGTGGTTCCCGTGGCCACAGCTGGAGCCTGCAACCCGCCCTGCACTACGATCTTCCCATTCCTCGTGCTACTGTTCTTCATGACCTTCGTAGTAGCTGACACGCAGATGCCGCTGCTTATGATAGTGTTGAGGTAAGACTAGCACAGGTACAGTAGAGCGCGAAGTCACCGTGGTTCCCGTAGCCACGGCTGGCGCCTGCAACCCGCCCTGCACGACGATCTTCCCATTCCTCGTGCTACTGTTCTTCATGACCTTCGTAGTCGCCGTAACGCAGATGACGCTGCTTATGATAGTGCTGAGGTAAGTGCACAGGTTCAGCACAGGACTCTCTAGCACAGGTACAGTCATGTGGTGCCCGTAGGCACGGCTGGCGCCAGTAACCCAACCTGCACTTTGATCTTCCCATTCCTCGTGCTACTGCTCTTCATGACCTTCGTAGTAGCTATCACACAGATGCCGCTGCTTATGATAGTGTTGAGGTAAGTGCACAGGTTTAGCACAGGTACAGTAGAGCGCGAGGTTACGTGGTGCCCGTAGTCACGGCTGGAGCCTGCAACCCGCCCTGCACGACTATATTCCCATTCCTCGTGCTACTGTTCTTTATGACCTTCGTGGTAGCTGTCACACAGATGCCGCTGCTTATGATAGTGTTGAGATGAGACTCTCTAGCACAAGTACAATACAGCGGAGAAGTCACCGTGGTTCCCGTGGCCACAGCTGGAGCCTGCAACCCGCCCTGCACTACGATCTTCCCATTCCTCGTGCTACTGTTCTTCATGACCTTCGTAGTAGCTGACACGCAGATGCCGCTGCTTATGATAGTATTGAGGTAAGTGCATAGGTATAATAAGAGTCTAGCACAATTATTATAGTACAGTACGAAGTCACCGTGGTTCCCGTAGCCACGGCCGGAGCGTGCAACCCGCCCTGCACTACCATCTTCCCATTCCTCGTGCTACTGTTCTTCATGACCTTCGTGGTAGCTGTCACGCAGATGCCGCTGCTTATGATAGTATTGAGGTAAGTGCACAGGTTCAACACAGGACTTTCTAGCACAGGTACAGTAGATGGCGAGGTCACATGGTGTCATTGACCAGAGCTGGCGCCTGCAACCCGCCCTTAACCTCTATATTCCCATTCATCATGCTACTGTTCTTCATGACCTTCGTAGTAGCTGTTACACAGATGCCGCTGCTTATGATAGTGTTGAGGTAAGACTCTAGCACAGGTACAATACAGCGTGAGGTTACGTAGTGCCCGTAGCCACGGGTGGCGTCTGTGCTCGTCCTTCACCACCATCTTCCCATTCCTTTTGCTACTGTCCTTTATGACCTTCGTTGCTCATAATAGTGTTGAGGTAAATGCACAGGTTCAGCACAGAACTCTCTAGCACAGGTACAACACAGCGCGAGGTTACCAATAATTGCGAGTCAACATAATAATCCTGTAACGTCTAGTTCAGTAGTTATGGCGACGAAGGAGAAAACCTTAGCATATGAAATTAATTAACATCTCACATTAATTAGGTAACAAGTCTTCCTTCGGTCACTTATAGTACTTGGCCAAATCATTTTATTTTTATTTATTTAATTTTTTTCTCTAGATCCGTAAGCGAAGAAGAGCGCTCGTTCGCTCTGGGCATGCAATTCGTGATCTTCCGTCTGTTCGGATACATCCCCGCGCCCATCGTGTTCGGCAACCTCATCGACTCCACCTGCCTGCTGTGGAAGCAGTCCTGCAGCGGCGAGAAGGGCGGCCGCTGCTTGCTGTACGACATCGAACAGTTCCGATACAGGTAGGTTGAAAGACTATATTTATACTAACTAATAAACGAAGCTTATTCACAGGCTTAAAGTTAAGTTTTTATCTGATTTTGAAGGAAATAAACACTCTAAATACACATTGAAATAGTTTATTCAGTACATAGGCCCTTTCCAGGACACTTATACACGTCCCAAATATAGCTTGCCCTACCACCACTTCGGGACAACATATTTTGAGCTGGTGTTGAGAAGAAGTAGCGGAAGAAACTCAGTCAACGTTGTATAGTGATTAACGCTAGACGTATAGTGAATTCAAAGGCTTATGTTGCGCTTCCTCACTACTTGGTGCCACTGGAAAATTAAAGGACGTTACTCTACAATGGCGCCATTCTGATGAGCGCTATTCGTTATTGGCAGTGTTAATCAATTACTAATATATTACTTTAATTTCTGGATGTTTGTTACTCTTTCACGCAAAAACTGCTGAACGGATTTTGATGAAACTTTACAGTATTATTGTATAACCTAGAATAACATATAGGCTATAATTTATGACGATCTGTGACAAACTAAATTTCACGCGGGTGACGCCGCGGGCAAAAGCTAGTCAATTATAATGTCAAGGGATGTACGAAAATCTTTGACGAACCGTCACACTAAAACCAAAATCGATATTTTCGTTTCCAGATACGTGGGCCTGTGCGGCGGCATCAAGATAGTGGCGCTGGGCATCTTCATGGCGGACTGGTGGCTGGTGCGCCGCCGCCGCCACCTCGACTGCTCGCCGCCGCTCGACCCGCACAAAGACATCGCCGGCTCCATCATCAGCCTCGACAAACGTGAGTCCTGACAACAAATATCTACAACTAGCTGACCCGGCGAACTTTGTTCCGCCTTAATGGCAATAAATAAGCAGACTTTTTTTTTATTTCGAACGGGATAAAAAGTATCCTATGTCCTTCTCCTGGCTCTAAACTACCTCCCTGACAATTTTCAGCTAAATCGGTTCAGCCGTTCTTGAGTTATAAGTGGAGTAACTAACACGACTTTCTTTTATACAGTGTGTCCGGGCATGTAGTGATCAAACTTTAAGGGCGTAATCTATGGACAATTTTATCGGTGAAAATACTTTAATTTTCAAATTTATCCACGAGTAACAGGCTAAATTTTATTTTGAACAAAAATAGGGTTCCGTAAAATATATAGATAATGTAGTCCATGCGCGCGAAGCCGCGGGCGGAAAGCTAGTATTTTATAAGCGAGGGATCAAGTAATTGCCCCGGGAAGGCCTAGTAGACTAACAACTCCACCATAAGCTGCGAAAAGTGTGAGTCGCAAGTGAGAATTCCTAATGTGTTGCAACGAATATAGTCAGAAAGTCTTGAAAATATGAGGAAGGCCGAGACGTTGAGCCAAAATCGAATGCCTGTTGGGTTGAAGTTAGGGATTGCAATCCAGCGCCGTTTTCAATCCAGCTGGATTCTTGCTGGATTGACCTGAATCCAGCTGGATCCAGCGCGGATCCAGCAAAACGTGGAACGAAAATAAAAAGACGACATTTTTAAGTCTTTTTTTAAATTAAGTAACTAGCTCTCCGCCCACGACTTCGCCTGCGTGAAATAGGGCTGTGTTTAGGGTTTTCTTGGAAATAATTATTCGAATTTTTCTCGCCGTAAAAACGATCCTTGGACTTCAACGAACATTTAAAAAAAATGGTCCAGGCGTTGTTGTTGAGTTATGCGCTTACCAACACATTTTGCGATTCATTTTTATATTATATATTTGTACTTCTTACGATAATCTATGAAATACGGCTCAGTAACTAATAATTATAATCAGTAGGAAACAGTCTTACAAATTCTTTTAAAATTAATTACGAAAAGGCCCGTAATTTAATCTGCAATCTATTTTTTGTATCAATAGAAGTTCATCATCATCATCATCATCATTTCAGCCACAGGACGTCCACTGCTGAACATAGGCCTCCCCCAATGCTTTCCATGTTGATCGATTGGTAGCGGCCTGCGTCCAGCGCTTCCCTGCTACCTTTACGATGTCGTCGGTCCACCTTGTAGGTGGACGTCCGCGTACCGGAAAACGCAATAGAAGTTACGAATCCGAAAATAATAATCTTCTGCGAAAATTAGGCAGTTTATAATCTGACGACAGGAGATTGACCATTTCTTTTTTCAATCCTCTGGAAGTAGGACAAATTTTATCTATAGTCCAACCTCCCAACCGCACAGAACTGCATATGTAGCCGGCTGCTGAGAATGCCCTTTCGGCCTCTACACTAGTCGGTTTAGTAGGGTCAGTAAATAGTCATATACCATAGATAAATGTTCACCTAGCACTCCTTTGGTCTCATGTTTATAAGTTTATAGCGCTCATTTCTTTTTTCAGGTCCTTTTCGTAATCTAATTGACCACTTGGCTTTGGCTTTTGTTTATTATAGTTATCCTTCTCACTTTTAAGTTCCATCTCAAGCTCTTGCTCTAAAGTCATTTTCACAGGTTCTGCGTCATCATTTAGTAAGACTATTCTCTTCTAACTCCATGTTATCTTCATTTTCTTGCACCGGCTCTATAATATTTTGTTTATTTAGGGCTGATTTTACGATCGTCGGATAACTTTTAACTGAAGAATAAATTTGGCACATTGTTTCAGTATGGGAAATATAACAAAATGACAAGTTTATTCTTCAGTTAGAAGTTATCTGACGATGGTAAAATCAGCCCTTACTCGTTTTAACAAAGTTTTCATCTCCGACCGCACCGCATTCTTTTTTTGGCAAAGGAAAATAGACAGATTTTTTTATTGATTCTTCATACTTTTTTGGATTTATCAAGCACACAAACGTACCAGTAACTTCAGAGAGGCGCCGTTCAACGCACACAACAACAGAACGGCAACGTCACCGTGCCGTTTTGAAAATGGCGGCAATTAGAAACTAAGCAAGAAATTTATACGTTTGCGGATCCGCATCGCTGGATCCAGCACTGTATGCTGGATCCAGCATGTTTAAAAAGGCGCTGGATCCAGCTGGATTGCTGGATGCTGGATCCAGCAATTGCAATCCCTAGTTGAAGTACAACCCTCTTGCCCAGCAATGCNACCCCCCTCTCCCCGCCGGCTCAAGGGCTAAGGGCGGGGACTTTTGCTATGTTCACCTCCTAACTAGTCTAAATAAAGTCCTGAAGTCAGAAATTGTGTTCTACAGTTTTCCATCTATAATGCTTTATTGACTGGACTAATGATGTTTAGTTTCTGTTTATTATCGGGTTCCGAACATGGTTTCTTTCATTCGACTTAGTTAAAAGGGTATTATTATAAATAATTGGAGCTTATACATTTCAAGGATCAGAAAAATAGAGCTCTGCTTACTCGTCAGTCGACAGCACTGATGTTGTATTGGAATATCATCATATAGTCCGTCATCTGTACAAGAGCATACAACCGTCATTAAAAAACAAAACCCGAATTTTTCCATGTTTACCGAATTCTGCCATTTTGCGATATTATGTCGTTATGTCGAATAATAGCGTCATGGTCTGGGTTTTACTACTTCAGAGCTTGACACATGCTGAGCGGTGGCCATTTTTGGTTCTAACTACCTTGTACATAATCAAACTGTTTGTTTTTTTTTTAAGTTGGAACCAAAATAAATGTTTTTTCTTTCCTTTCTTTTCTTTTCTTTTCTTCGTCATTTTGTGATCGTATAAAAAAAGACTTGTAATAAAATGGCGCGTAATTTTCCTCAGGCTCAATAGCGATCCCGGGCGCTTGCATCGGCATCTTCATGGGCGGATGTCTGCTCAAGAGACTGGAGCTCCGGCCGAAGGGCGCGGTGCAGTTCGTGCTCATCTCCAACACCATCTGCCTGTCGTGCTACGCCCTGCTGTTCTTCCTCGGCTGCGACAACATCAAGATGGCCGGCACCACCATACCCTACACCAATAACAGGTAAATTGAGCGGTAAATCTGGTGGGTTAACCTCGCTTTATGGTCACAGTTTTCCCTTTTCTGATTTTCCTTGTTGTGTGATTGTTTTAACCATAGACCGTTTGGTCGGTTTCACCATTTCTGTGTAAAGTCCTTGTTAGCCTAATTAGGAACTCGTCTGTCAGATAAACTACATTTACTTAAGTTTACCTATGATAAGATTAAGTGTATTTTACAAACCAAATATTTTCATGTGTTAATAATGAAAATCCTGAATTTCATGCCTATGCAAACTTTGAACCTTGAATAGTAGTTGAATAAAAACCCAACGTATCGTACTTGTGTAACTACGTTTGGGCGGTGATTACTACGCAATTAGTTTTCATTTTTGTTGGTTCAGTGATATAAGATGTTACGCACTTAATTTTTTTGTATAACTGATTGGTAAATACTAAATACCGATGTAAGGATGGGAATCCTCGTAATTATGAAGAAATACTGACGACTGACTGAAGTTTACCGTTTCGTATCGCAATCAATTAATGTGGTTTTAATTATAGATAGTAACAGGAAACCAGAGCGTATAGCGACATATTATACAACATGAATTGACCTTCATTCGCGATACAATTATTGCGGTTAAGATTTGGCAAGTTACTTTGTCGGAACTGCCACATAACCGGCTCGACCTTTCAGTTTCATTCTACATTTGAGCCGCAAAGGTCATGTTGACAGATCATTGTGAAAGTTTTATTACGTGCCCACATAAAGTCACGGTCGAATGTAACTTAATACTCAACTGCACAAAGGAATCATTTCTGGTATTGGATTTTAATTCGATGATTTTATCTGAATAGCATAAACGGGTTAATTAATTGCAAAGTCCTTGATGATATTGACCTACCACGCCCGCAAGTGATTATTAGATAAATCTTGTTTTTTTTACAATTATCACTTTATTACCGAAATGTCTGAAGGTCAAGTTAATTACTCTGATGTGTAGTCATTAGTTAGATGCCTCATTGTAATGAGAAGGTCATAATTTCCATGACCTTTTAATTTTAGTTCTCTATTTTTGCCAAGACGAAAGAATGTCGAATGAGAACTACTGTGATGCTCATTTGTTATGTCTGGATACTCGACGTCTCGATTTAAATAGACAGCGCAGAAGCTTGATGCTTCTTATGTAGTTGTAATAGGTGCTATTTTGCTTAAAAACCGTATATTCTGATTTGTATTTTTTTCTAATATATTTTTTAATATTTTGAATTTCGAACACGTGTTTACGTGACAGCCAGCTATAATCTTCTTTTTTTTAGCAACCTGGAACCGTTCAAAGTGAACTTGACGGCGGCATGCAACTTCAACTGCTTATGCACTGAGACGGACATGGAGCCGGTGTGCGGCAACAACGGGCTGACGTACTTCTCGCCGTGCCACGCCGGCTGCGCTGCCTTCTCCTCGCGGTACAACTTCACCAACTGCGCATGTGAGTTTGAATTTGGAACCTTCTTTGTTACAGCAAGTTTTTTTGTGGAGAACAGGCAAAGGCATCAATTAATGGGTTGCGCTCACTGACTTCGAACTTATGAAATACCGATTCTTTTATTGTTATAGCCAGTTTAGTTTCAACTACTACAAACTACTTTTTTTCCGTCGGGAAATACTTATCGGCCAGTGAGTTATATTGGACTCTCTGCCAGAAGGGCGGGACCTATCCAACCCGATGGTGTACCGAGAGTTAGGCTCCGTTTCATTGGCCCCGGAGGACACCATCGGGTCCTAAATTGGACATTCGTCCGTAGCCGATTCGGCTCTCAATCGTCGCTTCAATTACCGAAGGGTTAAAATGTATGTTCGCGATCAATGAAACTAACAATCTTTACCTAGTTTGATCACTACTAATCGTCATGTATATTTTTCCAGGTGTCCACGAGAACGTACGCGATATGGGGGTAGGCGCAGTAGTAAGCGGCGCGTCGGCGTCTGCACTAACAGCGGGCACAGCGCGAGAATACAGCGGAGAAGTCACCGTGGTTCCCGTAGCCACGGCTGGAGCCTGCAACCCGCCCTGCACTACCATCTTCCCATTCCTCGTGCTACTGTTCTTCATGACCTTCGTGGTAGCTGTCACGCAGATGCCGCTGCTTATGATAGTGTTGAGGTAAGACTCTAGCACAGGTACAGTAGAGCGCGAAGTCACGTTGTTCCCGTAGCCACGGCTGGAGCGTGCAACCCGCCATGCACTACCATCTTCCCATTCCTCGTGCTACTGTTCTTCATGACCTTCGTGGTAGCTGTCACGCAGATGCCGCTGCTTATGATAGTGTTGAGGTAAGTGCATAGGTATAATAAGAGTCTAGCACAGTTATAGTACAGTATGAAGTCACTGTGGTTCCCGTAGCTACGGCCGGAGCTTGCAACCCGCCCTGCACGACTATATTCCCATTCCTAGTGTTACTATTCTTCATGACCTTCGTGGTAGCTGTCACGCAGATGCCGCTGCTTATGATAGTGTTGAGGTAAGTGCATAGGTATAATAAGAGTCTAGCACAGTTATAGTACAGTATGAAGTCACTGTGGTTCCCGTAGCTACGGCCGGAGCTTGCAACCCGCCCTGCACGACTATATTCCCATTCCTAGTGTTACTATTCTTCATGACCTTCGTGGTAGCTGTCACGCAGATGCCGCTGTTTTTTGATAGTGTTGAGGTAAGTGCACAGGTTCAATACAGGGCTCTCTAGCACAGGTACAGTCATGTGGTGCCCGTAGGCACGGCTGGCGCCAGTAACCCACCCTGCACTTTGATCTTCCAATTCCTCGTGCTACTGCTCTAAACTGCTCTTCATGACCTTCGTCGTAGCTGTCACGCAGATGCAGCTGCTTATGATAGTGTTGATTTTCGTGCACACGTTCAGCACAGGACTCACTAGCACAGCACAGGTACAGTACAGCGCTAGGTCACTGTGTTGGCCATAGCCAAGTCTGGCGCTTGCAACCCACCATGCACCACGAATACCACGATCTTCCCATTCCTCGTGCTGCTGTTCTTCATGATTTTCGTCATGGAGGTAACGTTCATGACAGTATTGTGCTGACTCTCTAGCACAGGTACAGTAATGCGCGTGATACAGCGCGTTATAGCGGATGTCACTTTTCATTCGATTTGTACAAAAAATATTACTATAACACCGCGATTAGGTAACACATCCTTGCTTTGGATATTGAATATTATGGTACTTATCATTTTATTTTTATTTATTTAATTTTTTTCTCTAGATCCGTAAGCGAAGAAGAGCGCTCGTTCGCGCTGGGCATGCAATTCGTGATCTTCCGTCTGTTCGGCTACATCCCCGCGCCCATCGTGTTCGGCAACCTCATCGACTCCACCTGCCTGCTGTGGAAGCAGTCCTGCAGCGGCGAGAAGGGCGGCCGCTGCTTGCTGTACGACATCGAACAGTTCCGATACAGGTAGGTTGAAAGATTATATTTATACTAATAAACGAAGCTTATTCACAAGCTTAAAGTTAAGTTTTTATCTGATTTTGAAGGAAATAAACTCTCTAAATACACATTGAAATAGTTTATTCAGTACATAGGCCCTTTCCAGGACACTTATACACGTCCTAAATATAGCTTGCCCTACCACCACTTCAGGACAACATTATTATGGGCTGGTGCCACAGTACGAAGAACCACAGTGACTTCGTACTATACTATACTTGTGCTGGTGGTGGTGAGAAGAAGTGGCGGAAGAAACTCGGTCAACGTTGTATAGTGATTAATAACGCTAGACGTATAGTGAATTCAAAGGCTTATGTTGCGCTTCCTCACTACTTGATGCCACTGAAAAATGAAAGGACGTTATTCTACAATAGCGCCATTCTGATGAGCGCTATTCGTTGTTGGCAGTGTTCATCAATTACTAATTATATTACTTTAATACTTATTACTAATAAATATTATAAATGCGAAAGTTTGTATGGATGTCTGGATGTTTGTTACCTTTCACGCAAAAACTGCTGAACGGATTTTGATGAAACTTTACAGTATTATTGTATAACCTAGAATAACATATAGGCTATAATTTATGACGATCTGTGACAAACTAAATTTCTCGCGGGTGACGCCGCGGGCAAAAGCTAGTCAATTATAATGTCAAGGGATGTACGAAAATCTTTGACGAACCGTCACACACTAAAGCCAAAATCTATATTTTCGTTTCCAGATACGTGGGCCTGTGCGGCGGCATCAAGATAGTGGCGCTGGGCATCTTCATGGCGGACTGGTGGCTGGTGCGCCGCCGCCGCCACCTCGACTGCTCGCCGCCGCTCGACCCGCACAAAGACATCGCCGGCTCCATCATCAGCCTCGACAAACGTGAGTCCTGACACCAAATACTTGGATATACACCAAATACTTGGATATCTACACTAATATTACAAAGAAGAAAACTTTGTTTGTTTGGTTGTAATGAATAGGCTCAAAAACTACTGGACCGTTTTTAAAAATTCTTTCACCATTTGAAAGCTACATTATCCACGAGTAACATAGGCTAAATTTTATTTTGGAAAAAATAGGGTTCCTTAAAATATATAGATAATGTAGTCCATGCGCGCGAAGCCGCGGGAGGAAAGCTAGTATTTTATAAGCGAAGGATCAAGCAATTGCCCCGGGAAGGCTAGTAGACTTACAGCTCCATTATAAGCTTCGATAAACGTGAGTCGCGAGTGAGGACTCTTAATGTGTTGCAGTGGATCTAGTCAATCAGTCTATTGAAGATATGACGGGAAGGCCGAGGCATTGAGCCAAAATCGAATACCTTTTGGATTGACGTACTGCCTGGCAATGCATTCAATGAAACGATGATGTCGATGATGCTGTCATATTAAATATCTTTCAACAATTATCCTTTTCATTTCCTACATTAAAGAATTAGTGACGCTTATCGTTTGGCATCGTGTCCAAACGTCTATTCCGTCAGTGTAGCGTCTTTCTATGCGGGCGATGCTCACTGGTAAACATGTTGATTGTTGACATTATTTTAACGTAGTATTTTCGTAATGCCGGGTCCACACATTGGCTCCAACGTTGGTCCTAATGACATTCGTCCAACCAATGGATCTAGAAAATATCTATCCCTACGTTGGGACCAACGTGTTGAACCGGCCTAATTACATATTTATTTATTTTATTCGGAAAACATACAGTGAAACAATAACAGGCTAATAACCACTGCTTAAGAAACTAACGAATGTTCTTTCTTCAGTATTTGAAGAGCTGCCGTCCACGGACAACGCGAGCGGACTGCGCTCGGGCGCCGCGTCCGGGCCCAGCTCGCACACCAGCACGCCGCTGGAGCCCGGCGAGCGCGAGCCCGGCCCGCAGCTGCAGCGCACCGACTCGCAGTACTCGCAGGTACAGTACTACGCCGCGTCGGGCCCAGCTCGCACACCAGCACGCCGCTGGAGCCCGGCGAGCGCGAGCCCGGCCCGCAGCTGCAGCGCACCGACTCGCAGTACTCGCAGGTACAGTACTACGCCGCGTCGGGCCCAGCTCGCACACCAGCACGCCGCTGGAGCCCGGCGAGCGCGAGCCCGGCCCGCAGCTGCAGCGCACCGACTCGCAGTACTCGCAGGTACAACCAGGCCTGTTCATCTCCGCGAGTTTACATCGAAAACAAAACACGCACGATGGCCCACCTACAGGATACTATGCGACAAGGCCTCACATACGAGCGAGCATTGACTCACGCACGCGTATTCTTGTATATGATGGAAAAAAATAAAGAAAATGGTGTACTAAATACTGTGCAGTACCAGTATTTAACTGCCTAAATAATAATAAAAACACAGAATGTACTTTTTTAAGTTGCCTGATGACACTGAAAGGTAAATAAGTGGTTAATATTATTAATGATAATTCATGCTTAATCATGTATTTCCTCCGCCATTTTCCGCAGTTTGGCACCTCACGTCACACATCATTTTACCGAAGTCAGCCCTATGGCTTCGGCGCAGTACCGATCACTGACGTTTGTCAACAAAATGGTGCTTTGACTCTTGAGACAAGCTAAATTACACCATATTGTTAATGACATTGAGCATACAATTTTTTAAATACCTTCGCGAAGTAAAACTTCTGTACGTAGTACTTATTATTATTCTGTGGTAGTACTGATTATTATTCTGTGCTACAACGCACGCTCGTCCTGTGCTCGCTAGTACAGCGCTAACACGCCGGTACTCACGGGTGCGGTGCTCACCCGTGCAGTAGTCGGGCGTACGATGTTGTGTACCTCTAGTGTTCAAGAGTACAAAGCTAATGGGTACAACAACGCTTCCCCGCCCTGTGCTCGCGGGTACAAGGCTCATTCACGGGTGCAGCGCTCACACGCCTATTACTCACGGGTGCGGTGCTCCTTACCTGTGTAGTAGTCAAGGGTACGATACTCACCCCTCTAGTGTTCAAGAGTACAAAGCTAATGGGTACAACAACGCTCACTCGCCCTGTGCTCGCGGGTACAAGGCTCATTCATGGGTACAGCGCTCACACGCTCAGTACTCACGGGTGTAGTTTCACCCGGATAGCAATCGCGGGTACGATGCTCACCCATTTAGTGTTCAGCAGTACAAAGCTAATACAACGGGTACAACTAGTGTTCAGCAGTACAAATACAACGGGTACAAGGCTCACTCGCGGGTACAGCGCTCACACGCCCAGTATTTGCGGGTACAGTGCTTTCCCGCCCAGTACGCATGGGTACAACGCACAGTCATGGGTACAGTGACAACTGAGCACTGTATCTGTCTGGCACAGATACAGTGCTCAGTTGTCACTGTAGTTTTATATTTATGGAGTTAACCCATTATAGACTGAGTTTTCTTAAAGTGTCAGATTTTTGTTTTTTTGAAATGTGTTCATAATTATGGTCTACATAATGCTATACAAGCATTAAAAAAATTATTCGACCTGTAATCTGGAAAAAAAATGCTGGTACCATATGGTACCGCTAGCCTCTTACCGTGTCAGTTGGTTAAAACATAACTTTATCATAGACTTTATAAAAATTGGGTAAATTATATATTTTATTATTATTATAATATGTATTAATATTCAAGCAAATAACAGGAGTGATATTAAATGTANATGTAGTGATCAAACTTTAAGGGCGTAATCTATGGACAATTTTATCGGTGAAAATACTTTAATTTTCAAATTTATCCACGAGTAACAGGCTAAATTTTATTTTGAACAAAAATAGGGTTCCGTAAAATATATAGATAATGTAGTCCATGCGCGCGAAGCCGCGGGCGGAAAGCTAGTATTTTATAAGCGAGGGATCAAGTAATTGCCCCGGGAAGGCCTAGTAGACTAACAACTCCACCATAAGCTGCGAAAAGTGTGAGTCGCAAGTGAGAATTCCTAATGTGTTGCAACGAATATAGTCAGAAAGTCTTGAAAATATGAGGAAGGCCGAGACGTTGAGCCAAAATCGAATGCCTGTTGGGTTGAAGTTAGGGATTGCAATCCAGCGCCGTTTTCAATCCAGCTGGATTCTTGCTGGATTGACCTGAATCCAGCTGGATCCAGCGCGGATCCAGCAAAACGTGGAACGAAAATAAAAAGACGACATTTTTAAGTCTTTTTTTAAATTAAGTAACTAGCTCTCCGCCCACGACTTCGCCTGCGTGAAATAGGGCTGTGTTTAGGGTTTTCTTGGAAATAATTATTCGAATTTTTCTCGCCGTAAAAACGATCCTTGGACTTCAACGAACATTTAAAAAAAATGGTCCAGGCGTTGTTGTTGAGTTATGCGCTTACCAACACATTTTGCGATTCATTTTTATATTATATATTTGTACTTCTTACGATAATCTATGAAATACGGCTCAGTAACTAATAATTATAATCAGTAGGAAACAGTCTTACAAATTCTTTTAAAATTAATTACGAAAAGGCCCGTAATTTAATCTGCAATCTATTTTTTGTATCAATAGAAGTTCATCATCATCATCATCATCATTTCAGCCACAGGACGTCCACTGCTGAACATAGGCCTCCCCCAATGCTTTCCATGTTGATCGATTGGTAGCGGCCTGCGTCCAGCGCTTCCCTGCTACCTTTACGATGTCGTCGGTCCACCTTGTAGGTGGACGTCCGCGTACCGGAAAACGCAATAGAAGTTACGAATCCGAAAATAATAATCTTCTGCGAAAATTAGGCAGTTTATAATCTGACGACAGGAGATTGACCATTTCTTTTTTCAATCCTCTGGAAGTAGGACAAATTTTATCTATAGTCCAACCTCCCAACCGCACAGAACTGCATATGTAGCCGGCTGCTGAGAATGCCCTTTCGGCCTCTACACTAGTCGGTTTAGTAGGGTCAGTAAATAGTCATATACCATAGATAAATGTTCACCTAGCACTCCTTTGGTCTCATGTTTATAAGTTTATAGCGCTCATTTCTTTTTTCAGGTCCTTTTCGTAATCTAATTGACCACTTGGCTTTGGCTTTTGTTTATTATAGTTATCCTTCTCACTTTTAAGTTCCATCTCAAGCTCTTGCTCTAAAGTCATTTTCACAGGTTCTGCGTCATCATTTAGTAAGACTATTCTCTTCTAACTCCATGTTATCTTCATTTTCTTGCACCGGCTCTATAATATTTTGTTTATTTAGGGCTGATTTTACGATCGTCGGATAACTTTTAACTGAAGAATAAATTTGGCACATTGTTTCAGTATGGGAAATATAACAAAATGACAAGTTTATTCTTCAGTTAGAAGTTATCTGACGATGGTAAAATCAGCCCTTACTCGTTTTAACAAAGTTTTCATCTCCGACCGCACCGCATTCTTTTTTTGGCAAAGGAAAATAGACAGATTTTTTTATTGATTCTTCATACTTTTTTGGATTTATCAAGCACACAAACGTACCAGTAACTTCAGAGAGGCGCCGTTCAACGCACACAACAACAGAACGGCAACGTCACCGTGCCGTTTTGGAAATGGCGGCAATTAGAAACTAAGCAAGAAATTTATACGTTTGCGGATCCGCATCGCTGGATCCAGCACTGTATGCTGGATCCAGCATGTTTAAAAAGGCGCTGGATCCAGCTGGATTGCTGGATGCTGGATCCAGCAATTGCAATCCCTAGTTGAAGTACAACCCTCTTGCCCAGCAATGCGTGCAATGAAATGATGATGTCGATGTTTCATACAATAAGAATTCGTGACGCTTATCGTTTGGGATCGTGTCCAAACGTCTATTTCGTCAGTGTAGTGTCTTTCTATAATCGTAATGCCGGGTCCACACATTGGCTCCAACGTTGGTCCTAATGACATTCGTCCAACCAATGGATCTAGAAAATATCTATCCCTACGTTGGGACCAACGTGTTGAACCGGCCTAATTACATATTTATTTATTTTATTCGGAAAACATACAGTGAAACAATAACAGACTAATAACCACTGCTTAAGAAACTAACGAATGTTCTTTCTTCAGTATTCGAAGAGCTGCCGTCCACGGACAACGCGAGCGGGCTGCGCTCGGGCGCCGCGTCCGGGCCCAGCTCGCACACCAGCACGCCGCTGGAGCCCGGCGAGCGCGAGCCCGGCCCGCAGCTGCAGCGCACCGACTCGCAGTACTCGCAGGTACAGTACTACGCCGCGTCGGGCCCAGCTCGCACACCAGCACGCCGCTGGAGCCCGGCGAGCGCGAGCGATTATTTGCGGCTTTCCCGCCCGGTATGCACGGGTACAACGCACAGTCATGAGTACAGTGATAACTGAGCACTGTACCTGTGCCAGAAAGTTTTATTTTTATGGAGTTAATATAAATATTTGATTCAATATGTTTATTTATACCATAGTGATTTTTTGTAGTATCCAACAATGCTTTTCACCCGTCGCAATTTGCAGGAGTCAACACGTGCCAGCGGGCGGAACTCGCGCGTTCTCGTCGCGTCGCGGCATCTACGAAACGACTCCAAGACCATTCAGCTCGAGCCCCGTGCCAGGCAGCACTCGCTCGACGAAGATAGAGGTAAGAAAATAATAGAGAAGATTGTATGCCTTTTTTAGGTCGTATAACCCTTCGTTTTGCATTGTATAGTGCCATATATGTACTCCTGAAACCCTCCCATGTCATAATACTTAAACTTTTTTTTCTTCGCACGTGTACTATCACTAGCACCAATTAATCATATCGAAGCGGCTGGTTAAATTCGATATCTTTTTTCAGGTCACCCGGAGCGAAACCGTGCGGTCCGAAGCGACTCGCGCGACTCCCGGGACTCGCGGAGAGACTTCCCGCGATCCGCGTCACGTGACTTCGCCGGACACTCGAGATCTGGCTCACGAGATTTCAAGGTAACGTATATGATAAGTTTATTCTATTATAAACCATCTGGAAAAGCACAGCACGCGTTTGTGGTTAACTAGTTAAACGATCTATATCGTTTCATCCACGAAGACGCGCCCCCACCATTTTTCCGCTAATGTTTGAGTGTGTTATCGGTACACGCTAAATCATCCATGAGTGCACACGTGGCAAAATGCACGAAGGGAGTGCCCTCTGATGGTATAGTTACGCCACAGTTGGGTAGTGTAATAAATCTCATGTCACTTCTCATTCAGGTGCACTCGCGGTCGGACTCGCGCGAGCTGAGCCTAGAACAGCTGAAGCAGCTAGCGCTCAAGAGCATGGAGAGCCTGGACCTGACGGTGCTGCCGCTCAGCAAGTGCGCCGACGAGGAGAGCAAGCGCCTCATCGAGGGCGGCGTGCTGCGCCACCGACGCACCGGCTCCAAGGTCAGTAGCCACGCCCAGACTATTCTAGACCGATTGAAATATTTAGAAGACACTATAGCCGAGGTGAAGGGCGCCTCATCGAGGGCGGCGTGCTGCGCCACCGACGCACCGGCTCCAAGGTCAGTAGCCACGCCCAGACTATTCTAGACCGATTGAAATATTTAGAAGCCAGAGCCGAACGGTAAAGGGGCCGGACTGGCCCATTTTTCGACCCGTCGTCCCTCGACTATTGTGGCGAGCCCACTCGTGACACAAACATATTTTGCTTGGTACGAGAGGCTAACGGGACTATTAGCTTCTCCTATGCTTTTGTCTCATATCTGTGCAACCTCTGTCAACTGTTTTGTCTCAGATCTAAGACAAGACTACTTTGGTCATTTTGAAACATCATTTGAAAACCGTAGCAGTTGGGGGTGCAGTTTTGCGCGGCTCAATAGCACGCCAAAGGTTAATAATTGAAAACCAGCATGGGGCACACTGAAAACTAGCGCCGTGGCCTTCGTCACCGTGGGCCACGGCATATGCTGAGTGTGGTCCCGTTGCAGTGGGCATCTTGTTGGTGAATGGGTGGCACTGCTCAGTTTACTCTTGTTTTTATTTTTTCTTCTTCCATTATTATGTGCCACTGTCATGTCTATGTAATTGCCTGTATTTGTGTGATGTCCATTGTAATAAATGTATCTTTCTTTCTTTCTTAATTTGTGCAATACACGAATCATGCTCGTACTTCCCGCTAGCGAGCCGTGTGGCTGGGACCCGAATCAAACTTATCCACATCTAGACCAACCCAGCACGGCACGCGAGTCACACTAGGACTTCCTGCTCACGAGCATCCCAGACTTTGAAATGTTATGTGCAAAAGTCGGTGGCCGCTACGAGTGATCGATGGCCACTACAATTTGTATCTAGTGGCCGCCACACCGGTGACATGTCATAGTCACTGAGTCGCGAGTGCCGCGAACACTGGATAGTGAGTGGACGCCACTCGCTACATTAAGTGCAGCGATTCCATACAAAACGTGTTAAAAATCAAGTAAACAACTTACGACTGCCTGGAGATTGTGGTCGGTGGCCCGTTAGCGCCTTAAACCCTAAATTCTGTTGATAAGGCCCGCCTTACACGGACAGCTCGAGCAGTTAGTCAGTGATCAACATACACTGACCACTCTTGTAGTCAACAGTCAACAGCTTGAAGCTGCCAGTGATAACTGCTCGAGCAGTTGGTTCAACAGTTCGAGCGGTGGGCAATTTCAAATCAGTAGCACCATGGATTTTGAAGAGGAAGCACTGACGACAGCTCGAGCAGTCAGTGTATGGCTGGCGACTGCTTGACCACACGATGAAAATTCACCGTGCTGTCGACCGCCCGAATCAGTTGCAACTGCTCAAGCGGTTCGTGTATGTGCGTCCATAGAACTCTGCAGTTCACTGTGCAGTCGCAGCTTGAAGCTGTCGACCCTGACTGCTTCAAGCGGTCCGTGTATTGCCGGCCGAAGTAGGTAACAAAAGCTTATTTTTGAACGCAGGACCTGAAGCCGCCGGAGTCGCGGCACAAGCGCACGTCGTCGCACCACATCACCATGGAGCCGAGCGAGCTGAGCCTTCAGCTGCACAAGGGCCGCAGCGTGGACCAGCTGGCCAGCGCGCCGCTCGACCCGCGCGTCTGAGGCCCCGCCCCCCGAGTGATACCTAGTTAAATTGAACTTTCCCAACCCCTGAACTCACGTTCCGAATCTAGCGTAAATAAACGAGTGATTTCAAATCATATCTTTAGGTAGTCTTGACGCTTTCTTATAGATAATAAAAAACCTTAGCAAATTCGCTTAACGAACTCTTAGCGATTACGAATTCGGTTGAATTCTTGTAGTTCATTTAACTTTTCGTTCGTATGAAGGGAGTCAATTAAAATAATCTTGTGTTACACGTAGAGATATCCTCGTAACCTGTGCACGGTTTCTAGTTCTGAGGTGCGTCTTGTAGTAGCTTTCGATTAGAAATGGCAACTTTAAATATTATGAACAAAAAAATATTATATTAGTTAAATCTATCTATTTGTTTACTGTAATGTACTTAATAATGGTTGATTGATGTTATGACTAAATCGTTGATTCTGTAGCATTAAAATCTGAATTTTTAATGAATCAGACGTTGCAGACTGCATACCACCCTTGCCTTAACACCATCACTAAAATTAATATTGATTAAGCAAAGAAAATGTAATTTTAAAGTGACCATTGTAAACTGGAGCACTATCATAAGAAATGATTAATTTTAACCCTTGGAATAGGTTTATATTGCTCATTAGTAGCACCAAGTGAGCCAAGTAACCTAAAAGCTGTAATATTGGATAATAGAATATCTTTTGAATCTCACTGGCAAGAATATCTTTTAACACATACATCAGTCATATGGCATAATATAAGTTGTATAAATGTACATACAATTTTATTGATTTCTTGAACAACTAACTTTCATAATGGCCTATTTATGTCAATATTTAAAAGTGAACTGGTGAAATTTTATAGATCCACATTATGTTAAAATATCACTAGGTTTCTATACCCTCAATTGGGACATTAATGGCTAACTAACAAAAAGCAAACATAAAAAATCATATTTAACTTCTGTATTATATTGCACAAAACTTCCCATCATAGGCACACCATGCCAGCAGAAGTATCATTCAGAGAATATTTTTGTTACTAGTTAATTAACATTCCTTTAGTACTAATTACCTATTTGTTTTTCAGTGACAAGCACAAAACCACCAAAAAGTTGTAGCAAATATTCTAAGTACACTTTGTGTGTAAAAGGTTTTCCTGTATTTATTGTGATCTCAAAATGGTGAATTATGTCTTTGCCAGATGTGTGAAGTACGATTGTTTACTTTTCATAATGCAACATTGATTTGTAAATATTTATTTTTACTTTTTTACACATTTTTTAAAGTGTTTTTGCATTGCATTTGAAAATTATTTATAGATGGAAAATAATATTTGTCAATCATCATTTGAAATACCATTCCTAACTATCTAACAACCAGAACCAAGCACTTCTCTTATGTTCATTGCCAAAGCAAAATTATACATAGGTAATTGCATAATATTCTTAACATTTTGCTTTTTAATTAAACCTTCTCATAATTATTAAGCAGGTGTATTATCAGGTGATGATTGGCTCATTCATTAATATTATAACTTTGGCATTTATCAAATATTCTTGTACATTAAAAAATGTCAATTCTTCGGCTGCTCTTTAATTAAGTCAAGTACTAAGCTACGACTAGGGCTTTATTTACAGTGTTGTAATAACTAATTGTGACAATGTCATTGTTCTGCTTCACTTCAAGATTTTCCAGTAAGCACACTGCACTGTATTATAAATTATATTGGCGTTTTAAAGTTGTAATGTTATAATAACCAGCAGTCAACCAACTATATCCTAATTACGATTTTGACATACCAATTACAGCGTTTGCTGAAACTGGGTGTTCAACAATTTTAATATTGTGCATGACACTGTAAAGAAGGCCTTGTGATTTTAGTATATAAATGTGCACATATAGAAAAAGCAATATATTTATCTCAAATTTTAACATAAAAAGACAGTAAGTTGTCGCTGTAAATTTTTGTCGTATATTTGTTAAGAGAGACAAATAGTTTGATATGAAAGAGAGTGTTTTTATCTTGAAAATGCCTTATTACAATAGTTCATAAGACTTGATACTGACTTAGCTGTATATAAGTTGTTACATCAGTCTCGGATGGAACTGTTTGATGGTAGCAACTCCTAAACTAATTTGTTGCATTTAGTGATTAATAAAAATTGCATACTTATTTTAAACTACATTTTATTTACCATTTACCATAAAACAATCTGACAAGATCATCACTTCCAAACATTAAAACAAAATCTTCATCATCCAGGAAACTGCCTTGAAAATAATGGAAGTAATCCATGTTTTGTTGCTTTTCTATGCAATAAGAGCTTTTTCATAGTCACCTAGTAAAATTAAGAATTATCAATAGAAGAAACAAGAACCTAATGATAAAGCTGAAATCAACAGTTTTCATGAAGTTTTATGATTGGGTTATTGTAATGGGTCATGCAAGCTACTATTTCTACAGTCTAATTTTGATGAAATAATACACAAAATACAAATCTAATAATTTTATTTACTTAATATATTTACCATACATAGTACAACTACAAACTACACAACAACTTTTTAGATACTTTATAAAATTACACTTTAATCTAACTCACCACATTCTGAAATCACAACTTTTTTAGAGGGTTTGCCACTCTTCGACCCCAAACCTTCCATTTTCGTCACGACTTCCATACCATCCACAACTTCTCCAAACACGACGTGTCTTTTGTCTAACCATGGAGTTGCTGCAGTCGTAATAAAGAACTGGGAGCCATTGGTGTTGGGGCCTGCGTTAGCCATGGATAAAATACCTGGGCCGGTGTGCTTTAACTTAAAGTTTTCATCTTGGAATGTGCGACCATAAATAGATTTACCTCCAGTGCCATTGTGATTCGTAAAATCTCCTCCTTGACACATGAAATTTGGGATAATTCTATGAAATGAGGAACCCTTGTACCCAAAACCTTTCTCGCCTGTGCACAATGCTCTAAAATTTTCAGCAGTTTTTGGAACTACTTCAGTGTTTAATTTCATCACAATGCGACCAAGAGGCTCTCCATCTGCGGAGACATCGAAGAACACTTTCTTCTCTGGTTGGGTTGAAGCAAAACGAAGTGCCGCCGCTGAATATAAAGTTCCATTGACTATAGTACGGCGCAATATTGTGCTTATAGCCATTTTTAATTGTAGTTAGACAAGAAAAATTAAAACCCTCGATACCGAATTGAAATATTCGAAACTTCAAAAAGATAACCTCAAAAATTCATCCACTTATTTTTTTGGTTCCATTCTTTTAAAGGCAAAGGCATTACACTACACAGCCAAATCTTTGGATCTAGCTAGACGAAGTGCTTGACACAGCCATTAGCCAAATCTTTGGATCTAGCTAAACAAAACCAGTCAAAAAATGGATTCGATTGTTCATTTGATCAAAAAGTCTTTCTTTATGCCTTTGCTGTTTCAAGAACCATACCAAAATTACAGTGACAGCCACGTGACAGCTGACAGACATGTGCTCGGTGGTGACAGTGACAGGAAATTAGGAAAACATTCGAAATATTTATTTTTATCACAGAATTTCTACTGTATTTTATTGAAAAAATTGTCATATAGTCAGTGTATATAATTAGTGATTAAGAACAGACTCCTTTTCATTTACACAATCATTAAATTATAAGTAATCGCATTTATTTTGTGTATTTTCCGTAAAAATCAATAGCACCAAACAATGTATTGTGTCCGGTCAATATTCAACGTTTTAAAATCTCATAGAAAGGTTTCTGCCGTTCATAAAGTTGTGAACGACAAGCCGATCTACCAGCCAATTCGTTTTATATCACAACTTGATGAATCTGGTAAGGTTTCATTCAATAAATATAATTATTTTAGGAATATAATTATTTTATCTTTCTTCTAAGTTTTCTAGGCTTTCTACTAACAAAACAAACAGTAATAGAAATTTTGCCTTTTAATATATTTTTTTTGTTTGCAGATAAAATTATCCAAGATTTGTGCAACAATGATCCAAAACTAGAAAAGAAATTAAGAATTTTGATGTTGGAAGTAGAAGTAATGCGTCAAGATGGGCGCTATGCACCCAACTCGTTAAATACTAGCCAATGGCAACATTTAATGAGTCTACAAAGTAAAAACCAAAGAAATAATTACCTTACATATCTATGGAAAACTGAAAAATCAAGAGAAAATCAAAAAGTATGTCAGTTTTTACACTTGTTGATAAATGGGTTCAAATTGTTTACAAACGTAATCATAGTGTCTGTTTACCTCTTTTAATCTAGGCTAAAAAAGAAGCAAGAAGAAAAGCATTTGAAGAATCGAAGCCAGAAGAGAATAAAGAATTTCCTGACGATGTTTTATATGGATTATCACATCAAGCATTGTTTTTGAGAATTCGAGACCAGTCAATAAATAATTTTGACAATTACAGGTAAATTAAACATAGTTTTGTTTTCTATTACAGACATTTAGCCTACTGGTTTATGAAAAGAACTAGCTTTTGCTTATTTTATTCTGGGTTATAAAGAATAATACTGTAAAGTTTCACCAAATTCCGTTCAGTAGTTTTTGCGTGAAAGAGTAACAAATATCTATCCAGACATCCAAACTTTCGCATTATAATATTAGTAGGATAGTAGAATTATGTAAATTAGTAGTTAAAGGCTTATAAAAAGAAAATGTTTGTGATAAGCACAGTGGGTCTAGACAAAGTGCAAATTATATCGCAAACCAGTCGAAAAGTGGTCGAAAAGCCCCTTTTTTGTATGGAGTTTTGACGGATTCGATTTTCGATTCGATCAAAAAGTGCGTTTTGTCTAAGGGGGCAAGTGTCTGTACTTGCAAGTTTCAAATATTTATTCTTAATTCATTTATTTTATCCTTCCTTATTCATATACAAAGAGGTACTGAAAAATTATCTAAAAACAAAACAGCTACCCTATTGTATTGTTCTTTCACAATTTCAGGGCACTACAAGCTATTCAGTATGGATTACCGATAGTCATTGACTGTTCCTATGAAGAACATATGGTATTGCGAGAAACAATAAATTCTGCGAAACAGTTGACTCTTCTATTTGGTGACAACAGATTGCACAAAGATCCTTTTGACTTACACTTGTGCAATGTAAACTTGAAAGGAGATTTTATGAGGCAACTTCGCAAAAATATACCTTCTTTGGAGGAACCATGGTTTCCTCTACATATCCACACCAAATCTTACCTGGATGTTTTTCCAAAAGATAAATTGGTGTACTTGACACCTCATTGCAGAGAAGAACTAACAGAATTTGATCATGATGCTATTTACATCATTGGATGTATGGTTGATAAGGTATTTATTACCATGTAGGTATATTAATGTAATAGTTCTACTCTAGTCCATTTTACATAATATATTAATTTGTTTCAGGTGAACAATGAACCTCTTTCTTTAGCTAAAGCTAAAAAGGATGGTGTAAAAATGGCCAAATTGCCTTTAGATAGATTCATGGAGTGGGCTCCAGGCTCAAAAAAGAACTTGAATGTCAACCACATGGTACCCATACTTTCAGATCTTAAAATCTCTGGCGATTGGGAATTTGCTCTCCGTCACGTACCCAGGAGAAAATTGATGGAAACTAAAATCCTAGCTATGCAAAAAAAGATGAAAAATAATACCCTAATTAAGGAAGATCTTTTCCGCAGTCTAAGGGTCCCATCGAAATCTAAAGGTTTTGGTGTGAAAGAAAAGAAAGTGAAATCTAGGAAATCCTTGTATGATGATGATAATTTTTAAGTAAATAAAACAATATTAAATAGAATTAAAGATGTCTTTATTTCATATGTTTTAAGTTTTATATTCTGTCATAGAGAATAAAAGATAAAATATACTTTCTTACAATTTACTAAGTAAAAATAATTAAAACTACAAACTATTTTTTGTACACCATATTAAATGATTTCGAACAATGTATGTATACCTATATACAATCATGCTAGTTTGAATGTGAAATATTCAAATTTCATACAACTTCATTATTATGATACATTTAGCATAGTTTCTCTCTTTTAATGTGTTGTCATCCATGGCATTCACTTATTGCACACATATTTCAATAATATGCTTCGCACATTTTCTATGTACTATTTTATTCTCAAAACAATTATTCTTGAAGTTCTTATTATTATCTACATCCATCATGTTCGAGATTTAGTTTTTACTCTATTCATAATTACATCAAACATATTATCAAGCATTACATAAATCATAAAACAATCTAAGCACTATTTTTGGGAAAGGGCAATTACAGAAACGAGATCGTTCAGATGTAGGCTCCATCGCCTACAAAGTAAATCGACAAGAAGTAAGAAGTCTTGTATCGAACAACACAAAAATGTGATGTTAACTAATAATATAAGTATGCATTGCAAATTACTAACGAATATTGTGCATAGTACTAAAATAAAAGTGTGGAAGAAGTGGGCGATCAGGGTAGAGGCAGAGTGCGCATGTCGACGTCGGCCGGCGGCGGCTCCGAGCGCTGCTTGATGGTTGCCAGGATCTCCTGCAGGTTGGACGGCAGCGCGATATCCGACAGCGGCACCGCCGGCGGCGTCATGGGCCGCGAAGGCGAGTACGCTTCGTCCTGCTGAAATAAAATAATTCATGAGTAATTCGAAAACACAACCTTTTTAAAAAGACTGTATTCTGGTCTTAAATTTCGTTCGTTTTCAGCCAAATGACGTCCACTGCTGGACAAAGGCCTCCCCCAAGGCTTTCCACATAAAGGTCTTAAATACTTAAATAATTTTAAATTAAGATTTTTGGTTGCATTGTGATTGATAAAAGACAAAGTAGTTTGAGTTGAAAAGATAGTGACGTCACTTGCTTGTATCTTGTATTGCCATACAAAATCTATGGGATTGTCTCGTTTTGACATTTTTTAAAAGTACGAATTGGACCGAATGAGCTCACGCCGCGAACTGATAGAATGACGATTTATTAAGTTGTTTTTTAAAAGTTCTCACCTCTCCAACTGAAGAATCGGCTCTTGCCATCTTGAGGATCTGTTGCTTTTGCTCCTCTATTTGTCTATTTAGTTCTTCCATTTTGGTGCGTAACGTATTGGACGCCGGCTGACTCAGCGCGGAAGCGGGCGCGCTGCCACTGCTGCTTGAAGATCCAGGACTGTAAGCTTCATCGTCGTCAGCCGATGCTGAAAAGATTTCAATTCATCACAAGTTGCAGAACAAATAAACTAGCGCGATACAATTTTTTTTGTGGATCAATTTGGCAGTTGCATGCGCCATGATGACCAAAATAAATGCGGGTGGATGGTCATGGTAAAAAAAGTGTCTACCCTCTTTTTAGACTTTCGACGCTGGTATCACTAATCGCTAACTCACTTTTATTTCACATAAAACGATCTCGTAAGGATATGGCGCTACTTCATATAAATGTAAATAATAATGAGAGAAATCCAAACAATTCGAGCATTTGAACAACAATATTTGAAACAAAGATACAACATAAGTTCGCCTTATGTTCAAATTTATTTTGGCATAAAAGTTTAAATAAATAAATAAATAAAACATACCCAAGGAGGCGGCGATTTTATCCTTGACTGAAGTAGAGAGCGCAGGCGAGGTGTAGGCGGGCAGCGGCAGCGCGGGCGGGCGGCGGCGCGGCGACGCCGGCGATTGGGCGCCCCGCCCGCCCAGCGGCGGCGTGTATGAACGCTTGCGCGATTCTCGCGCCACCTGCAGCGTGATACTTGATTGAATATACTTAACGCAATAAGTTTACGAAGCAAGTGACTGATCCAAAAATTTTAGCCTTCAAAGGGACATAGATTGAGCCTACCAATAGAAGCGACTGTATTTACCTACAAGAAGTGGGCAATGCCATCTCTGGGTGCGTGACATGGGAAACTTCTTCCAAATAGTTGATGCCAAGAAGGGGATTTCTTTAAATCTTCTTGATGAAGCGAGAGGTGATTAATAATCACAGAAAAAGGAACTTCCTATGCCATAGGAAGTGGCGAGGTTAGTCCTACAGATGCATAGCAATTNTAGCAATTTAATTTTGAAAATAATAAAAAAATTAGGGTAAGGAACTTGGGATGTCAGGATTAAAATAAATAACCCAAAGACGGTTTATTTTTGTGTAACTCCAAAAACAAAAGAAACCGCTGAGAAAGTAACCTATCCTCTTTGCTGTCATAATTTTTTTGCAACGCAATAAAAAAGGCCATAACGAAACAACATTTTTATTTATCATTCTCGCCTAGCACAAACTAACCTTTGCGGGGACAATCTCTTGTTGAATATGTTGGAGCAAGCGTCTTTTCCTTTGCCGTATAACGATGGCGATCAAGAGGTGCGTCTTGGCGTCGCCGAGCCCGGGCCCGTCCAGCGGCAGCAGCACGGCCGGCAGCGCCGTGTTGGCGGGCAGCGGGACGATGTAGAAGTCCTTCACGGACGTCGTGTTCGAAACCTTCACCACTCCTAACCTAAAAACATAACATCGTCATTATCTCTTCGCGTGCCAAGCGGCCGTAAATAATCAAAGAAATTCATTCATTTTTATTTGCTTTATTTCAGCACAAATGTACGGGTGAGGAAAATAAAAACACAATAGGATCGCATTACAAAAAAAATAGGCTGATATTTTTTTTATTTTAATCATTAATCTTTGGCACAGTACGAACCTATTTCGACTACTGAGATAGCTATACAACGCGATATACTGCATCTTTTCTTCGTCGTTCGCGGCCTGCAACCGCAGCACCACAATGTCTTTGTTGCTGGCCCTTTTCATTTTCCCGATGTAGTCCCAGACGGTGTCCGGGTTTATTCTTCCGACGATGTCCAGCTCGGCGCTCAAGTCTTCCTCCAAATCTGCCGCAGTCCCGGACACCTCGTGGGCGGCGACGTAGAACCGCGCCACGTCCACCATGTTGATGCACCCGTTCCAAACGGTCGCCGCAGAGTTATCCACTGTGCTACTTGGTTCTTGATCGCTCTCGGCTTCTATAAAGTGGAAAACATATTTTAATACAGTGTAATTCATCCGCTGTGCAAACATTTAATTCGAGACGAGACTGCAAAAAAGAAGACTTGTAACTTTATTTTTTTTAAATGCTTAAAAATAATTTAATACATTCACAACAAAAGAATATCAGTAACTTAATACCTGACACTTTATCCTTTCTTCTAACATATTTAGACTCGGGGTTTATAACGGCGGCATCTATGGAGAAGCTCTTCGAAGCATCATAATCTTTATTGTCATATTCCTCCACCTCATCCTTGTAGGTGTCCTCGTAGACGTCCTCTCTGGACTTTCGCAAGTCTTCTTCCGAAAACGCTGACGTTATCATCGGCTCGTGAGGGTCGTATTCGGGGTGTACTTCTTTTAACATTGCCGACTTAGGCCTTTCTACGGAATCGGAATCTGTGGAGCTAGAAATATTGAAACGTGAAAGGATGAAAATAAAAACAAATAGATGACGCAGATATTTTTACAGAAATTTACGTTTATATCCGTTGTCTAGTACCCATAGTACAAGCTTTGCTTAGTTTGGGGCTAGCGGCGTAGTGTAAAATGTCCAAGGATATTTATTTATTTATTTATTTATATAAGTAAACACAAAAATAAACTTTACTTACTCATGTTTAGTTTTCGTGCAATTGTCCTGCGACCTAGAGCGGTGCACGGGCTTGTCATCGGCGCTGGTGCGGCGCGCGCGCGTGCGCGGCGGCTCGCGGCGCCGCGAGCCCGAGCGCGAACGTTCGCGGCGTCGCGAAACCGACCGCGATCGTTCTCGCGACTTGGACCGCCGCTTGGATTTGGCTCGTGACCGCGATCTGTGTCTCGACCGCTCGCCGATTTCAGTCTTTTCTTTCGAATCCTCCCGGGACTCTGATTTCGCTCTGCTCGATCTTTTGTCCGACCTCCTGGTCGATCTGCGGCTCTCCCTTGAATCCTTCTCCTTCATCTCGGATTTGCGTCGCGAGGAGCGAGATTTTCTGCTGTCCGAATCACGTTTCGAGTCGCGTCTGTCCTTTTTGGAATACTCGAAGCTGTCGTCCCTTCCCCTCTTTCGACTATGTTTTTTCTCGGCGCTATCTCCTTTGCTTGATGTGGTATTTCTGTAAAAATAACATATTGTTTGGTCAAGTGAACATTTTATTTTTAATGACTAAAAGGTAATTTAAGATAACTTGAATTCACGTACAATTCCTGTGAAGTATCATCTGTCTTAGATTCTTCCCCAGCTGTTTCTTCGTTTAATGCAGTAACCACATCTTCAATAGGCACGTTTGGATCCAGTTCTGTTGAAACAGATTCTTTTGTTTCCATTACCTGTAATTACAAAGATTATATTATTTTTAGAAATTTAAAATAGGTATTTTAACTGTAAAATTATTTAGACAAAATGTTACCTCTTCTCCCTTATGTGTTTTTAGAACATATGTTTTGCTTGCAGCTAGTAAGTCTAGTTCCGATTTCTTTATCAACTCCAATTGATGTTTTGCTTCTTCCTCTCTCCATTGAGCCAACTCTTGACTCGCGAGTTCTTCTGGTGATAGTCGCACCTAAAAATTAAATTAAAATAAATAAAACATTAAATACAAATAAACTTATTAGCAAAAGTAGTAATAAAAATAAAATTTTACCAACCAGTTGTTTGGGTGTGATAGTTCGGTCACAAATCTTCTGCCACAGTGAAAGATTCTTTCGATCCTTTATATTAAACATCAAAGATCTGTATTTGGCCTTATATTTCATACCAACATCTCTGAATAATTCATGTAATTCAAGTTCAGTTTCATTTGCAAAGTCCATTATTTCGTCTTCACTGAATTTGGGGCCAGTGTTCTCTGCCATTCTGAGACTCATTTGTTCTTGCAAAGCTTTTTTCACATTATCACGAATCGAATCAGATGAATCAACCATTTTGTTTTTGCTATCCAATGAGTCTTTTCGGCGCGATGTTGATGGAGAGACTGCAGGTACCTATCGAGCAATAAATAATTATCATAAAGTTACCAATCTATGCTAGTAATCAAAGTTCAAACAACTTCAAGGTTATAGCCATCATAAAAGGATACAGTTTTAGACAAAGTTTCCACTATGATCTGGGAGCAAAATAATGATTGTGTACACATGTTTAGAATTTGTTGTTAGATAATTAGTCATGGCATGTTTTAATAATTATAATAAAATAAAAAAAACTTTACTTACTTTTTCAGATGAAACCTGTGATCGATTTGAAGTGCGAACTAACCGCCGCGGTTCACTCATTGACGGTTTGGCTGTGGAAGTGCTAGGCCGGGGCGTATCAATGTACTGTGTTTGTTGTTGTTTCAATGCAACCGGCGTTCTCGGCTGTGGAGACTGCTTTAGTTCTTCTCTTGGAGAAGCTACAGTTTTCATAATCCTTTCTTGATGAAGTGACCTAGATTTTAACTCCATATGCTGCGCCTTAGGTCTTGCATCAGATTGAGCCCTCAATTTAGACTCTTGCTGTTGAACCCTGGATTTTGTTTCCAGCAGAGATTTACTTGAGGAAGGCTGTTCAAGTGACTTCTTAGGTACTCTTTCAAAATTAAGAGTAGTTTGTATTTTATTGGGCTCATTGGACACTTTCTTTTTCGTGATGGTCGGTCTGATAGGGCTAAGACTTCCGGGTCGCACCACTTCAAATGTAGGATTTTTTTGTAACCAGGCTTTTAGATTTTCTGCAGTTGGAGCATTAGGTCCTGCCAATAATTTTCCAGACTTTCTTTCAAAAACAATAACCTGAAATAGCAAATTATATTACTACTGAAGTACTTGAGCAAACAGTGCATACAGGCAATTTGGGAGTATCTCTCTTAAATGGTATTTAATTGATGAAATCAGTGGTCTAAAATTCGGGACCTACTAATGCCTACTTTGAAATAAAGGCTGCCACCACTGCTGTGGTCTAAATTTGTTGGCAAAATATTAGTATAAAATGTACCTAAGCATTCAAAGCACACTAGTTAAGTGCCTGAAAAATCTTACCCTTGATTCTGCCTTATTTTTGCCTTGAGTTTTCCCAGAATTACTTTCAGATTTGTTTGGAGGTGGACTTAAAGAATCCTGTGCATGTTTGAGAATGCACGCGTCACTACAGTAAATACTACTAGCCCGTGCGTGTTTCTTACAAACAATACAATTTGTTTTTAATGTTGCTTCTTTGACAACTGATGAAGATGTGCTTATGACATCAGTTTCATTTTTCTTTTGTATTGTTGCCACCTATTGAGTAAAACAATATTAAAATAAAAATAAATTGAGTCTAGTAGAAGAAAAAACATATAAATATACAATATGAAACAAAAAATAATGAAAAATCTGTAATGATACTTTTGGGAAATCAATTCTAATATTGTGCTATTTAAATGTTTTTTAACAACAAAAGGCAAAGGCTCAACGGCATCAATATTCTCTTGTAATCAGCAATATGGTGAATAGTGAAGATAATTCTTATTAGACTCTTTAATTACTAACATATTTAGGTGATTAATTACCTTTGGGGTTGTGTTTGCTGCAGTTTTCGGCGTCTTCTTAATACAGTTGGGGCACCTCCACTCTATACCCTGCTCCTCCATTGCCTGCCCCATTGCTTTCGTAATGTTGACACATTTGCCGTGAAACCAATCCTCACAGCCGTCACAGCATATCATGAAACGATTATTGTGGGGCTGTCTACAGATACACCATAACCTACAAGCAAGGTAAATATTTACAGAAATTGATTACACCAATCAACGTTAATTTAAAACCCACAAGACAAACATCAAATTATAATTTACCTGTAAGGATCATCTTCAGAATTCCAGCTCTCCTGTGATTCTGCAGACATTTTATCAACTGGGGCTTGAACCACTTGCTCCTGTTTCTTGTTGGACAGTTTCTTATTCACATATTGTTTGGACACTGCCTGCACCTGTGGCTCAGGGGTGGTGACCACAGGCGGCGAGGGCACCGAGACTGGAGTTGGTATCACGTCTGCACTGCTGGATGTCTCCATCTGACTCTTCCTTTTTGAAGATCTCGTTGCTGGGGCTTCTATTGGTGGCAAAGTAATCACTCTCCCATCTCTTCTCACTATTTCTATGGGATCCTTACGAGTGGCAACACTCTTTGCAGACTTTGTGAGAGTTTGGGCATACAAACTGGGTGCTTGTTGGAACGGAGATTGCACAGGCACTTTTACAGGTGTAGTGTCAACTTTGCCCAAAACTTGTTTGTCAATAACCTCTTGTAAGTTTTCTGAACTTTCCACCAGCTGAGCTACATGCATTAGCAAATCTTCTGTCAAGCCTTCTTCTTCTGGTTGCAAACCACCCAGTAAATCAAGTGTTGGAGACAATGGCCCTGCAAGGCCAGGGCTGGCCATTGAATTTCCAGTTGTAATACCAGGCTGCATTTTCATTGGGTGTGCTATACCCGATGTATCTTGAAGTATTTGTGCCAAACTAGCATCATCTAGCTGAGGTATAGGAGAAGAAAGATCATACCCTTTAGAAATCTTGTCAATAGGTCCTGTAGTTTTTTCTTTTTGTTTGATGTATGTTTTATGTGCAACACTGGGTTTAGGTTTTTCAGAGTTGTCCTCGAGCACTTTGAGAATACTCTCTGTTGATTTAAACTCATTTGTATTTGATTCCATTGTTTTCAGATTAGACACATTCTTTTTATCAGTGGTAGGATCTTTAGCTTGGACCTTATTATCAGTAGATACCCTTCTTATTACGTCTGGTGTAGAGAATAGTGAAGTCATGTCAGACAATAATGCTGTAACATGAGCAGGTGTTTTCTTTTCTTTCTTAGCTGGTTTTGGAGTGTGTTTTGTCACTACATTTTTGCTGTGATCTGGGGTTGCAGTCATGTTCAAGGATATCTCAGATGATGGTATGAGGCTTTCTAAGTCCACATTAACATTTTGGACTCTCTTTTCAATAGTAGGCTTGATTTGAATTTTTTCTCTCACCTCTTTCTTCAAGATATTCTTATTAGATTTTAATCTGGCAGCCACTTTTGGATCCAACTTCGCAGACTTGGGTGTAACATTCTTCAATATTCGGGGTTTCAATTTGGTTTTTTTCACTTTCAATGAAGCACTTCTATCTTTAGTCTCTTTATAATCAGAATCAGAGTCTCTATCAGGGATGCTGTCACCAGAGCTAATAGATGATGATGAGGATGATGACTCATCAGTCTTTTGTAAAGTATCACCCTTTTCTTGCTCTTTAACATTCTTTGTCTTTGACAGAACAGGTAAAGGCTTATTGAGAACATCATTACCTTTCAGTATAATTGGTGATTCAGGGGGATTTAAAATAATCTTTTTGCCTTTAGGAATAATTTGCTGTTCCAGAATAGTTATTTTCTTTGAATTAGGAACAGGTTTTGGTGGTGGAGTATGTGTTATTTCAATAACAGGATCATCATATCTGTCACTACTTTGTGGCAAATTCTGACTGGGAGAAGTAAAAGGTGTGTAGCAGTGATCATTTTGAAAGCCAACCAAACTATTTTCCCTTGTCTCTATTCTCAATGATTGTAACATTTCAGCACCACTATCTGCAAAAAATTAATAAGAAATATTATTTATTAAGCTTCACTCTGACAATAATTTATACATTTTGAGTACTAAAGGTGCTTATAATAGTTTAGTTACTTACCATATTTTATGATGCTGTTAGGTTCATCGTAATAACTGTCCACAGATAGTGTGACATGGGGAACTTTATCATCATCGGATTCTGAATCTGTAGCATCATCTGGTTTACCTTCATGGCCTACTCGAACAACACTTATCCCTGCAGCTTGGGATCCATCTGTTCCTACAAGCACAAGATAATTTAGTTTGAACTTCGAGTACATAAATCTGTAATTCTGAAACTAAATACTAAGAATAGAATTCTATCATTGCATTGGGTAAGTTTTTTGGAAGAATGCATTCTAAAATTGGTTATAAATGAATCTTTAATTTTGGCGCCAAAATTTTGTGTTTATGCTCTTGGCGAATTACAATTATTATCCTTATTATTTTTAATCATAAACACACAAGAAATGATACTTTTAGGTAGATTCTTGAAAGAAGGATGGTAATTAACTCGGTAATAGAACCAAAAATGCACATTTATCTATAAAATCAATGCTACATGTTTACAACGAAAGTGTTATTACAAATGTGGCTGATCAGTTCCAGTTTATGCCACTTTGGAAATCAAAAGTATATGAACGAAATAATAATGTGCATAATACGTACCCATCAATGTACCGAGTAAATTCTGATCAACAGAAAGGGATCCATCCTTGTTTACAATAACAACAACAGAACTATCCGCCTTCGTTGAAGGCCCATTGAGGTCCGTGTAATTAGTGATCACAGTATTTGACATTTTCTATAGCAATCCAATGCAGTTAAAATAATGCAAGTCCTCTATTTATAGCCATTCTAAACACATGCACCGCTTCTATTTATGACGCATTCTATGTAAGAACGCCCGCCGCCATTTTATGAACGTATTCAGCCGCCCAATAGACATAAACGATAAAATTACGTAAACACTGCACTTTATTACACAAATAATATCGTGGAAATTTGGTTTACAAAAGTTAATTATTTATCAATCACTTTGAAAACCAAAAAATAACCAAAAATATTATTTTACTGAAGCATGCACGTAAAACGCGTCTAGTGATGTATAAGCTAGGGTTGTCATTTGGCAATATGTTATGAATCGAATTCTTTGTTCAATTGCAAGTTTCAAAATAATGTACTAAACAGAATATTATTATTATTTTAGTATATTCGAATATTCCCTAATAGTACACTCCAAAGTATACACTCTTCCAAAATTTCAGAAAAGTCTCAATAGAAATAATAATTAAGGGAATAGAACATCTTTATGCTTTATGTGCATAAAAATGTTTCAAAGAAAGTTGGCAACATAAAGATAAGCTAATAACTATGGCTAATAAATGCTAATAAATGGTATCTCTCAACATTTTCAAACTTTTTGCACTACAAAAATTTAGTACAATATACATAATTGTTTGAAGTCATTAGTGATATGTTACAACTATTCAATTAATAAAGTATATTCAATTGAAAAATAATGTACTCAATTGAAAAAAAAACTGCAACTTTTTTCTCGGCATTCCCGGTTTACGTCATTGATTTATGAAAAGAATATGGAGAGGTCTTGAGCTCAATTTTCCCTTGATATTTTTTTTAAAGGAGTCAAGTTGAACTCTTTTTTTACTCATGGCTTCATTCAAAGCTTGATTCAGAGTGGAATAAGCGGGTGAGGGCGTGACTGCGAGTAGTTGAAAAATCCGGGTCCCTAGCGCGTGTTTTGCCCTACACAGCCCTACACAATCAACAAAATTAAATATGTCAACATTCAACAAAATTGGCTACAAAAACTGTTGAAGGTTGAGATGTTTTTTGTTGATTGTGTAGAGCTAAATACGCGCTGGAGACCCGGCTTAATCTAACCATTTTCACCATACAGCCGCCAAAGTGCAACAGACGCCAAGCCATTAAGAGTCTAGAGTGACCGCGCCACTACTCTGAATGTTGCGCTGCAATTTTATGATAATGCTAGAAATAGAAGTCAACTTATAAACTTACGTCCGTGAGCTGCGGACGGAGTGACTCCAAAGAATACGTGACTCTTTCTGAGCAACTCTATTGCNTCATCACATGTCTTGTCCTTTTCTAACACGCACATGATCAAATCATTCCTTCTTACTCGCTCGGTCGCTTCGCAGAGCTGCGCTCACGAACTTCGCTCGAATGAATGAATGAAATTCATGTGATTCGTGATTTCGTTGACTGTGAAATTATAGCAGTCTATGTGAAGTAAAATAGCAGAGCCCCGATTACGGTAACTTTTAACGTTTACAATCCAGACACGCTTCTCGATTCTGCGATACGATTGGTCGTTCAACAGCGTTCGTCAGCTGTTTCGACCAATCGTATCGCAGCGTCGATGAAGCGTGTCTGGATTGTAGACGTTAAAAGTTACCGTAATCGGGGCTCAGGTGTGATTAATGAAATTCATTTCATATGATTTTTCACCTGCTATTCATGAAATGTTCCATGCCTAATGATAATGCTAGAAATAGAAGTCAACTTATAAACTTACGTCCGTGAGCTGCGGACGGAGTGACTCGGCTGGTAATCATAGAACAAAAAATGTTGTCCTTATAAAATACCTATATAATCTGTGGGAGCAATCCATTAACTGACATACTGCACCCCCCTCGCTTCACCCCTCGCCCTTCATCTTTTGACCACAGCACAGATGACGTGAAGTTGACACTGACAGTGAGTGACTGACAGTTCGACATTACAGTTTTGCTTGCGCGCGTTGAACGTTGTATGTTCCCCGCTGTAAATCTGTAATAATTATCTTCTATCGATAATTTGCGAAAAAGGACGTTTTTATTTAGTGCTAATTTACGCAAGGACGTTTAAATTATTAGTGCTAAGTTACGACAGGACGTTTTATAGTGATAGTGTACAATATGGATGTTTTAGTGCGATAGTTACGACAGGACGTTTTCTTTGGTTAAATAAAATGTATTTCAAGTGTTGTATAACAAATTGTGGTAGTAAACGAAAGGACGTTAAACTCCACAAGTTTCCTACTGATGAAGATCAGAAGAACAAGTGGCTCGACTGTATAAACAGCGATAGTTTGAAGTCAGTTAACGTCGACAAATTGCTTGTTTGCCACAAGCATTTTGAAAAAAGATTTCATACAACTAAATCTGGAATTAAGAAATCTGCCTATCCAACCCTTTTTACTGTCAAGGAAATTGAGGATGGCATTCCATCAAAGTCATTCTTTGATAAAGGTAACTAGCACTATAAATACTACCACAGAATGAGTACTACTAAGGCTGAGTTGCACCACCAAACTTTGACCGTAACTATAACGTTTTTTGTATGGATTTTCAGCGATTTTTGATGTTTGTCAAAGTAAAAGTAAGATGGTGCAACCCAGCCTAAGACTATAAAATAACTCCAGTTACTTTGTTCACATTATTCTTTTAGCAGTTTATTAAGAACAAGTATTTGCAAGGTTAAAAAGTACTTATGTTTAGTTAAAGTAAATATTTTTCGGTTGTTTTTTTCAGATAATAAACATGTTGATCACACTTATACACGTAAAAGGCACTTTGATCATTCATACTGCAAAACACAAAAATATGTGTTTACTGATTTAACCAATATGCCATCAACATCCACTAGTACAATTGAATATGAGGGGAATATGGAGATACTGGCTGGTAATTTTTTATGTTATGTAGTTTAATATATTATGATCAAAAATTAAAAATACCCTACAGATAAGTAAATACAGTGTCTGGGGAAGTAGTGATCAAACTGGAAGGGCGTGATATATGGACAATAAAATTTTATAGATGAAAATACTTTAATCAGGGATTTTGCACAATTTATTTTTTATCATCTTGTCAAATAAAGTATGAAAACAGAATGAATTTGTCCCTTATTTCAACAATAGCATCGGAAGTAATAGACATCTTACTAATATTATAAATGCGAAAGTTTGTATGGATAACTGTTACTTTTTCACCCAAAAACTACTGAACGGATTTTTTTGAAACTTTCTAGTATGATTGTTTATAACCCAGAATAACATATAGGTTGTAATTTATGACGATCTGTGACATCCTAAATTTCACGGTGAAGTTGTGGGCAAAAGCTTGTAGAGTAATATTTTTGCTCTCATTTTATATTATAGTTATAGAATTATAGAATAGCTTAAATACTATGTAATACAATGCAAATTAAACATACTTTAATAACCTGAGGTGGAATTGTGTAAAGCAATCATTATCATTTGACAGTTCATAACATATGATTATGCTGTCAAATGCTTTGTTTAACTGACTTAATCATACGTTATGAACTGTTTAATGATTACGATTGCTGTACACAATTCCACCTCTGGTTTTTATATTTTAAAATGACTGGAAAATATGTGAAAAAAGAACAGGAATTCATGCCTTAAAGTTTGATCATTACTTCCCTCAACACACTGTATATTTTATAAAGCTAGTTAATCAATTTAAATTTATGTATTTTTAAACATTTTAATAACAAACAAATAAATTTAAAATTTGTGTTCACAGATTTAACCAATATGCCATCAACATCCACTAGTACACTTGAATATGAGGGACATATGGACATAACTGCTGGTAATTTATTATGTTCTATCATAATTAGAAAATAAATTATATTATCTACAAGTAAAAATGAATTAAATAAAGTGAAGTGAATTTATTATTTACTCTAATATTAATTGTATATAATATATTTTCAGATACTATGGTTGCTTCATCCTCTTCTGTTGCAAATAATGAGCCTGCATCTGCGAATAGTGAGTTTTTCGACTGAAAAACCTCTTAAATTAATTTAGTTTTAATTAAAATTTTAAATGATTTTTTTTTGTTTAGGTATTCTGATATCACCACCCAGAAAGAAGAGGCTTATTCGTAATTTTGAGCAGCTTACACCAAAATGCAAGCAATTATATAAAATATTTAAAAAATCAAAGAGACAACTGAATTATAATGTCCGGGCCAAGAGAGCATTGGCTTTTTCGAAGAAAAATAATTTTGAAGAAATGACCAAAAATATGAATCCGATAGCAAAAAAAATGTTTGCTATGCAAATAAATATTTGCACTAAAGCAAAAAAAGGGCGAAGATTTAAATTGGAAGAGAAATTGATTGCTCTATCTATTTATAAACAGAGCCCCAAAGCCTACAGATTTCTCCAAAAAATTTTTATTCTGCCATCTAACACCACGCTGAAGAAATTAATAGCTGGGCTAGATATAAAGACAGGCATAAACAAGCAATTATTTGCAGTCATTAAAGATGAGGTATGTAAATGCTAATTGTTTCTGTTTTTTTTTTGGATTATCACTCGCTCATCGCGAAATCTCAGAAAGGTGCTTACTAAGAAGGGATTTTACAAAATTCAACCCATTAGGGGGTAAAACAGAATCCATATTACAGTCATAAATTATTTATCCGATTTCATATTTTTTACATTGTTGTTTCAGGTCAGTTGCTGGGAAGAAAAAAAAAAGTATTGCACCATTATGTTTGACGAAATGGCTCTTGAACCGGCTCTTTTTTATTCAAACAAGAATGACAATATCTCAGGATTCGTCGAGCTCAACAAAAAAATTAATAACCTGGCAGACCATGCTCTCGTATTTATGGCTAGAGGTGCTGTCTGCAAATGGCAACAGCCTGTGGCGTTTTATTTTACAGAAGGAGCAGTTTCATCACAAAATTTACAAATAATTTTGAAGGAAATTGTAAATGCCGTTGTCGAAACTGGCCTCCTCCCCATTGCCCTTGTGAGTGACCAAGGGTCTTCGTTTCAATCGGCATTAAAAACCCTGCAGGAAAATACCAGAGGTGAACAAATACGTGCTGGTATAGAGACAGGTCAGCATCTAGTCAATTGATTTTAATATATAATTCATTTACACACAGTAAATAAAGACTTATTTATTATACACAAACAAACAAAGTTTTTCTCTTTATAATATTAGTGTAGATGACAGTAAAAAAGAGAATAAATTATTGTCCTTTATTTACAGATGATACTATTAATATTTCTGGTGCTTCACTAAGTGTCATTTTCGATCCACCACATTTGATAAAAGGGATACGTAATAATTTTATAACGAAAAATATAAAAATGAATGGAAAAATATCAAAGTGGCAAGACATAGTCGACGTATACCAGACCGACTGCAAACACACTCAAAGTCGCTTACTACACAAAATAAACGACGAACACGTCATTCCCGAAAAAGTGAAAAAAATGAAGGTAAGAAAAGAGAATCACACTTCTTTACTCAGTTCTTTGTTTTCAGCATTGAATAAACCATACTTAATGTACTTTTTTTAAAATTTTACAGGTGAAAAACTGCGTTCGGGTTCTATCGAAAACTATGGCGGCTGCCTTGTCGTATACAGCTGAATTCTGTAAGTAATATTCATACAATATTGAATAATAACAATTCGCATAATGTTTGCCTATTAGGAATGAAAGTCACAATAGTTGCAGCAACGTCAATTAATATTATTTTTGAATTAACACCGTGTTTGTGCCTGGTGCCTTTAGTATTTATATTGATTGTCCAAATTATTTTTTTCAGCTCACTACTCGGATGGCAGACCTGTCAGTGATACGCTGCAAAATACTGCGGACACAGTAGTGTTCTTCGACAATCTTTTTGACAGTGTTAATGGCTCTACTTTAGCACATAAAAATAACAAAGGAAAACCTCTAAGAAAAGCAGTAACTGCGAACTCCCCGAACCATGGTTTCTGGCAAGACGCCATTAATAAAATAAAAACAATTAAATTTGTTGATGGGAGTAGCGAAAAGTCAGTGCCTACTTTAAAAAACTGGGTAACAACTTTAAAGAGTTACCAGAGGGTGTGGCATGTATTGAACAATAATAATATTAAAGTTATGCGCCCTCGCTACTTCAACTCAGACCCCATAGAAAACTTTTTTGGTCGGGTGAGGGCGTATAATTTTAGGAACAATGATCCGACTTGCCACACCTTCACTAGTACATTTAGATCTTTATTAATAACGGGATTTATGAAATTCCACAATCAAACTTATAATTGTGAGGATGATGCTTGCAGCCAGTTAATTAAAGTACAGTCATTATTTGTAAAACGCACTGAGGACAGATGCAACACATCCAATATTGATTCAAATATTCATGAAAATATTGTATGTGTTGAGGATCTGTCTTCAGAAAATATTCGCGTACAAGCGGCTCGTGAAAGATTGAACGTACACTCGAGGGCATATACTGCTGGATGGGTAGTTAAAAAAATTATCAATAAAATAAAATGTAAAGAATGTGAGACCCATCTATGTACAAATGAGGATAACGATGTGCATAGATGGATCTCACACAGAGAATTTCAAAATATAAAAAAAAGAAAGCTGATCTATCCATCGGAATATGCCGTGAGGCACTTTGGTTATGTAATTCAGGAATCAAATGGATACTTGGAATGTAATGGCCAAGAAGAAAATATTTCAACTAAAATTAATAATCATACGGATTAGCCAAGTATCCATTTGATTTCCTGAAATGTAACGATCACAAAGCTCTTGTACTAGAATATTTTATTCAATTGTCTATTAAATTATGTATTTACAACTGGTGTAACATCATCAATAGGATTTTGAAAGGTACTGACATCATCAGGCTAGAGAAAAGAACTCTGCCACCAATGCAGAAAAAAGTGTTAAATAAATATAAAAAGAAATTAAAAAATAAATCATTTAATAAATAAAAAATTGTCTTTTATTTTATTTTTTTCACAAACTTATTAATTTATCTAATTTTGACTACAAGGGGTAGGAACCCAGTTAATATAGGCAGTAAAAAGGAAATTCCTTTGCCATGAATTAAAAAAAAAAAAAGTTCACCTTGATTGCGATTAAAAAAAAAACCTGTCATATTCTATTTTGCTCATAGAACAAATCGAATGTACCATAGATGTCCATCTGAGTATCTCTACTTAATCTGTGGTAAAGAATACGTGACTCTTTCTGAGCAACTCTTGTCTATTGCTTCGACCTCTGTGGTATCGACTTCCGTTTCCTCGAATGACAGTGATTGTCACATCCTTGTGTCAAAGTGTCAAATTGTTGATCTTTTGAGGTTAGGTTGTGTTGTGGGTCAGGTTGTTTCCAACGAAAGCTTACATTTTAATTTTGTGTTAAATACAGTGACAAACATGAGTTATTCTAAATTTGATTTAACGTTTAAAATAGGTCAATATTTAGACCGACATCTTGTGTTTCCATTGCTTGAATTTTTAGCCGCAAAGGAGGTACGGTAAACCATACTCGTCATCATCATATTTTACCAGATTATTAAACTTATTCCTCTTAGAAAATCAAATGTTTTGGTTGTATACAAATTATTTATAGTAATTTGTTTGTTTACTACATATTTAACAGTAAATGCAATATTTCTACTACCTTTCAGACATATGACCAGTCGGAGCTATTGCAGGCTAAACTGGAAATACTCAGTAAAACTAACATGATCGATTATGTGATCGACATTCGTGGAATGCTCTACCCTGATGAGGATACTCCTGAAGTAAGTATTTTGTGTTTGAGTGAATTTCATTATTACTCTCTACTTTAGCTATTTCAGTTGGATAACTAATACTTTTATCTATTAGGAAATCAAGTCCAGAAGAGGTGTAGTCCTCTCACAGCTACAAGTGCTGCAAGACGCTGTGGAGCCTGTTTTGAGGCTCATGCAAAGAGATGATGTCATGAAAACTGTTGAGACTATGCGGGACCCAAAAACCTTGATCAACTACTTAACTACTAACAAGGAATTTGAGGTAAGAGTTCTGATAAAGCAACCATTCAATTAACTAGATGTTTGCCTATTCTAGTTTCAAGGTTACTACTAAATCAACTTTCACCTTGCATAATTTAGAATCCTTGTATTAAAGCATCAATTTTATATTTTTTGATTGTTTAAGAACTTTGAAATTAAATTAATTTTAGATCCAGAGTTTGAATTGACGAAACTAGAACTTTTATTAATCAATTACATGTTTCTTTCCAGTTCAAAATTGAAATGATTGACAGCATGTACCGGTTGGCCAAATACAGATACGAATGTGGTAACTACGTTGAGTCGGCCTCATACCTCTACTTCTGTCAGCTGGTCATGTCTCCTACTGATAGGGTAACATATTTTTACTATAAATTATTTAAAATGTTGCATTTTTTTTATAATTTAGGAAGCTAGTTTAAAATTTTAAACCCAAAATGTTATAAGTAATATCTTTATTCATATTACGTATATTACAAAACAACTGTTCTTCACACTATTAGTCATTGTTCTCCAATAGCATTACAGTGCTCTTCTTGTGTCAGATACATGCTGTTATAGTTGGCTGCCTGTGAATGAATATTACTTTCTTGATTATGATATTTTAACATTGAAATGCCGATAAATATTTTACTTGAGAGATACTTACAATATTGCAGCTTGTTATGTCTAAATATGGATGACTTTGCCTTTTGTGAGTTTGTAGAGGCTGTACAGATGGGAAACATTTGCCGCACAACTCACATTGGTACACAAATGTACCCAAATTATCACTATTATTCTTTGCCATGAAATGTCCAATTTTATATCTAAAAAATCAAAATCAAAATCAAAAATATTTATTCAGTTTAGACCACAAGTGGCACTTATGAAAATGATAAATACGTATTATAAATAACCATCATTGATAAAAATTCTAAAACAAGCATTATAATGTTTTGATTTATTACCTGTGGTTGTATAGTTGTTCATAGTTTCTGAATTTTCTATCACATGCATTGCACAATAGAAGTTTTGGCAAAGAAAAATTGTAAAATGCTTTTAGCCAAGGGCATAACAGCCAGTGCTCTTCAGCTTCTTTATATGACAAGAAAGAGGTTTCACATGTGTTGCACTCATAATTATTTTGTGTTGAATGCAACTTAGTATGTTTCAGTAGTCTTGGAATACTTGTAAAGACTTTCTCACAAAACTCACATTGTAATAGTGACGAAGTTTTTATTTCACGCACACAATCAGCACTGTCTAATTTTGAACATTGTTTAGAATGTTTCAATGCAAGATCATGTTGAGGCCACACCTGAAAGCACTCTATACACGTCCATACAATTTGCCAACGGGGCTGTACTTCTGCAGTGGTATGTCGCATTGCACAGTGTCTCTTTAGTCCAGTTTCATACACAAAACATTTCCCACAGGTTTCACATGGAAATGATCGCATCGGCTTTGGATAAATTGTATCCAAAATTTCTTTCTTTTTAGTATAATTCAGTGTTCTATTAAGCATGTGAATGTTTTCCATGATTCGAGCATTATTTTCTTTCACCTTTTCTAAGCTGTATTCCAGAGGACATAGAGCATTTAAGGACATGTTGGTGGCATTAATATTGTTAGCATCATTATTATAAATTAGACTCACTGAATGCCTCTCAATTTGGTTGTAATCATCACCCCATAATTTCCTAACTGTGTTTGTTTCTGAATCTACCAATTTGGCACAAGAATCTAGATCAAAATTACTTAGCTCACTTCCAGATGCTATTTTTACCACTAAACGAGAAGACTTCTCATTTACTTTCTTTCTAAAAGCTGAACTATCCAGCCATGAGCTGAATTGAGTCCCAGATAAATTATTGCTACCTTCATTAATCGTGATCATTAAAGATTTACAATCTTGACCATTTTCAAATTTATGAACTATTAATTTTGCTGACATCTTGCAATCTCCAATTCTGACATTGATTGAGTGATAATTATTTACTTTTTAAATCAATTAAAAAAAAACATATTGGCCTTTCATGAAAAAGGATTTATGTGTATGCATAGTACCATAATCAAGAAGATTTTTTAAATTCATGTTTTATTTCTGAAAATTATTAATGATGAATCTTATATTCTAACGTACTACACTACCTTTTTCAGAACTACCTGTCAGTTCTTTGGGGCAAACTGGCCAGTGAGATTCTCGTCCAGAACTGGGATGGTGCACTTGATGATCTTACAAAGTTGCGAGAGTTCATCGATAATGGTGCTGCTGGAGCAACCGCCAACAATATGCAAGCGCTGCAGCAACGGACGTGGCTGGTCCACTGGTCGCTCTTTGTATTCTTCAACCACGTAAAAGGGCGCGACCTCATCATTGAAATGTTCTTGTACAAACCACTGTAAGTTTTTATCTCTATGTAAATTTTTCACATATGAAATGTCTGTGTAAATGTATTTATTCAATAGTATACTTTTGCTTTCATTTACTCAGGTACTTGAATGCCATCCAGACGATGTGCCCTCACATTCTTCGTTACTTGGCGACAGCTGTCATCATCAACAGATCAAGGAGGAATGCGCTGAAAGACTTAGTAAAGGTTATACAGCAAGAAGCATACACCTACAGGTATAAACTTAAAACTTCTCTTTACATTTAAATTCAAATTCAAACTCTTTATTATATGCATTATAGAATAATGCGTGCTTAGATCCTAAGCCTAAGTCACAATTATCATTACTTTGATTACAGAGACCCCATAACAGAATTCATAGAACATCTCTATGTTAACTTTGATTTCGAAGCGGCCCGAAGAAAGTTAAACCAGTGCCAGACAGTACTGCTGACAGACTTCTTTTTGATAGCTTGTCTTGAAGAGTTTGTTGAAAATGCCCGCCTCATGATTTTCGAAACTTTCTGCCGCATCCACCAAGTCATTAGTATTGGGTAAGTGTAAAAAAATAATGGAATTTTGTTTACTGCATAATTAATCTTTAAATTACATCTCATCATGATGTGCTGCTAAAGTAGAATGTGAGTTTGCACAGTAGATGTGCAAGCACACTTCTTACGTTTTCAAATTTTATAAATGTGTACGTCCTTACGACGCCACTAGAGGGCGGTGTTAGTGAATTATCTAAGGAGTTTACAAGGTTTAGGAAAAAAAATGAATGGAAAATAAGAACTTAATGTTTCTCAATATCAAAACATGTCCTGTTTCTGTTTACAGTATGTTAGCTGAGAACTTGAACATGCAGCCTGATGAGGCCGAGTGTTGGATAGTGAACCTGATCCGCAACGCACGTCTGGACGCCAAGATCGATTCGAAGCTGGGACACGTGGTAATGGGAGCACAGCCGCTGTCGCCGTACCAGCAACTGGTGGAGAGAATCGACTCCCTTGCTGTGCGGTCCGAGGCGCTCTCGTCGCTGGTTGAACGGAAACAGAAAGCCCGGAATCAAGACGTAAGTTTATAGATCGCGATCGAAAGATTGTGTTCATGTTTCTCTCATTACTCAGTGGAAAAAACTAATTTTTTGCAAGGTCAATTTATAAACAAAACGTAACATCTACATACACATTGAAAGCCCAATTATTCCAAATATTCATTCATTTAAATAAATGTACCTTATTGTTTCAAACTTGTGTCTTTAGGCGACGGTACTCACTTACCATCAGGTGATCCGTCTGCTCGTTTGCCTCATAAAAAAAACTTTGCAACAGTTTGGCTTTCCCAAAATCTTGATTCGAGCAGAAAAACATCGTATTGTAAACAATAATCTTAATTTTTTTTTTATTTATTTATCATTGAAAAAAACAGTACATTAATATAATAAAAAATAATATTATTGTAAATAAAACTACATCAGAAATCTTTTATTACAGATTCGTTGGGGAGCTCAAGAATTCTGAGATAAGTGAAGGAGTAATATTTGTCGCAAAAAAGTATCTTCAGTTTTGTAATTGTACCTACTAAATGTATGTAATAATAAATTTACACTATCCCAGAAATTTGAGGTTTTTTCTCTTATTAATTTTCTTACTAGAACTTAACTCAATAATACCCATAATAGGTAGTGTGGTGCAGATACTATACAGCTGTGGTATTAAATAATGCCTGGGCCACACACATCGCGATAACATTCGGGCGACAGCGGAGCGAATCCGAAGCCGTTGAGACTATGCAAAAAAGCGCTCCAAAGTACGCGAATTACTTGGTTATACATACACAACTCGACAGCGCGAATCTCTTCAGATTGTCGCCATTATTATTCTGATTAATAGTTATTGGGAATAAACCTATTTGAAGGTTTGTTAGAAGCACACTGGTTTTGCCAATGTCGAGATTGTCGCGATATGTGTGGCCTAGGGGTAAGGGAAATAATTCTGTGATTAGCAATTTTTATGTTATAAATTAAGTTACAGTCATATTGAAAAGCTGGTGTTACTTGAGTAAGTTATAGTAATAATCAGAATAGAAGACTATTTTGATCTAATATTAAACTCTATCTTCAAGACAATAAAATTAGGGACACAAGAAATAACAAAACAAATAATTTTCAAGCATTTTTATATTGAACATCCAAATACACTATAATATTAATTTACACTATTCTACAGGTTTTATTGTAATGAATCTTGATAGAATAAAAGCAACCATGATAGTAGACAAAACAAAGAACACCACAAATATGTAAAATGTGTCTTCAGAAAACACATCAGTAAATGCAGGTATTTGATTGTATATTTCTTCTACAACATGCAAGTTGCCCTTTGATCGAGTCATTTTTCTTATTACTTCTTTTTCCTTTTTTCGGATTTAGTTTGAATAGTTGAAACGGGTTGTTCCACAGGTGCTAGTGATGAGATGTGTTTATTCAATAGTTGCAGTATTTCCAAACAGGTTAGATTACCACTTTTGAATGTGACTTTGCTCACTTTGGCTGTTTCTGTAACAAACAAAACATTTCATAAGATATTTATTAAGTAAAATATTTATTTATTTAAAGACTTTATTGCACACAAATAACAATGTTCCGTACAAAAAGGCGAGCTTAACGCCATGTCATTCTTTACCAGCTGACCTATAGAAATGTGGTGGGATAACATTATGGTGGGTCATGTATTTGGTAAAAATAGTACACACCAAAGCTTTTAGCTACAGATTTCCACAATGGGTAGGGCACCCATGTACCTAAAAGTTTAAGACTCCAGCCGAGATTGTCAGTTTTTACAAGACAAGGTATGGACAAGGTATTAACATTGGATGTCTGTCTCATCTGTGTTGTATTAACCTTTTNAATCACCCCAAATTCCAAAAAATACCTAAACAATACTTTTGGATGTCCCATCACTAGAGAAAATCACTATCACAGGAAATTTTACTAAGCTTGGCGGCGTCGGGCGTGAAGTGACGTAAAAAGGGGCTGGCGTGCAAAAGGTTAAATAGATCCAGAATAGTAAATTCACAGGATAGTATAGTCAGACGATAAAACCTCACCTGAGATTGCTGGTACAATGGCAACATCTATTGATGGGTCACTGCGATCGCATACTATTTCAGTCTTCAAAGAACAATTTGGATTTGTTCGACTTATTTTGGGCGAACTGATGTAATGCAGAAAGTTCCTGAAAACAGTTTTTATTTTAGTTACTCGTACGTAATGTAGAACGAGTTGCTATTATTGATTTGTATGAAAATTTTATGTTATGTCAAGTTCTACTTCAAAAACTCATACCAACCTTGTATGGGTAACGTTATCTCCAAAGGGATCAAATTTAACTGTTATTCGTTTCGCCGCTTTCAAATTTACACTTTTCAATTGTTTACTAATAGCTGAAACTACACCTCCCGATCTTCTGAAAGTCCCACTAATTGGGATAGACATTTTAATTTAGAATTTTCGGGTTAGAATTTTATCGATCCAGGAATGTAATGCGGAAATAGATATTGGTCATGAAATTTATTGGTAAGAGGGCGCTACTTCCATGTAAAAGTATGGTTAAAAGAAGTGTTTCCTATTTTGTACGATAGTACATTTTATTTTGTTGGATTATACTGATATATTTTTTTAAAATTTCACAGATAAGTAACCCTACAAAATGTCAAAAGGCACGCCCACAGATTAAAATAATTGCGTTGTTTTTAACAATCTAGTTTGTGGTCGCGCTGGATGTGGATCGCGCAGCGAAAGTTGAGGCGAGCACACTCAAACTAAGTTCAAAGCATCAAAGTTGATGTAAAGCCGGCACCTGGCTCTGGCTTAATATTTGAATAGAGATCACACAACACAATTAAAATATTATTATTTTATAATTCACGAAGGCGAGTGAGCTTTACAAATGATGTGTGNCTGACCTGCCCCCCTAGACAAAACGCACTTTTTGATCGAATCGAAAATCGAATCCGTCAAAACTCCATACAAAAAAGGGGCTTATCGACCACTTTTCGACTGGTTTGCGATTATAATTTGCACTTTGTCTAGACCCACTGGCTCTGGCTTAATATTTGAATAGAGATCACACAACACAATTAAAATATTATTATTATTTTATAATTCACGAAGGCGAGTGAGCTTTACAAATGATGTGTGGTGGGGTGGTTCGCTACTGTTTGTTTTTATGGTTTTGATAGACATTACACTATTGTTATTTGCAAAAGTAAAGCTTACTCGCTCGCTTTCGTGAGTTGCAAGAACTACTATATAGTCATGGTCAGGTTTTTTTAAATATGAGTAATAGGCTGTCTCCTGTGTCTTCCTACTCGATTTTGATATGATTTAGGCATAACATTATGGCACTCCTTTGCTATAGTAGCCTCCGCAATAAAGAAGCGTAATGAAAAAAAAATTTTAAACTGTCAAAATAAGTCAAGAAGGGGCCACCTATTTCATGTATTACAATAGCACATTTTAAGAATTTCGACACGAGGACTTTATAGTTTCATAATTTCAAGCTTTTTGTTAGTTTAAATCATTTAGCAGACAAGATGTACCCCGTTGGTCAACGTAAGTAATCCATACGAAATATTGTCAACCGATAGGATGCACACCAGCATCATCATTTTCTTTGTGCCCTAAATAATTTGTTTGTAACTAAAATATCAGCCTAAATCATTTTTCCCTGGCTTATATCTACCAATTGTTCACAAAGATGAATATAAATTATAAATTACAATGGGTACAATTTATCGTGCATATAAATTAGGGATTCAACTAGGTTCATAATAGGTTTGATCAATTAAATTCATTCGGAAAATGTGTTTATGTACTTTTTAATTAAAAGATATACATGCCAAGTCAACACTACCCAGTTATTTGTTAATTTCGTATATAGAATATGTTTGTTCCCTAACAAATTAAGTAACTTTTATGTCCATGAGTTTTCCTTAAGGTCTTTTATATAATTCTCATTAATGATTATAGTCATTACTCTATCAATTATGCTAATAGCACCTAAAACCTTTATTCATCAAAGTAAAATATCTTGTTTTTAATTTATAGGTTGCAAATTAATGATCTTTCTTTGGCATGAATAAAATAAAATTTTACATAAGACCAACAAGTGTTTGATTCTTAAGCTTTTAGTATTTGAACACTTTTATATCTTGATTCATTACTGTATTAAAATAGGACAATAAAATTTCCATTACATAGTTTCCCTAAAGGAACAAGATAAAAAGGAAGCAGCAAACTGTGAATGTTGGCGAACAGTGTACTGTATGTTAATATTCCTCAGCTCCAGCGGGGGAGACAAGTGCGGGCGCCGTAGGCGTGTCGGCCACGGTGAGCACGGCGGCGGGCACCACGGGCGCCGCGCCGGGCGCCGCCAGCACCGCGCCCACCACCGGCGCCCCGCCCACCGGCGCCGCCGCCGCCGCCGGACCCATCTCCCTCGTGTCCCCGGCGGCTGCCCCACCCCCCGATCTCCCAGTCCTCACGTGTCCGAGAAGACCCAACCTCGGCCATGAAGGAAGACCGATTATGCTCCGTGCGAACCACTTCCAGATATCCATGCCGAGAGGTTATGTACATCATTACGATGTTAACATTCAACCTGACAAATGTCCAAGAAAGGTAAGGATTTGCAATCAAAAAGCTTCATAGATTATTTTATTCAGTATACTTTTATTGTTGTTATAATAACACATGTGATTTGTTACAGGTTAATAGAGAAATTGTTGAAACTATGGTACATTGTTATAATAAAATATTTGGTGCACTAAAACCAGTATTTGATGGTAGGAATAATCTATATACAAGGGATCCATTACCGATTGGTAATGATAGAGTAGAATTAGAAGTTATTTTACCGGGTGAAGGCAAGGACAGAGTATTTCGTGTTACTATTAAGTGGGTGGCTCAGGTATGTCTATTTTGTAAATTCTTTGTATTATAACTTAGTTCTTTTTTGGTATTTATTTGACATTATTTATTTATTTATAGGTGTCACTATTCGCTCTAGAAGAGGCATTAGAAGGGCGTACGAGACAAATCCCTTATGACGCTATCTTGGCTCTGGATGTCGTCATGAGACATTTACCTTCAATGATGTACACGCCAGTCGGACGCTCATTTTTCTCCTCCCCTGAAGGGTATTATCATCCTCTGGGTGGGGGTCGTGAAGTTTGGTTTGGTTTCCATCAATCAGTGAGACCAAGCCAATGGAAAATGATGCTTAATATTGATGGTACGTAATAGCTTTTGTGAAAATTGGTTGCTAAACATAAAATCTGATCATTTTCATACAACATCCAAATGTGTTGATTCTAATTGTTATTTTTCATTTCAGTCTCTGCCACGGCATTTTATAAGGCACAACCTGTTATTGAATTCATGTGTGAAGTCCTAGATATTCGGGACATTAATGACCAGCGTAAACCTCTGACAGACTCTCAGAGAGTCAAGTTTACGAAAGAAATCAAAGGGCTTAAGATAGAAATTACCCATTGTGGTACTATGAAACGAAAATACAGAGTGTGCAACGTCACACGTCGACCTGCACAAATGCAATCGTAAGTTGATTTTTTACCCTAAAATGTATATCAAAATCCTATGTTTAGAAAAGTTAACTGATAAATTCATATCTTTTTTGTTACAGATTTCCACTGCAACTTGAAAATGGCCAAACTGTAGAATGTACAGTAGCGAAATACTTCTTGGATAAATATAAAATGAAGCTCCGATATCCCCATTTGCCGTGTTTGCAAGTGGGTCAGGAACACAAGCACACATACTTGCCCTTGGAAGTTTGCAACATAGTGCCAGGGCAGCGGTGTATTAAGAAATTGACAGATATGCAAACATCAACCATGATCAAAGCTACAGCGCGCTCTGCTCCTGATAGGTAATATACCTAACTTTAGACTACTATGTTATTGTGAAACAGGATAACTTTATTGTGCAGCGTATTCAAGGAAAAGTGCTGATTAAATTACTATTCCCTTATCACAACTAAACTGGTAACAATTTTATTAGTCATATTAAATACATGATGTTTATCACAATTCAGGGAAATTGGTAATTTGATAAACTTGGTAACTTTAGCATACTGAAGTTTAGTATATTTCAATTTTTTTTCCAAGATAAACCTTCCAAAATCAGTTTGTTAAAATAAGTTTGACATAGCAATTTTACTAGCAGATTATTTATGATTAATAGCCAAAACTCCTAACTGACATGGTATATTATCTCTGGCGTTGGTATTTAAAAGCACACCCAGACGCGAACCAAATAAGAAATATTTGGTTCGCGTCTGGGTGTGCTGCGCGAATGTCCCGACACAATTATTTAGCATTAAATGTTCGGCTAAACCAACGCGATCAGCCTGCGTGCGCGATGGCGATGGCGATCAATGCGTTAAAGTCTGCGGGTCCGTGGCCGAGTCCCCCTGTGTTCGACGCACCCGTGGTCGACGCCCCCGGTCAGATAGAAGCAATTTTTAATCAAATGTACAGTCAGTCACAAAAATATTTATAAACGAATAAATATTTATACTGATTGTACAAATAAATGTTTAATATTATTTTACCATAGTGATACCTAAAAATATAATAGGTTTTGTTTTAACCCATCATATTTTATCATAGGTTTTATTTACCTGTAATAACATGTAAATCGTTTTACCTAATCAAAATAATTGTAACAATCAGTCTTTAAAATAACTCTACTCTCTCTACATTTAACTAAGTACAATTATAAGTTTTAATTATAAAAGTTTTAAGTATTTTTAACAAAAAATTAAATACATCATTTTAAATATCGTCAAACATACATGGTTTTCGTTGACTGTACTTAGTGCAAAAGCCGAAAAAAATATGATATAAATTTATTTAAATCGGGGGCTTCAACCACGGGTGCGTCGAATACTGGGGGACTCGGCCACGGACCCAAGTCTGCGCCCCGATTGCGCTAATTTGTAATGTCTCCAATTCATTGGCGTTTCATCTCTAGTCCACACTCCAGTCACGCTCCAATATCATTCCAGCCGATGTGCAATTTGGTATCGCGGTAAAGTTCACGCGCAAAGACAAAACAGGATTTATGCACCTTCCATTAAAATTCCGAACACCTTATTTTTTAAACAAAAACAGCAAATATTCGTGAAGCGTTTGACTAGCGTGTGAGGAAAAGTAGCTTCCTGTCAGCTTTTACGTTACAACTTCGTTTGAACTAGCTGTCAAAACGACACCGCGATACGGATTTGTGCAAACAGCTGAGTTTTTCGTTCTTCGTCCAGTCGCGTTACAGTTGAAAATATTTAGCGCAATCGGAGCGCTGATCGCCATCGTCATCGTGCACGCCGGCTGCACGCGTTGGTTTAGCGGCTAAACTTTAGCCGAACCTTTAATCACCTTGTTTTACCTTGTACAGAGAGCGTGAAATCAACAACCTGGTGCGTCGCGCGAACTTCAACACGGATCTGTACGTGAAGGAGTTCGGGCTGACGATCTCCAACAATATGATGGAGGTGCGCGGGCGCGTGCTGCCTCCTCCCAAGCTGCAGTACGGAGGCCGCGTCTCTTCATTGGGAGGACAGGTAAGGTTTCTTTTTGAACCTGTAATAATAGCCCGCGTTATTTCGCCTTATTTTGTGGCAGACTAAGGCCCAGAACAGACGGTGAAACGCAACTGCAACGAAACTGCAACTTTCTGATGATTCTGATGAATGAAACTGAAACTTTCAAACTGGTCGCGTTATGTGTGGTCTCTCAACGGACGCTATGGCAGAAACATAGATGCAACTCAAAAGTAACTAGCAGTTGCAGTTTCGTTGCAGTTGCGTTTCACCGTCTGTTCTAGGCCTAAGGCCGCTTGTAAACATCCGTGTTTTTGACCGGTCCGATTTTATGCCTGATTTAGCGGTGGTGTATGGTTTATAAGGAACGTGTGCACATGCATCGTACATAGGTCCGGCGAGAAAATTGACATCAACAAACAAAGGATATCCGTTTTTTGATAGTCCGTCGTCCAGTGAAAAAACGGATGTCTACAAACGGCCTAAGAGCGCATTCACATTTAGGCGACTTAAGGCAGACTTATCAACTCGGAAAGGCATCCACACCGTATCGCCTTTCGCGAGCTGTCATCGCCTTTGGCGCGCTGTCAACCGCGAGCCCGAGGTTTTTACCTCACAGTGCGGATAAGTGTGCGTTGCAGTATAGTTTCATACAAAAAATACTGACCGCCTCGTGTTGATACGGTTACGATGCTCGGCGAACTTCCTATAGGCATGTGCTTTTTTCTTATACAAACTCTTTTGTCAACGTTTGAACCTGAACTAAGACGAACATTTCAAAACCGAAATCAGCTAAATCGGCTAAGCCGTTCTATGATAGAACATGTACTCTAAAATCCAATCTCTACCTGCCATACGTAGGTAATTGGTCGTTAATAACATATTAGCATAGATGCTGAGATCGGTGGTTTACGTTTTCGTCGAATCGGTGTAATTGTAATAAAGATAAAACTTTTTCCATGTGAACGCCAAAGATGTCACATGATACGTGGTGTAACGGATACGGAGATACATTTACACCACAAAATAAGCTTATTTTGGAATATTTTCCACATTATTATAAGCAAATCTCAATCATTTAAGTCCCTTACTGAGGCATTGTTATCAAGCTTGAAACAAAACGAATGCATATAAGGTGCAATATTGCAGTGTTATACGCCACGTATCTCTGATTGCCGGGTTTGATTTAAATAAACTGAGTCAATTGCTCAAGTACCTAGAACCGACATCCGTAAACCTGAGTGGAGCTGAAACGAACTAGATGCACCTTATTGAATAACCCTTAAATCTAAAATCGAATTAAAATTCACAAAATTAAATATAACTCTTAGATTTAGAATTACGACAGTCTCGCGGGTTTTTTTATATTCCAACGCAACAATTGCTAACATCCGCCGTGATTTCTGACCCTATTCTTTGCAGATGACCCCATAAACGATTTTACACAATCTTGATACACTTGTGTCATTAAACTTTACTTACCTTTTCTTTTTTGGTTTTTTTTTTCATGTAATTTATTTTGGTATCTTTGAATTTCTTCTTTTATTTCTTACAGCAGGCGCTACCCAACCAAGGCGTCTGGGACATGCGTGGAAAGCAATTCTTCATGGGAGTGGAAATACGCGTGTGGGCCATCGCATGCTTCGCGCCGCAGCGGACCGTCAGAGAAGACGCCCTCAAGTAAGTTGAATACATACGTTTAAGTGAACACTATAATTTATTTTATTTATTTAGTGTGGTTAAGATTATGGACCAATGAAAAGTTATATTCCATTTTTTGTCATGTAAAGAGTAATTTGTTCATATTTTTGCCGGATCTAGAGAGTCAGGTTTCGCAGTGGATCTGCCATACCATATAACGTTTTAATTTTTACCCGCAAACTGTACCTACGTTGTTAGCTCAAGCTAACAGAATACAAGGGTACAATGACTGTTTGCCCCATTAGGTTGTATACAGGGTGGAAACGATAAGTGATCTCACTCGATTATTTCTAAACTATACAANTCTGGCGTTCACTAGCTCTTAGTCTATATAGAAATATGTGGTGGGATAACATTATGGTGGGTCATGTATTTGGTAAAAATATTACACACCAAAGCTTTTAGCTACAGATTTCCACAATGGGTAGGCACCCATGTACCTAAAAGTTTAGACTCCAGCCGAGATTGTCAGTTTTTACAAGACAAGGTGTTAACATTGGATGTCTGTCTCATCTGTGTTGTATTAAATAGATCCAGAATAGTAAATTCTCAGGATAGTATAGTCAGACGATAAAACCTCACCTGAGATTGCTGGCACAATGGCAACATCTATTGTTGGGTCACTGCGATCGCATACTATTTCAGTCTTCAAAGAACAATTTGGATTTGTTCGACTTATTTTGGGCGAACTGATGTAATGCAGAAAGTTCCTGAAAACNCCCGCTCCCGCGCCGCTGCCCGCTCGTTGCCCCATCCCGCGACGCTGTTTTCGAGAACCGGTCTATTTGATTTTACGCATAAGATCCTGCCGCTCCCGCGCCGCCGCCGCTCCCGCCCCGCTGCCCGCTAAACTCGAGGCTGAGGCCTAAGGTCTCACAGTGCGCGTGCACGTACAGGGTGACACACGAACCAATCACAGAGCTCTATTCAACGCTATGCATTCGATTTGCTGCTTCACATAATCAAGTATCGTTTGTGAGTACGGGCGTGAGTTTCTTGCCCAGCTTCTTCTCAGCGCTGGCACATTTATTGTTCTAAAGCAGTGGTAGGGTTAATACTGGGACGTGTAAAAGTACTTTTTTAAAACCTACTTGCAAAAGTTATAGCCCGACCAGGAACATAAAAACCCTCGCCATGTTGCGGAAAACTAATGGTACTAATTTCTTTTAATGGCAAAAGTAACTGAAAACTTCATTGACATGTCACCTTGCATGTCAGTCTATTGCTGTCAAAGTGTAAACAAACTTTATTTTAAATGTGCGCAATTGATTTTGTGAATTATATTCCAAAATCTTTTNTCCGCTCCCGCGCCGCTGCCCGCTCGTTGCCCGCTCCCGCGCCGCTGTTTTCAAGAACCGGTCTATTTGATTTTACGCATAAGATCCTGCCGCTCCCGCGCCGCCGCCGCTCCCGCCCCGCTGCCCGCTAAACTCGAGGCTGAGGCCTAAGGTCTCACAGTGCGCGTGCACGTACAGGGTGACACACGAACCAATCACAGAGCTCTATTCAACGCTATGCGTTCGATTTGCTGCTTCACATAATCAAGCATCGTTTGTGAATGCGGGCGTGAGTTTCTTGCCCAGCTTCTTTTTAGCGCTGGCACATTTATTGTTCTAAAGCAGTGGTAGGGTATACTGGGACGTGTAAAAGTACTTTTTAAAAACCTACTTGCAAAAATAAAATAGTTTTATTAACATTTTTACTACGTTGAAAAAGGGAATCAATTTGATGTACGTTTTTAGCAATCTCAATAATTATGTAATGCTCCCTCCCATAGATTTTGTAGAGCAACACAGCTTGACGTCACAATTTTAAAAACTCAATTAACTAACTTTTTATCAATTTCTAAGCAACTAAACGATCATTACAAGGAATATTACAGATTTCATCGAAATCTATTAATGAATTTTGTATACAGGGTGTTAGGTAAATGGGTATATGAGCCGGCACTAGCCCATGTTAACATAGTCATATAAATGGTATGGTGAAGTCAGAAAATTGATATTTTCATTTTTATTATTTTAATTTTCATACAAATCGGATTTTATAAAAAATATTTTGTATGAAAAAAAAAATGATATCAAATTTCTGACTTCACCATACCATTTATATGCTCATGTTAACATGGGCTAGTGTCGGCTCATATACCCATTTACCTAACACCCTGTATATTCTTGACATCGCCATTTCGTGGTATTCTGGTCCTTAGTGTTAAAATCTCCGGCTTAAGTCCTACATGTGTTGGGTAAATTATTCCATTACAAATCCGTTGGCTAGTACCCATAGTACAAGCTTTGCTTAGTTTGGGACTAGAGGCGCAGTGTATAATTATGTCCAAGGAAATTTATATTTATTTACTAGCGGCCGCCCGCGACTTCGTACTCGTAGACCCCGTTTTACTCCCTTAGGGGTTGAATTTTGCAAATCTCCCCGTAAAAACCATCCTTGGACTTCAACAAACATTTAAAAAAACGAATTGTTAAAGGACATTGGGAACTTTAATATGAGAAAATGCCCCACGGCGGACAAAGATGAAACGTATTTTATTTCAAAGCTTTATACTTATAGGTATATTCACTTAAAGCNAAACCAGGTTACCTATAATAATATTTTTTCGTTAACTTATAAAAACATCAAATTAGCCCGTAATCCTGAATCCTGATACATAAAGTTAGCCTATTAATTTAACACAGGTACGACTGTACTCAGTGTTGCACTATCAAATGCAATTGACGCGCCTCTATGCCAGGGTTTTTATGTTCCTGGTCAGGCTGTAAATAGTTTTATTAACATTTTTACTACGTTGAAATAGGGAATCAATTTGATGTACGTTTTTAGCAATCGCAATACGTAATGCTCCCATAGATTTTGTAGAGCAACACAGCTTGACGACACAATTTAAAAAATTCAATTAACTAACTTTTTATCAATTTTCAAGCAATTAAACGACCATTACAAGGAATATGACAGACTTCATCGAAATCTATTAATGACTTTTATAGTTAGAATTGATGCATTAAACGGCCTGGCTTATTGATACGGTCTTTAAAGAAAACGAATATATTATTGACATCGCCATTTCGTGGTATTCTGGTCCTTAGTGTTAAAATCTCCGGCTTAAGTCTAGATGTGTTGGGTAAATTATTCCATTACAAATCCGTTGTCTAGTACCCATAGTACAAGCTTTGCTTAGTTTGGGACTAGAGGCGCAGTGTATATTTATGTCCAAGGAAATTTATATTTATTTACTAGCGGCTGCCCGCGACTTCGTACTCGTAGACCCCGTTTTACCCCCTTAGGGGTTGAATTTTGCAAATCTCCCCGTAAAAACCATCCTTGGACTTCAACAAACATTTAAAAAAACGAATTGGTAAATTTTGCGATTCATTTTTATATTATAGATTATTATTTATTTGTCAAACAGCCGAAGTGAAGCGCGTCGGAGACACAGTGCTGGGCATGGCGACGCAATGCGTGCAGGCCAAGAACGTCAACAAGACGTCGCCACAGACACTCAGCAACTTGTGCCTCAAGATCAACGTCAAACTCGGCGGCATTAACTCGATATTGGTGCCCTCGCTGCGTCCGAAGGTAAAGCCCAAGCGTTCTTATTCATGTAGGTTCATATGTTCTTTGTGTGTTATGTATTTCCATCTAATTATATGGCTAATCTATTATTATTATAAAGAAGACTAACTTTTGGCCGACGGCATCGCGTGTAATTAACTTTAAATTATAGCCTTTTTGTGATGTATAAACAATAATACTGTTTTCATCAAAATCCGTTCAATGCGTGAAAAGGTGACAAACATACATCCATAAAAACTTTCGCATTTATAATATTAGTAGGATTAGAATATATTTAAACCTAATATATTGTGTATTTCCATCTAATGCCTATTTAAAATGACTTAAGCAATAAAAAAGCTCCGAATATATCTATTTATTTATTCAATTAAATTAAGTTAGCCATAGAGAAAATCGAGGTCTTCTAATGCTAAGTTCAGATAAACGCGCGTTGAGTAAAGTACTCTGATACGTATATCATCGCGCTCATATTTTGTAAACCCCTATCATGAGCATGAGTCAAATTGTTTTTTAGAATGTACTTGCACCGACTCGCATTCGTCTGTACTTAGCTTTATTACGACTTTATTACAGCGCCATCTGAAGGCTTACGATAGCACTAGCTCCATTTGTAGCAGTCTAGACCAAATAGGTTCAGTTGTAGCTGTCTACTGCTGTAGATAGCAGCACTAGTATTAACAAAGTTTAAATTTATGATGACGTGTATAGATGGCGCTGTGATACAAGCCCTATTTTATCCGAATAACTCACTCTGTAGAGATACCTGGCGCAACTATGTAAACATAAGTTCAAAAGTGCATGTAAGCGCCATCTGATGTTTTATGTGATATATAACATCCACCGAATGTATCTTAACAAATTGGTTAGTTTCATAGTTTAATAAATAATAGTACTCTAACAAAAGTATTTTTCAATGTCCAGTGTTTTGTAGTATTGCTGAGTAATGTTTTTTCTATGCTAAACAGTCTATCTCTATTCTTCACCATAAAAGCACCATAACTTCATTCGAATTTCCAATAAATAGTAATTAGCATTCAATTGTTTTTGGAGTTAAGGAGCCAGTTCATTCAAGTTTCACATAAATAATACGCATTCGACTTCTTGAAGGGAAAGTGAAGAAGTTTAAATAAATAAATAAGTTTAGGAGTTTCATTTTCTCAAGTGTTTAGCCGAATATTCATACGAATTCTTGCGTAGGTATAGTCCAAACGTGTGCCATGAGCTTATCTTAATATCAAGTGACGTGGGGTATCTTACGGTCCCCTGTCGGACTAGTAGGCCCGGTGACTTTTCATATCATGTACAAGCGGCCTAACGAACCGGTTTACTTGTTTAACCGAGCAATCCGCTTTCATTTGTTTCTCCGCAGCTTATTTCTTCAAACCAGTAATCCGCATTAATTTGTTTCTCCGCAGCGTACTTCTTCAAACCAGTAACCCGCATTCATTGGTTTCTCCGCAGGTGTTCAACGAGCCGGTGATATTCCTGGGCGTGGACGTGACGCACCCGCCGGCGGGCGACAACAAGAAGCCGTCCATCGCCGCCGTCGTGGGCTCAATGGACGCGCACCCATCGCGCTACGCCGCCACCGTGCGCGTGCAGCAGCACAGGTACTGACCAATGCTTTCTTATACTACCCACTTAGTTGTTCCACCCATATTGTAATATTGCCCATATTCATAGAATGAGGGTTTTCGCGATTGAAAAATCTGCCAGATGGCAATACGTAGACGCGAGGTCCAAATGCTGCGTGATTGGTGGATTTTGACATATCTGTCAATGTCATGTCAAAAATAACCAATCATGCAGCATTTGGACCTCGCGTCTACGTATTGCCATCTGGCCCTCATTGCCAGTAAACAAATTTAAGATACATATAAAAATACCCTTATGTCGAAAGGGTTCAAAACTACAAGGTTCGAGACTATATTGATGACAAGGATGCGTGGTCAGTTCAGTCTGCACATATTTGATGTACTTGGATTTGGTTATTCTTACCGTTAGATAATTCCTGGCAATTAGTGGTGACTGAGTTTGTTCCGGCGTTTCTTCTCAGCACTTCCCATTTTTTGTCTCGAAGCGCTGGTAGGGCCCAAAAGATAAGGATACATGTAAAGTGCCCCATAAGGGCTACCTTTTCTTTTTTTATTATTTACTATATTTTGACGTTCATAAGTGCCACTTGTGGTCTAAACTGAATAGGGTTTTTGATTTTATGATACTGTCCACTTTGTTATTCCAGCCATATTGTTCTCTCTTTGTTGTCTCTATAACGGACATAGCATGTAATTTTTTATGGCTTTTGATTCTTGACTAGTAAGGTTAAAAATATGCTGGCAACTATTTTGTAATACACAAAAATCTTTGTCCAACAATGGACGTCATTTGGCTTAAACTGAACTGAATACAAATTCTTAACAAACTAAGAATGAGCCTTATGTCCAATAAGTGATTTCTTCCTTGTTTACCTTAACTATATTAGTTATGTATACTAAAAAGATATCACTAAATCGAATTCATATTAAATTGACAAAGTGTTTTTTTATTTTAAAATGGTACAGGTGTTTTATCGAAGTGCAATTTAATGTACAAACCAATAAAACCGGCAATAATTAGCGATTGCTATTTGCCTTAGATTATTTATCTGTCATTTTTGACCAGCAAGTGGAAAAGATACATGAACTGAAACTCATCTATGTCGACGTGTAGAAAAGTTGGAGATGGAGGCGTCAGGCGTGCGGTGGACCGACGACTGAATGAAATTTGATTTTAACCGATTGCTCTGGAAATCTAAAGGAGAGGCTTATGCTCACCAGCGGACGTCCTGTGGCTGATAATGACGATATCAATGTTATCGATCATCGCTATTGAAACAGAACATCATTATTTACTCCAAACTATTGTCCTGTCGTCCTGTCGTGTGGTGACGGCAGAGTAGAATACATTTGTCACCAACCCCTACTCTTCCCGCGGGTAAGCCGTGTGGTGACGGCAGAGTAGAATACATTTGTCACCAACCCCTACTCTTCCCGCGGGTGTCGTAAGAGGCGACTTAGGGACTACACATCAAACAGAGAATGGGCAGCAGCGCTCTCTGAAAAACATCAATCTTTTAAACTGCGATTTCCAACCCGCCTGCCAAGCGTGGAGATTATGGCAAAACCCTCCACTATAGTGGAGGAGGCTCATAGTCCAGCAGTGGACTGTAAAGGGCTGTTGATGATGATGATGATTGTCCTGTCCTCTTTTATAATTTTTGATCTTGTATTTTTTTATAGCAGAACTTTATTTAGACTTGATACATATTGGTCCCAAATTTTATCCCATAAAATTCTTTATTTTCCAAATTTTAGAATGATAATTCAATTATAAGTTTATAACTATATTCCTCCTTTAATTTAATTGTGTCATAATATACTCGTAACTTCAACCAGATAGGAACCCAATATTACAATCTAAGCTGGCAACTTGTAGAACTTTCGAAGCTATCAAGTAATAGTAGTGCAAATTCTTGCAGACAAGAAATAGTGCACGAGATGAGTAGCATGGTGCAGGAGCTGTTGATAATGTTCTACAAGAGCACGGGCGGGTTCAAGCCGCACCGCATCATCATGTACCGCGACGGCATCTCCGAGGGGCAGTTCATCCACGTGCTGCAGCACGAGCTCACCGCCGTGCGCGAGGCCTGCATCAAGGTACACCTTCATTTGTTTATAGTGCTTTCACATTTAGGCGACTTCAGCAGCGCGACTCGTAATTACATACTGTATGACAGCAGTACAGCACGGCTGCGGAATTTCGTGTAGGCGCACACTAGGCGACACGCGACAGTGACTAGACTATAGTCTGGTCTGCGAGCACGTAGAATTTTGTCCAATGACCCCAAGCTACCCATCCTTATCGCTCGCGCGTAATTATGTTGCTGTCGCGCTCGCACACTCACTGCGGGCGCCCGTCGCACAGTCGCGACAACAATATAATTACGCGCGAGGCCTGCATCAAGGTACACCTTCATTTGTTTATAGTGCTTTCACATTTGGGCGACTAGCAGCGCGACTCGTAATTACATACTGTATGACAGCACGGCTGCGGAATTTCGTGTAGGCGCACACTAGGCGACACGCGACAGTGACTAGACTATAGCCTGGTCTGTGAGCACGTAGAATTTTGTCCAATGACCCCAAGCTACCCATCCTTATCGCTCGCGCGTAATTATGTTGCTGTCGCGCTCGCACACTCACTGCGGGCGCCCGTCGCACAGTCGCGACAGCAATATAATTACGCGCGAGCGATAAAGATGGGTAACTTGGGGGACAAAATTCTACGTGCTCACAGACCGGGCTTTAGACAATTTCATACATTAGCTTGTCGTGGCGACTCCGCGACTCTGACGCCAAGTGTAAGCACAGAATAAGTAATAGTACAGGTACAGAAGGATTACTCCGCAAGACGATTTAAATAAATGCGAGTCTTGCTACGACGCGATACAGTGGAATTCAGCTCGCACAGTCAATTTTATTCACCTACAAGTTTTGTCTCTTTCTATCGCGTGCCTCTGAACTCTTCTTACGCTGTTAGGGTTGCTGTCTAGTGAAAAAATAATTAATCTACTTATTTGTAATGAGGTACGTATGTAGGTAAGTACGCATTCATTATGGAAAACTTTGGGAGAGGCCTTTGTCCAGCAGTGGACGTCATTTGGCTGAAACGAACGAACGCATTCTTTCGGAGCAGTAGTCATGGTAGGTTAGGTTTCTATACTATCCTAAGATTTATTGATTACCTACATGGCCAACATACCTTTCAGCATCTTTGGGAAGCGAAAAAAAAGATAAATCCGGTAGATTTATTTTCGAATTTAAACACTCGAACGCCGCACAATAACATTTCTTTCTCTTTATGTCCATTTTTAAATAATACTTCGATCATAGAATTAGGTACTACAACGCACGCCAGCGTCCTGACGGGCGCGCGCGTGACACTCGACTGATATAATACCCGCCGGCGAGGCGCTTCGCTGTAGGTAATTATCGGATGTACCACGCGCAGTGAGCCAGGCCTGCTTCAGCAGCGCGACTCGTAATTACCTACTATATGACATCGCGGTAGCGGTATTTCGTGTAGGCGCACACTAGGCGACACGCAACAGTGACTAGACTATAGCCTGGTTTGCGAGCACGTAGAATTTTGTCCAATGACCCCAAGCTACCCATCCTTATCGCTCGCGCGTAATAATTATTATGTTGCTCTCGCGCTCGCACACTCACTGCGGGCGCCCGTCGCACAGTCGCGACAGCAATATAATTACGCGCCAGCGATAAAGATGGGTAACTTGGGGGACAAAATTCTACGTGCTCACAGACCGGGCTTTAGACAATTTCATACATTAGCTTGTCGACGCCAAGTGTAAGCTTTGAACAAAATATATGAAATTGTCGGCCGCAGCTTGTTGTCGTGTCTAAGGCTGATTTTTCAACCGTCGGATAACTTTTAACTGAAGAATAAGTTTGGCACATTGACAGTTTTAGTACGGGAAATATGTCAAAATGACAAGGTTATTCTTCAGTTAAAAAATATTTGACGATTGAAAAATCAGCCCTAAGTCGCCAAGCTGTCGCTTTCTCGTGTCGCTTAGGGTGCGCCTACACTTTATTGTGAATCCGCTGCTGCCGTGCTGTTGTCGCGCTTCTGACGCCCTAATGTGAAGGCGGTCTTAAGGTGCCCGCTGACCAGGAGCTTATGCGTGCAATGTAACAATGTTGTAGTATACGGTCGTGCAACCCGGCCGAAATGTCAGACGAAATATGAAATATTGAATTATAGATCTAGCGCTTAAGTGCTTAAGTTAATAGGTTTCGTTCATAGAAAATTTAAACTCTATTACCTAGGTCAAAAGATTAAAAAACAAACACACCGTGCAGGGGCCGCGCGGTCGCCTCCTAGCTCTTACCCGAATTTTCTGGATGATACGCACCGCGCCGCGCGGCTGCCGCGTCGATCGATCTCAGTTGCTCGAGTTTTCAGGCGCGCGCCGCGCTAATTTTAACTTTAAATGTAGTTACTGAAGAGCTCATTTTACTATAACAGATGACTCTTGAAAATGCGTACGCGGTGGCCACGAGGTGGTAGTACGCGGTAGCCGCGCGGCGGCCGCGCGGCAGCTACGTGGCCTTTTGGGCGTACCAAATAAAGCTATCTCCCGGCCGCCGCGCGGCCTCTCAGCATCCCATATAAACGGGCCCTGACTGAGACAATGTTAAGGTATGTGAGCGGCCCGGGAGGGGTGATTTTGGCATACAAATCTGAAGTCTCGCTCGCTTTTGACGTAACAAAAACACCCTCCCGTGCCGCTCCCATACCTCAGGCACTGATTTAGCTAAGTGTTACAGTTATAATTACTTATTGAATATTGCTTTAAGTCCCGTTTTTGAGGTTTTTCATAATGTTCCTAATGGATGTTCAAGTATTCTCATTTCGTGTTAGGTACAGACGATAATATTAAGCTATCACAATGCGACGAATTTTCTCAAGATTTTAATACTTTTATGGCAATGTTAAATCAATTCAGGAATTAGTATGTGGTAAGTTGAAGTGCTATCGACTGCGTTTAAAAACATTTATTTTAAGCAACAAAATTCAAATTATCATTATTTAAACATAATTTTGTATTGTTACATTACACGCGAATGTTCCTGGGGAGTCCACCTTAGCTATAGTGATTAATAGGGAGGCGCCATTATGCTAGGGAAGACTGGTATCGTTGCAAAAATAAAAGAGGATGAAATTGAAACCTGGTGTTGAAACTGTTCTGAGTCTGCTTCTTCCTACTCGTTTGAATCACACTATAATGAGTGTTTATTACCACTGTTTTATGATGCCGCAATATAAATGTATCTTTGATATTTTTTAGTTAGCCTATTTTGATATTCTATATTCTTTGATCCACCAGTGAGATGACATTTCACGCGACATCAAACTGCAGTAAGTATGGCCATCCCGGCCATATTGGTTGTAATGTAGTGAAAGAAAAATTTAACACAATGCAAAAGCTTCAATCGTCAAAATCTATTTTAAAACTAACATAATATGCCGGTATAGGATGCGCGCCATGATATACTTTTATTGACGTCAACATTTATGGGCAGAATCGATAAAATAGCATGATAATCGTTTATCGCGGCGTGCATCCTAGGCCTACACGTGTAATCGAAACGCCTCACACATGCGAGCCGTATTTGGGAATTGATTGGGAAGGGATACATACAGTGTTACGTTAGAGAAAACCACTACTTTCTAACCAATATACACCGTGTTACTTTGCATTCTTGCCATATTCACAGAGATAAAAGTAGGTAACAATACCTATTATTTAAGATAAACAAGAGACTCCCATAAAGAAAGTACACTAAGATTTTAGTAAATTTGGTTTTTCCGTACAAATTGGAATAAACCAATTTTGTCTCGCACGTTCTACAGGTGCAAGTGGAATAAACCTAGTGGGCGTGGCCTAGTTCTTAATTTTATGGCTTTGGGTACCAGACTTTTTATCCAGTCAATAACTATTTTAAAATACTCTTCAGTTGATTTCAGATTTTCCTTTCTACTTTACGGGCTTAGGACCGTCAAAAATACGTAATAATTAATAGGGTTTCAATTAATTTACAACATTGTACCCTATTTTTACAAATTAATAAATTAAGTATGAAATGAAATCACCTTATTCACAATTAATTATTTATTCATAAGTTTCTACTTACAAATTTTACGTACTGCGAAGCAAGTGTTCAAAGTGTCCTCCGTTCTGATGAAGGCACAGTCTAGCACGGCGAAGCGTAGGTTTTTCGCTTTAGTTTTCGCAACACATAAACGTTTTTGTATCACAGTTTCACTAAAACAATCCTTTCATGTAACGCGTTTACACTGTTTATCTCTTCTGCGCNTATAGGTTCCAAAACTTTCAAGCCGTCGTGTATAAAAGGTATGTAATATGTATATGTGTTTGAGTGTGTTTCTTGTTCTCGTTAGCGAATGAAATGTCCACTTCAATAAAAGATTTCCTGTAGCTGAACAAAAACATCAATATTAAAGTAGATAACTTTCTAGTTAGTAGTTTCTTTTTCTTAAAATCACTTTGAAGATTAATTAAGCAGTAATTTACTTCAACATTTCGTTCGTTAAAGAGGAAATGAAATTAGATGTCGTGTGTAGCCGATCTCTGGAGCCTATTTCATGAGATTTTGATTGAAAATTGTATGTATGTACTGAAAATCAGCCTATTTACTGCTTCTCTAGTTTTTATTATTTTAAAATTGAGATATTCATAATAACCACCTTACTAATAAAAAAATATACGCTCGTTAAACAGTTAAGTGACCATTAGTATGGAAATGTCATTTAAAAAAAAATTTACATGTGTGTAACTTTTTATTAGTAAGAGGGCAAAAATGGCGTTGTTGTGAAGACTACGTCGTGTGTTTCAAAGAAAACCGGTTTCTCGAGTTGTATCTAGTTCCATTCCATTAATATCCGATATTGTTTTGTCAGCTTTTTAATCTGACTTTATTGATTACATGTCGGTGTAAGCATGCATCGCATCGCGATCTAAATGTAGTCTTACAACGGCCAGGCGAACATTGTACTTGGTATAGACACGCGAATGTATAACATAATGACTAGGATGCGCGCCATGATTAAAACTTATCGATGATTTTAGAATCGATAAAATATCGGTAAACAGGGCCGGATTGCGAGTTTAGGGCCCTGGGCTAATACTAGGGCTAATACTCTTTCGCATTATCGTCTATTTTTGACTTTGACTTGACTTAGCTGGCCCAAAAAGCCATATGGTAGATCCGGCCCTGTCGATAAAAGTTTATTGTGGCGTACATCCTAGGCCTACAGGTAATCGATTGGTTTCCCATTTTGCTTACATCCGCGACCTGCAACATTCCAGCTGGAAGCGGAATACAAGCCGGGCATCACGTTCATCGTGGTGCAGAAGCGGCACCACACGCGGCTGTTCTGCGCCGACAAGAAGGAACAGTCGGGCAAGTCCGGCAACATCCCCGCCGGCACCACCGTCGACCTCGGCATCACGCACCCCACCGAGTTCGACTTCTACCTCTGCAGCCACCAGGGCATACAGGTGAGATAAACATTATTTATTAGTTGTAAGCCTTTTTCAGATAACTACTAAAGCCCGGTCTGTGAGCACGTAGAATTTTGTCCAATGACCCCAAGCTACCCATCCTTATCGCTCGCGCGTAATTATGTTGCTGTTGCGCTCGCACACTCACTGCGAGCGCCCGTCGCACAGTCGCGACAGCAATACAGTGTGAGTCACGTTAAAGTGTACATATGAAAATAGATGAAACTAGACCTATTTTTATCGACAAAAAAGAGGTCAAAAAATTTTGGAGATTTTTTTTTAATTTTTTATAGAATTTTTTTTCTTCCAATTACTTATTGTAAAGAAAACGTAATAACTTTTAAACTAAGCGGTATATCCTGATAAAATAAAAACAGTAATAATACTAAATAACAGGCAATACTAAAACAATACAAAAAATACACAAAAAATGCCAACAAATAATAAAAAATGATGCTTTTTGAAAAAAATCTGCTTAAAAATTCGTATTTTTTTGGTTATTTGATAAATTTCTCCAAAAAATGCCCCTATAACAGATGGTTTTTATTACTTTTTATTATTCTCTATCGTATTACTTTTGTAAAACTAAAAATCACATGTCTCTATCCCTATCGCAACATTTGCTATGATCGTTTGAACAAAGGCCTGCCACCACATTTTTCTCCGCTACAGGTAGAGACAATTTTAATTTTAACTCAAATGCTTATTTTATTTCGAAATCTTTTGTTTTTATTTAAAATCTAACTTGTCTTTATCAAAATTACAAATCTAGAGTCACTTTCAGTTCCGTTGTTAACGAAGCGTTGAATGGCGCGCCCGGAGAGGCTTAGTTCAAACGATCATTGCAAACGTTGTGATAGGGATAGAGACATGCGATTTTTGGTTTTACAAAAGTAATACGATAGAGAATAATAAAAAGTAATAAAAACCACCTTTTATAGGGGCATTTTTTGGAGAAATTTATCAAATAACCAAAAAAATACAAATTTTTAAGCAGATTTTTTTCAAAAAGTATCATTTTTTATTATTTGTTGGCATTTTCTACGTATTTCATGTATTTTTTTAGTATCGCCTGTTATTTAGCATTATTACTGTTTTTGTTTTATCAGGATATACCGCTTAGTTTAAAAGTTATTACGTTTTCTTTACAATAAGTAATTGGAAGAAAAAAAATTCTATAAAAAATTAAAAAAAATCTCAAAAATTTTTTGACCTCTTTTTTATCGATAAAAATAGGTCTAGTTTCATATATTTTTATATGTACACTTTAACGTGACTCACACTGTATAATTACGCCCAAATTATTCACTCAAAACGTTCTATCGCAAATACAGGGTGGAAACGATAAGTGATCTCACTCGATTATTTCTAAAAAAAACCTAGTTACTGATCCTGAAAGTGCTTGTTGCGCTCGCACACTCACTGCGAGCGCCCGTCGCACAGTCGCGACAGCAATATAATTACGCGCGAGCGATAAGGATGGGTAGCTTGGGGTCATTGGACAAAATTCTACGTGCTCACAGACCAGACTATGCACGGTCCAATATAGCTTGCGCTACCATTACATCCCGTGGCAATACATAATATAAATGATGGAAACGATAAGTGCTTCACGAGATCTTTCAAACGGCACCAATAGTAGTGTGGTTGGTATACATTTTAGTATGGAAGCTGGAAACATTGCATTTTCGGATAGATCCAGTGTATTCTGTAACCTATTATTGACACTATTTGATAGAGCTCATGAAGCACTTTCAGGATCAGTAACTAGGTTTTTTTTAGAAATAATCGAGTGAGATCACTTATCTTTTCCACCCTGTATTTGCGATAGAACGTTTTGAGTGAATAATTTGGTCGCTGCGATATTACTTCACGTCAGCACCGATGTTATACGGACCAATAAAATACAATATCGGTGACTCAACCACGCCCCACCCCGTCCACAGGGCACGTCGCGGCCGTCGCACTACCACGTGCTGTGGGACGACAACCACTTCGGGTCGGACGAGCTGCAGTGCCTCACGTACCAGCTGTGCCACACGTACGTGCGCTGCACGCGCTCCGTGTCCATCCCCGCGCCCGCCTACTACGCGCACCTCGTGGCCTTCCGCGCGCGCTACCACCTCGTGGAGAAGGAGCACGACTCGGGCGAGGGCAGCCACCAGTCCGCCTGCAGCGAGGACCGCACGCCCGGCGCCATGGCGCGCGCCATCACCGTCCACGCCGTCACCAAGAAGGTCATGTACTTCGCGTAATGCGCCGCGGGCCGCGCCGACGTCGCGCGATCGGATCCCACCCGCACCGGTCGACCGCGACGTTTCGCGACCGGTCTCCGAGCGCGCCGATACGGGCTCGCGACCCGCCCCCGTCTTCGCCCGCCGACGTGCGTCCCTCGACCGATCGCAGCCTGCGGTGATCGTGTGGCGCGCGGTCGATTCTCATCGACGACTCGGAAACCTGTCGTCGGTCCGGCCGCGGTTCCTTTCGAGGTCCGATTGACGACGAAGCTTCGCTTTTCTTTTGAGAAGTTTTGAAATCTACGCCCGCAAAGGCGTGAAACTTTGTCACTATGTATGAGCTTTTCTCAGTGTTCCGAACGATCCAATATGTGCTTCACCGCGGTACCGACGTGGTGATCGGCCGCGTTGTCCTCGTCGAACCCAATTATGAAGACAAATATCGACAAATAACGCAATGTTATACAATATATTTTTTATTTCTGAACCACGATGGGGATCGGGCGGGTGACCAGAGAGCCTCGGACCCCGCCTGAACCCCAACTGACGTTTTAGGATCAATTCCACACAAACACTAGTATCGATGACAGTAATCATGTATCGAGTTTATCATTGTAGAATGTAATATTGTTAAACTGTATGTGCCACTTTAATGCGTCCATCATATTTTTTCATCATTCAACTTAGTCAAGTATAGTTCTTAAAATATGCAACCATGTTTATAAATAACATTAGAGCGTAGAAAGTATGCATATTAAATGTATAAGATTTTAAACTTTCGCGTTCCATTTCAACTAAAATAGTAAACTAAACCATGGCTGCAGCATCGCAGCCGAAACGTCAAGCTGTGAGTACATAATGTAAATCATTAATATACGTCGCGTTAAGACCCGTGTCTTACTATATTAAATGTATCTTACTGCCTATTTATCATATCAAAAACCATGAAACACCATAACAGTGTATAATGTGTCGTAAATATATTTAAAATAGACTATTATAAATTAAAACACCGACTTTCCTCCAGGTTAAATTATGGTCCAAACCGTCATTCGTACTTTATTACATATTAGCATACTTTCGTGTAACTTAATCTAGAGGAGATGCGCATTATTTTGATAGAGCTTTGTAAGTTCGTATTATCATTATTTATAGTAGATAAATACATACGTTATAGCATGATAGTATACTTTTTATTCAGATTTGGTCAGCAATATAGATAACTTTATGATCTATGTACACTATTCACTTTGCCGGTGTAGGATGCGTCGCAGGCAGCTGTGTCGCTGGGGCGGCAGCTCGGCCCTCAACACTAAGACAGCTTAACATATAGGTAAATGTTCGGATGACATCATTTTTCTATTCTCTTATAAATTACTCATAAATTATGTCTTTATTCATTCGTCATTGTATGCTGTCAATGTGTTAAAAATCGGGAGACCTCTAACAAACAAGTTATGAAGCCTAAATTCTAATATGTAATAGGTTAAAACATCGTTCATTATGTGATAAGCTAATAAGTGAGATTGTGGGATTGGAATCCTTCGGGGAAATACACTGGTTTCTGTTCTTGCTGGCTACGCTTAGAGCTTTTCCAGGCGACGTGTTTTTCCTCGCGCGTTTCGCTGCACATGCAGTCTTGCGTTTTCAAAACGCGCGACTGCAAGTGACAAAATGTATGAACTTCTAGTACCTCATGATTGCGCGATTCGAAAACGCGTAAGTAAAAACTTGTCATCTGGACCAGCGTGGGTGTGTCTCGTAAGCAAAAGTCGAGGTAATTAAAGTGCAAGCTCGTATGCCTACGGAATACTGAGGTTTACCGGTAACATTAAATTATTCTCAGCAAAAAATAGCTTAGAATTATCCAAACATCGGTCACCGAGCGATCTCATCACCAAACTGCCAGCTAATCTAACCAGTAACTTTACATGCATACTAATTAGAAACTACATACCTTTCAATATTTTAACAATAGATCAAAATAAAGAAGTCTATTAGTGTAAAGGTATGGCAATAATAAAGAAACTTATCTTAGTTATACATTACATAATATTATTATTATATTATCTGCTTCTGTTAACGCCTATGAATGCCACTTTTACTTATTACTATACATAATCTAGTATAATATGTATCTGATTATCTTCTTAACTATAGTTCATTTTCACTTGCCAAAGAAATGAAACATAAATTTCACATTATTATTAAATATATTATTTATATGGTGAATAACAATTTGATTTGTTCGAACAAACCGTATTCAGACCACGTATGCTTTCCGATTAATTCATATAATCAACGCTTTACTAACCAAAAGCGTGCCTTGATATCTGCTGCCACTGAGATATGCTTGATAGTAAATTGGTTGAGATTTGAATCTAATGCTTTAATGCAAAGGAGTAAGTTGGCTCGTCACAGAAGAAAACAGGCGACAAATAAATTGCAGACAGTATAAAACATATACGTCATGATTCTTAAACATTTTCGTCTCATTCATAATGATATTAAGCACTAATGCAATGTGTCATCAACTGCAATGCATGTGTCATCATTCAATGCATTGGCAAGACAATTACCATGAAATATATGATCTCTTGGGCACTTAATCGGTAGCCAAATTTTTACCGCCTGAATGTTTCTGTTATTTTTTACAGGTTTTAAATTGAATACATTTAAGACCTTTGGTGACCAATTGTATTTATTATCTGGGTATAAATTAATGTTACCTAGCATAGGTAATTTGTGTTGAACAACTAATTATAGGTATTTATTATGGCCCTTACAGACAGAATAGTTTATTAGTAATTATAACAAAAATAATAAGCCTTATATTAACTTCTAATACTGAACGCGGATCAGCACAAGAAGACAGTCTATAGTTTGTAGGATTATTGAAATATTTACATTAAAACTAATAATATTACAGCTAAAATTTTATCCAATGGTAACTGTAATATAGCTTAATGTTGCTTGGAATAATTATAGACATTACAATATATTATTTTCATACACAAACACTTTGATATGATGAAGAAAAACACATGCGGTATAATAGAAAATGTTATTGTATTTTTGCAACAGCGTTCGGGGTTCAATGTGATAATACGGGGTGTCCCAAATATAACACAAAATGCAATTTAAAATAGAATGCGCAGTTTAAAATCGACAAAACATAGTTACAATGTAAACTATTTTAAAACGTTAATTGATTTAACGAGAAACTCATTAAAAAGTCGAATTTGCTTGGTTTACTTGGTTTTCTATCCGCTCTACCGTGTCTCCATTTTTTAACGTCCACTCTAGAGATTGCAATCCGGTATGTTTCTCAACCCGGCCGGGCCCGGTTGCATTCGGCGCCAACCCGGCCGGGCCCGGCAGACCGGATTTCCTACTTATGGACGGAAAAGTAACATTAGTAATTATTAATTTTTATAAGTTTTAAACAAATAATGTAGATTAAAGTACTAAACGTGTCATAACAACTTTGATAGATAGATAAACTTTGGTAGATTTGGTATAAACAACACAAATGATTTCACCTACCTGGTCCGGTGACCGGAACCGGTAAGAATGGCCGGGCCCGGTGGGGCCCGGCCCGGCCGGACCCGGTTTTGCAATCTCTAGTCCACTCTCTATAACGTAAAAAAAATTTATTAAATGTCATTACATCTTGAGCTATATTTGGTACATCTGTAATAATGACGTAGTATCGGTTTTAACTCTTACATTGCAGGCAACCAACATCAATATAGAATAAGTTATATTAGTGATAGTGATAATTCTTAATGACGATGGGTAACTTAACTAACCGCGATGCAATCAAATGAGTTTATAGAAATACAAAAAAATGTTTAAAGTTTATATCTATTATATTAAACATAAGTATAGAATATAAATTTCGAGCTAGACTACTAGTAGTAGTAAGTATTTTGTTGTATAAATGTCGTCTATATTTCTTTTTATAATGCTGAGCCATGATCGCCCACGGGCGGCAACCCCTCGTACAACAACTTGCAACCGGTTACTTCTTTCCACAATAAAATAAATAAATAAATAAATAACTTTATTGTCACCATAGTCAATTTACAGTGCAATATAATATTTTCAATTTTGATGCTTAATAGTGCAATCCTATCTTGGACTTCTTTCTGCTTTTTATATAAACGTATGTAACGGACACCGCTTAAACGCAACTATACCAAAGTCTTTATTGAGCTTTTAATTGTTTTTATGCAAGAATTTTACCCTAGCACTCGTCTCCAATGTGGACTTATTGGTTCGTATTGTCGAATCCTATAGTTCACTAGCAACTTAACACGATCCATCTCAATTCTTCTTCTTAGTCGTTTCGCTCTTGGCATAGCGGTCGTGGACACGTTGAGGCGTTCACGTCGACACGAGCTCTCCACACGATCTCTCGACCATCTCTCTCTCTTGGCAGACTGCCTGGTCCAGTCAGATACGCGGTTTGCCACTGCGAATTTGACTTTTCCAGTCAGCGCATAGGTGAATTGCCACGCGATCGGGTTTCTTCAACTTATCCCTAAACGACCAGTAGCTCTATGGAGTTGTCATCCCGCCTTGAGAATTGTCCAAACTTTGTTCCAAAAAAACTCCAAAGTATTGTATGATATGCGCGACAAACACTACGTAATGCCGAGCTCCTGGAGAATGGACACATTGGTACGGAACTGCGTCCATGATATCCCGAGCATCCACTTCCAGCACTTATTCTCCCCTTTTCCTACTCGCGTACTGTCTACGTCTCTGGCTTCTGCCTTATCAATTGACAGCTCATCATTTTTTTGAGCTACGTAAACTCTGTTTCTCCATAAAGTTTGCATGCAATCTCCATTACAAGGTATTCTCTGATATGAATAATACTTACGTGTATTCAGTAGTGTACCTAAATTATATCCTAGGGTGCTTTTCGTTGTGTCTGATTTCGACCTTTATTTGATTTCGACAAGGCGTTCTTCGACTATGCCCAAGGCATCAAACAAGTAAAATGGACAAATCATTTTGTACTTTTTGTAATAGAGATTTATTAATTGAACGAAAGTTTCATGCAAATCCCCTACATTATGAAATGGGTAAGGCTGCATTGTTATCATTTGGGTTGCCGCAAGTGGACGCTTTAAAACCAATGTATTAAAATCTCGCTAAATACAATTGCCTTCTAAGATATCCCGTACATCTTTGTCCAATGTTTGGGTTATTGCTATAATATTGGGCACTTAATAAACTTTTTGCAGCTATAAAAACAAGCACATGTATATTGCAATATTAGTATCTACTATTCCATTCTAATCTCTGAATACGTGCATAATTAAACCGACCTGGGCAACGAAAAATTTTGGTTTTTAATGTCAAATAAGAATTAACAAAGCCATATCTGACATCAGAAGCGTTCATAGATAATAATCACTCGTATTGAACATCTCATCTTACTAATATTATAAATGCGAAAGTTTGGATGTCTGGATGTTTGTTACTCTTTCACGCAAAAACTACTGAACGGATTTTGATGAAACTACAGTATGATTGTTTATATTAACCCAGAATAACAAATAGGCTATAATTTATGACGATCTGTGACAAACTAAATTTCACGCGGGTGGAACCGCGGGCAATATAATATAAAAATGTTGTGATTTGTGCGTCAGCGTTGCTAGAAGTAATCTAGCAGAAATGTTACTGTCAGCGGTAATTGTATTTTTAACGAGATTACAATTCATTGAATTGGCTCAGTTGCTGTTGATATCTGCTTTATACTACCTGCACTCATAAAATACAGTCGATAGGTACTACAGTGCATATTAATTACCTATGCAGGGTGTTAGGTAAATGGGTTTATGAGCTGACACTAGCCCATGTTAACATAATATGCAAATGGTATGGTGAAGTCAGAAATTTGATATCATATATATTTTTTAATTTTCATACCGAATAAAATTTATAAAATGAGATTTGTATGAAAATTTAAATAATTAAAATGATGATATCAAAGAACAATGGGACAAAACGTCCCCAGAACTGTAGCACTTTAATACCTACCTTGTATGATAGACCATGCTAATACTATAACTTTATTATATGACAACTCAAGTGTGACATGTCTCAGAAAAAAGTTATATTAATATTAAAAATATATAAAAGAAAGTCGTGTTAGTTACACCACTTATAACTCAAGAACGGCTGAACCGATTTAGCTGAAAATTGTCAGGGAGGTAGTTTAGAGCCAGGAGAAGGACATAGGATACTTTTTATCCCGTTCGAAATTAAAAAAAAAGTCTGCTTATTTATTGCCATTAACCCGGCGCCAATGACGTGAAAATAATTGCAAAGACGATGACCCCGGGTCATATTGACCCATACTTCATCGATCATTTTTCAGAAATTTGAACAAGTAATCTTAATTTTAATTACTGTCTATGTTTATAGGGTTCTTTACTGAGCTAATAAAACAAAAATAATAGTAATACATAATATAAATCAATTTTTTATAAATTTTTAAACAAAACATGAAAAAACATGTATAAAAACACAATGAGTCTATATTTTTTTGGTTTTGGTAAAGATTTTAAGTATTTATAAGAATCAACAATGTGATAAAGTGAAAAAAAAGATAAAATCAACTTCTTATATGCAGATACAATGAGATCAATCTTCTACTTCATCATTCAGAGCCATGGAACTGCTGCGACTGGTGCAGTATGTAATCAAATGGTCTGGGCATGTAAATGTGGCATGAAGCACTTGCCGGCGTCGTACTAATGCAAGGTCAAGATTATCCGAAGACTGAGTCCACATTACTTGCGTCTTTTTCACATTCGTTGCCATTTCTAAGTTCTGGCTATTACAGCCTGAAATTCTTCACTCTCGGAATCCGACTCTTCTAGCAGCGCTTCATTCTTGCTGGGTCATTTAACAAAGTCATTTTG